GAGGGTCTTCGACCCAGTGGTAAATTTAGTGCTAAATAATGGGGGTTAGAGCCTCTTATCAAGCAGAGCCAAAGCAAACAGGTATATTTGTATTTCATATTGAAAGTCACTTATCTCAGTCGAGAGAGTCGGAGAGCTCTCTTCGCTCAGAACCTGTTGCCAGTGTGTCCAGTTCTCAGTCTATAGAATGGAAGGGGAGGGAATGGGAAACGGGACTGGAAGACTTCCAGAGAGAGAGAGAGAGAGAGAGAGAAGACAGCGGGCCAAGAAGCGAGCCAAGAACCTGTTGCGGCAAAATGGCCTGTAACTTAGCCAAAAACCAAAAAGAAAAAACATAAAAACTGAACCCGAAAAAGAAAACAAAGGGAATAAGAAGATCGTGTGGCAAGACGGCCAGCCAAAAGAGCCAGCGAATGAGGAAAGTAAGGGAAAACGGCTGATAAGCAAGGCCGTTGAGTCCGTCAGTCCGCCAGAGAAGAGATCCGGGCATCTTGAGGACTCCCATTTCGATTCTGAATCTGATTCCGATTCTGATTCACTCAAAGTTGATTTATGTTCTGTTTGCACTTTTCATTTTCATCGCAAGTTGATTTTAATTAAGAGTGTGTGCTCTCACGGAGAATCTGAAGAGGCAGCAGGAGACCCAAGACCACCAACGAAGTCGGTCTTCTGAACTTGAACTCCTTAAGAACAAAAAATCAGAAGACCTTTGAACAATACCTTAAATTTCTTTGAAATTTGCACGTTTTGGTCAGCAGCTAAAAAGGAATATTTATTGCTTTTTCTAATTTGTGTAACTGTAAAATAGAGCGTTTTAAAAGCAATTAAGGATTTGGATTTGTAGATTTATTCATAACAAATATATTGCCTTGGAAATTAAAATTTGTTCTGAATTAATGTAAAAATGGAATATCAAAATGTCCAATAAAAACAAGCATGTTTGCCAATCAACATATTGAATGCTGTAACTTGACTAATCTATCACTTTTAAATATTTACCAAAGACAGATTGAATACACAAAGAATATATTTTTTACTAAATAATATTGATATGATAGATTATAGGTAAACCCTCTAAACACATCCTAAATGGGTCGCACATTTCGGTTAGGTTCAAAGCAAAGGTTCTGAGAAAAATGTAGCCCAGTGTTTTTGCCGCATTTGGTAGGTATATTTCTTTAGAAGATCCCCTTCAAGCCTATAATTTAGATGGCGAGATAAGTCGTTAATCAAGGCATATGTTAGATTTGCTAAGCCAAATTATGTATTTTTAGAAAACAAGAAATTTAGTTTAATAAAATCAAAAAAGAAGATTTGACTAAATACAGAAATAATCTTAGAAATTACTTTAAGAAATCTTAAAATACTCCCAGGTTTAAGCCAGAAAAAGTGCTGGTAACACAACCAAAAGAACCCAATAACTAGAAAGTAAAGTGCCCATAATATTATATAAGGAAGTAAGAACTTGCTGTGTACTAGTTTGTTTTTCCTTTTTTCATTTTTTTAAGAATCTAATTAAATTCGAACTTGAACCCTTTGGCCCAAATCAAATTGAGCTTCAATCACTTAATCGGCCATAACCAAACCGTTAAATCGAAAGCTCTCGCAATATCGCACGCAAGCCAGGTGCTAATGAGGCATTTTGTTTCTGCTTTGGCTAATTTATTGTTTACGGCCGTGTTAAGAGAGTGGCGCAGATTTAACGGTACAAGCGAAAGGTTTGGGCCAAACATGCAAATATCATTTTGCCAGAATTTCGGCAGAGTCGCCAGAACAAAGCCCAATCAATGACTATAGTCAGTCCATCCAAGAACGGTGTTTATTTCTAGACAAGATCATAATAGATCTTCGCTTTTTTGTGTCTATTTCCGATTGCTGGTTCATTGAACGATTTTAGGCGATCTGTTTTGGGATCTGACCCATCTGCAATGGCATGGCGGTACAACATGGTCAACACCTTCTCATCTACCATACCGTATTCCCAATCTCAGGTTCGCACCTCCAGTCGTCATTCCCAATTAATCATCGCTTTGGCTTGTTGATCCAATCGCATTTGCTTGGCAAAAGACACAAGAGAGTTACAAACTGGGAAAGTGCGAAAGAGAAAGGGCGAAAACACGTTTATGGAGGGGGTGTACACTGGAATAAACGTTGAGGTTTGGCAGTAAATACCATTAAATGTTAATTAGATAACGATGAGTAATACCGGCCTTCTTGTTTGACTTTTTCAGCAACTCAACACTCATTACTAAAGTAATTAATAACAAAAGTTTCATTGTAGGAAATAATAGTTAATAAATCTAACATAACTTTTAGCTTTCAATAACAAACTATACATTTCTTTCAGTGCCCTCAAAGGGAAGCTTGGAATGTGCCGAGACTATCAATCAATCTGCTCTTACCCCTTTTGCCGCCGGTCTCTACCAAATTCGGTCTATTGTCCGGCGGCTGTTACCAAATCCGTAGACCGGCTTGACTTTCCATAGGAAAAGCCCCAAAAATCACCCGAAGGTTATCGGTTTGTTATCCGGACACCGATTCCGATTCCGTCGCCAGGTCCGATCTGTTTAAGCATTCAGGTGTGCGGAACGCGTGGAACACTCCCTCATTGGGTACGGGGACCCAGATCTCTATATACCGATATCGCACTGGAGACCCATTTAACGTGGGAAACAACAACAGCACTAACAATAACATTATAGCCCTTTTTGCGAAAAAATGAAAAACACAAAATGTTTTACTAGGAGCGGGCCACCAAAATGTGAGTTGCATTTCAATTTCAGTGAGACGATGACTACGTCATCAGCTTTAATGCTCCATATGGCAGCAAATTTGCATTCAGGCATATGTGGTTTTGGTTTCTTTGGTCAGAAAGGAGAAGGTAGGGGGGCAGGCTTGGTGACGGGGAATTGCATTTTTAATGTCAAGCAACTGGCCGGGATGCCAAAGGTATTATGACATACATTTCAATTCAATTTTTAGATAAAGATGCGGCTGCAGTTCGTTTTTCTGTCGCTCTCCGAATGTGTGTATTTTTGAAAAAATGCAACAAAGACTATGGACGATGGACTGTGGACGACATTTGTGTGGCCGGGCCACTGAAGTTCCGCTATTGGCGATGATGTAAACATCAAAAACAGATACAGACTCCCGACCCATATGTATCTTTTTTTTTTGGGGGGGGGTACAGTAAAAGATAGATAAATGGGGTTATAAAAGGCTGTAAATATCAGGAAATCAATTGGAGGAAACATTAAAGTCTGACATGTTTCTAGAAACTATAATTTGGCACTTATTGGGTGTTACAGAATGGTTAAATTATTTTGTATTATAACTAAAATATTTCTAAATATTAGTTAAAAAATAAATATTTGTAAAGCCTTTAAAATTATTGCAATATTGAGATCATTTTAGGTAATTCTAAACAAAATATCTATTCTTCACCCTAATAGGATAATAAAATATTAAAGAACCAATAAAAGAAACATTTTTTAGATATACTCTTGGCCAATGACAACTGTGGCGGAGTGCCTGGGGGAGATTTGGAAGAGATCTTCAGATTGTATCGAACCAGCGGCCGTCCTATAACCTGGTGGCATTTGGCTGCGGGCCATGATTCCGATTGTCAGTTAGTCAGTTGGCCAGTCAGTCAGTCAGTCAGTTAGCCATTCAGTCAGTCAGTCAGCCAGTTCGTCTAATTGGATTTGCGCGCTTGTGCGTAACTATAAATCACACACGAACACAGTCAAGAGATGGAGCCGTGGAGCAGGGACAACCGGTTTGATTGCCAAGTCACCCGCTCATAGCCAACTGCAGAGATCCCATCGAGCTTTTTTCCTCCTCAACTATTTGTAAAGTGACCAAAACGGTAACAACAAAAACCACAAAAACGCTGCTCTTGATGTTGATGTTGTTGTTGTTGTTGTTCCAGTTCTTGTTTCCTCATAAACAATATAAAGAATATAATTATGGTGCTGCATAAAAAACTTAAAACGTATCAGCTTACGCAACCAAGAAAATGTGGACGAAGGGGCTTGTAAAATTTACATGGCACAAGGCCCCTTTTGCCGGTCGTGTGAAAATTATTAATGGAGCCACTGTCTCCGGACAAGTTCATGTGTCATGTGTGTGGAAAGTGGTTGGTTATACTACTCGTGTACCTTCCCGGAAAAACTCCATTTCTTGGGCGGTTTTTAAGTTGTGATTTATCGGCTCACCGCCCAAGTTGTAAACGGATGTTGTAACATCTAGCAATTGCAAATCTAAATGGCCAAGTTCTAGCTAAAACATTATACTAAACTATGGAAATTCCGAGTCAAAGATTAACTCAACCCGATCCGAAAAAACATGCCATTTGCCGGTGGTCTGCCATCAAGCCCCACATGTGACTTGAACTTACGCTGAACTTGTAGCTTCCTTCTGCTACTTGAGTTTCACAAGGAAGGACGTCTGTTCGTGGTGTAGAATTACATTAAACAGAAAAAAAAAACTGAAACGAAAGCTAACACCGCCATATGGTTCAACCGGTTTTGAAAGTGGCGCCAAAATAGTCAACCTTATATTTAATATATATGGCAGCACGGACAAATTAAAATTTTCTGTGGCGGAAAATCACTTTATCACTATCTGGCAGCACCGACTTATCGATAACGACATGCCCTGGCCCTACTTGCTATAAACATCGATACTTATTTGTATAAAATTTATAGGCGACTGTATTTTAAATATAATAGTGCCAAGCTTTAATTGAGTTTAACGATAAATATATATTTAAAAAATTTAAATAAATATAATAACTTTAAAACTTCTTTTAAAGGGATATGTAAGCGTAAGCAATGATATATATATTGTTTTTAGATATTGTTTTTTGTATAATAAAGTGACAGAAAAACTTTTTAATTGGTTAAGGGTTTCAAGTTTTGGGTATGCAAAAAGATTAATAAGTTAATAGTATCCCAACATGTATAATCGATATTTTTATTTTATTCATGGCAGCCCTCGTTTACAGTTAGAAAAGTACCAATTCTAAGAGTGGCGGCAAATAAAAATCTGCATTGTTTTAAAAATTTCTAGGCATCAATAATACTCTATTGGTGTAATTATTGTTAAGCATGGCTAATAGCGGGGTGTTGAGTCTAGTCAAGAAGGTGGTGTTCTCGTTGATCGTGTCCTCACCTGAAAGGATGACAATAGAGCAGCTGATCCACGATTACCGCAGCGAAGAAGGTTGCAATATACCTTATAGTGATCTTGGATTCAAAGATGCCGAATCCTTCCTTCGTTCTATTCCAGATACAGTTAGGGTATGTATCCATTAAATCAAGCTAAACAGTTTAATAATTAACATAAACTATTAGGTAATAGGCCTCGGAACCAAGGCCACGATAACTGTGATATCAACAGAAAAATCGGAACACATTCAGAAATTAGTTCATGGCCAAAAGAAGTCCTCCAACCGATCCAAAAATAAACCCAAAACACCAACATACAATTCGGCGCATTTTCAGAAAACAGTTAATTGCCAAAAGAAGTCCTCTAACCCATCCAAAAACCATCCAAAACCCAATCATAAACCAAGGTATTGCCATCCCTCTGAGCGTTCCGATTTAGTTTTTAAGAACGAAAGTGTGCAGAAAATGAATACCAGGAATTTACCGCTTCGATCATATCAGCGGCCCACCAATCAGCAATGTCCCGCCTTGTATTCCAACTATAATCGGCCAATGTATTCCTTCCAAACAGCGAGTGGCTATGCCAATAGTAACGTAATCTGGGCAGCACAGCAGCAGGTGCTATATAATTATTACCAGCAGCAATGTTATCAATACATTCTGTCGCTGATTAATCAATATGGTTATCCCCAAAATGATCCAAACCCGCAATGGCAGACATTTCGACAGAAACCAAAGCCAAGCAAAAATAATAGCCAGGCGCAGATCGGCGCAAAACCGAAGCCTCAAAAATATAGAAATCATCATCTAATAAAAGATTCAACACATCAAACTATTAATAGTCAGGCGCGGATCGGCCCAAATCCGAAGCCTCGAAAAGATGAGCCAAAGAAAGATTCCACACCTCAAACTATTACAGAGGCTAAGCAGGGGAAACCATTAAAGAAATTAAGAAGTGCAGCAAAAGAATTGATGAAAACTTCCGAAAGCCTCTCTTTAGAAGCTGTGCCTCCTCTTTCCAAAGGAAAGCTAGATTGTAAGGTAAGTAAGAGCTACGAGAAACAGCAGGAAACACTACCCGCCATTGAAATTCAAAATTCAACGGAGAAAGATGAGGCAGTGGCGCATCCTGAGCTTAATCTCTTAACCAAAAGTACCATTCAGGAGGATATTCCCAAAACTCAAGAACTCAAAGAACCTTTCTTTGGTTATGAATCTTCCGAGGATGGAGACGGAGATAATGCTATTCCAGCTTATGCAGTGGTTTGATATACTTCAACTAAAAGCAACTGCAATAATATTAAAGGTTTTTAAATTATAGGATCATCGAGTTCTAGCCGTTGACTATCCAAAGGATTCTGTTCGCTTTGACTTTAAGCTGCCCAATCGCGATATTGAAGCCGTTGTTAAGTTAATGCAACGCGTTGAGGTGCAGCTTGTAAATGTCGATAATCCACACAAATTCAACTTTTGGGTATATGACGAAAGTTTTAATGAATACAAGGCCTTGTCCTCCAATATGCAGTATGTTAAGAGTTTCTCTATTACAACTACTGACTAACAAATGTTTTGATTTAAACTTTTTCTATTAGATTCTTTTACGACAGTCATGATTCAGAGAAGTACTCTATTCCCCTGTGCCTAATCAGTACGGATCATCTTTGTGCGGTGCGTTGCAGCAACTCGGGTATATGGGAAAGAGCCAAAGTTGTCAGGTACCGGCCCATTAGCATCTGCAATCCAATCGAGGTGGAGCTAATTGACACAGGAGTTATCATATGTGTTAGCGCCAAAAACATTAAGTTTCTACTGAAGGAATTTGCTTTGCTCCCGCCGCAGTATTTAAGCGGTCGATTGGCCTTTATAACTCAATGTAGGGGTTCAGTCTGGTCCGCAGGAGCTATAGACTTATTTTATAAGATGGTTGCCTATCGAAGACTTTACGCTCAGGTGGAGGCTTTTAAGGTGAGTCGCGAAACTAAAAAGGCTAGTTTAGCCAAACTACTTATAACTACATTGCTTTTGCAGAACAATACTGCCTATATTGTACTCGTAGATCCAGACAGCAAAGCGGCTTTTATGAACCTCAACAAATCACTCATCGACTGCGGTTTGGTGCGTCGCTGTATCACAGCTTAGTTAATAGTATGTTTTCGAATATTAGGATCAATTTTAAATCAGCAGGCCTCCCTTTATGTTGCCCTTTGAAACCTTAAACGAAACTCATTGGTGTATTATTTTAAGGCAAACGCTGTCCTTCTGCTTTCTTTTTATTAGTTTACGTGTAATAAAATACTAAGTTACATAAATCCTTCCACAAGTCGCTGTCCTTCGCCTGATTTATGCCCGAAAGTAAAACAAACAAGGACTCAAAGACGAACCACTTGCAAAAGAGATCTCGCTCGCAACTAAATATGGTATCTCGAACGGAAATTCTGAATGTTAATGGAAAATCATGATCTTGCTTGGCGGCAGGCCCGCAATAAATACTTGAAATGTAACTGAGGCGCTTTAACAATTCCCTATAAAAGACAACATTGTCTATGTTTTGTATATATATGTTGTGTATATAGTTGGTTTTCTTGTCTGTTCTTATTATTTCTTTCTTTTCATCTTTTTTTTTTTTTTTTTTTTTTTTTTGGTGACCGCTGAAACGACGGCACCCTGAGGTTGGTTTTTAATATATTTTTTTCTTTTGTTTTTTAGTTTTTTGTTGAGGCTTCTCTACTACGTTGTGTGTCGAGTGGTGTTTTGTTTGTTAGTGAGTGAAAAACTAATAGTTCAACTACTAATGCGCATTCGTTAAATTTGCTTAAATACTTTTCTTTTTGTTTTGTTTCTTGGGTTCTTTTCTTGTTTTGTATATTGCTGAGTTATGTTTTTCCCTTTTTTTGCAATGCGTATTTAAATATGCTATATAATCGCAATAATACATAATTGTTTGGTTGTTTGTTTGTTTGTTGGTTGCTCGAGTACATAATAGCTACGCGCATAAATATGTTTTGGTATGCTGTAACGCTTCGCTTCGTTTATATCATAAGTTGATGCATGTCTGTCTGACTGTCACCTGTCGCCTGATGCCTGATACCTGTGATCACCCTTTGACCTGTTCACCTGGCCAACTACTTCAGGTGTGCTTGCTTGTGTGTGGTTGCTGTGTGTTCTTGTAGTAGGTCCATAGGACTAACGCCTATGTAGCAATTCAAAAGTCTATTCACTTCGTTATCGTTACAATATCGTGGGCATAAAACTTATATGTAGATTTACTTTATATGTCAGTATCTTTTGTGTGTGTGTGTGTTTGTGGTGTGTGGAGATTGTGTCTGTGTGGTGGGGTGGCAAATCTTCTATGGCTGTGGGTTGTGATTTTCTGATCTGTCTGCTGGCTGCTGAGTTCTCTCTATCGTATAATTTATCTCTGTATGTACTCGTTTTCTCTTTTTTTTGTTAATTTTTTTCGATTCTTATATTAAAGTCATCACAGTTAGCGGAGCTGAAATTATGAATAATTATTGAGGACATTTTTTGTGTAATTGTTTTATCATTTTTTTGGATTTTTTGTTTTTAATACGTTTTCTACTAAATCGCAATTGCATATATAGAGTGTCTACCATAAATTGATTCTTTTTTTAGTGTACTCTTATCGCGTCTTGGGGTTTTCCTTTTACTAAATTATTATATACGCAGTGTGTGTGTGTGTGTTTGTGTTTGTGTGTGAGTGTGGGAGTCCTGTGTGTGTGTGTGGGGCATGGGTGTGGGCTTAGGTGAGTGAGTGTTCAGCGAACAGCTGGTTCAGATGGTTGCCCGATGCCCGCCGGCACCGCTCGTCATTGCTCCTCAGTGTCATGGGGTGTTGCCCTCGAACAGGGCGCGGAACTCTCCGCTCCGCGGCCTCGGTAGACCCTCACGTATCGTCTGCACCGGCTCAGCAATGCTCGACTCTGACCCATGCAGTAAATTCTCCTTGAGATCCATGTCACTGAAATGGATTTAAACGAAATTAAATCATTGTTTTAGCAAATTTTGATACACTTATTTGAACAAAATAAAAAACGTTAAACAATATATTATAATTTGTAATTAACATTTATATTTGCATATCTTAAATAAATAATCCAACATACTTTACATAAATCAACTTTAAAATTAAATCATAATTTTATATAAACTGTGACAATGATATTTATAGGTAAAATCATAAGATGAACAAAATCAAAAGTTATGATAAATGATAAAAATCTAACCTCTAATATAATAATTTAATGTATTTTTTATATTCATGTCTGCTCAGACATATTCCCCTAGCCAACTCACTCATCTTTGCAGTCATCCGCCTCGGCAGCCAGGGCATTCACCACAGCCGTAATCGTGTTCGACTCCGGATTGCTCAGCTGCTCGTCCTTCTGATGCATTATGTTTGGATTCTTGCCAATCTTGTTCAACCGCTCGGCGGCCACAGTCTCCATGGTCTTGCGCATCAGCGGATACTGATCCAGAACGCAATTGAAATGATCCACGCTCAACGAGAATAGATTGCAATAGGTTTCGGCTCGCACGCTGGCCACACGACGCGCATTGGTCAGCAGACAGATCTCACCGAAGTAAGAGCCATCCGATAGTGAGGTGGCAACCTGTGAAGATAACCCAATTAACCAGTGTAATACTTGAAACACTAATGATCTGCTCACCTCGCCGTTGGCCATGACAATGTCCACCACGCCCTCTTGTATGAAGTACATCTTAGTACCGATCGTACCCTCCTTTATGATAATATCACCTGAAAGAGAATGAGAAAGCGTTACTATAAAGATCGTTATGTTATTATTATTAAGCTAAAACCCCTTACCTGGTTGGAAAACTTCGTATTTCAGTTTGGTAACTACGTCGGAAACGAAATTCGAATCGGCATTAGCAAAAAAAGGCACTGACGCCACGAGGGATCTGTGAAAAATGTTAACATAAAGTTATATTAATTATAAATCAAGGGTTAGTTCAAAATACTAATCCTACAGGATACTATACTATTCTATCTAATTGGCTGAAAGTAGAAACAATTGATAAATCATTATATAGTGACAGATCGCCCACCTGCAGTTGTAGTTGATGACATCCTCGCGCAATTTCTCGCTCAACTCGCCAAGTATCAACTCTTCATCGAAGAATTTACCCTGGTACCGATGCTCGAAGTATTCCGTAATGCGCTGCCGCATGTCGCGGGGCAGCTTGCGATAGGCCATATACTCCTCCACCTGTTTGACCTTCTCGCGATACTGGCGCCGGCTGGAGTCCAAGCTCTGGATGAGATTGGTCGCATGACCGAGGAACAATGCGTAACAGGTGGCCCCGGATATCATCGAAAGCATCGTTAGCCACATGTCTGTCAGTGATTGTGGTGGGAATCTAAAAAAAAAACAACATTTTATTAGGGTTATACATATGTATAAGATAAGAACGCTCTTTTTTGGGTTATTCGTTTTCAGGACTTGGATTATAATTTGTAACTACAGTGATAATCGCCTTTAACTCACCTGCCGTAGCCTATGCAGAGCATGTGCGACATAGCCTTAAACAATGCCCACGAATACTGCTCCAGCCAGTACGATTCCTGCAATGGAACATCCCATTTAGATAGCCGAAACCAGCTAGAAAGGTTTTACCAATAAAAGCGCACCTGCAACTCGTTGATGGAGACCCAGGAGTTGGATGGAAAACCCTGCAACATTGGCACTAAGAACTGCAAACAACCGCTCCAATGGCCGATCAGTAGCATCATGCAAATTAAATTGAAGATCCTCATGAAGACCGAGGCCATATTGAGGAACTGCAACCAGAGAGGTCAATCAATAACAGTGCACATCAACCAAAGCCCAACACCGCTCGTGTATGTGTCTGTGTCCATGTGTGTGTGTGTGTTGGTGTAAGTGTGTTTCAGTGTGCTTGTTACATATGAGTGTGAGTTCCACATATATTAAACCAAATGTCTCAAGTAAACGAGAGAAAGGAAACCCAAACTAGGAAATGAAACTTGGAACTTGGAAAAATTTATTTGCAACTTGTCGCACTTGGTGACGTTTTGTTTGTTTTTTTTTTCTTTTTTTTTTTGCGTTTCCAGCTACCGATAGTAAATATAACAATTATTATTGCGTTATGCCAATCAAAGCAACTAAAACAAACCAAACCACAGCCATTAAACAAGAAATTACTCAATCTCCCCACTCTGCCCGATAAGTATGCAACGGATACTCGTGTTCCTCGGCCTTCAGATCGTCGGATCGGATCGGAGCAGAGCGGGTGGGAGAAGATGTATGTAATACATCCGATAAGATAAAATAAGATAAGATTAGTCTAGTGTTAGGCAATACAACAGTGTCCGGTGTACTGGGTGTACTTTGTGTACAGTGTACAACCTGAGCAATCAATTCAAACTCAATCAATTCAAATTCAAACCATTTCTACGTTTCGAATAGGTGCAAAATCAGCTGCTAAATTATGGTACAAGTGCTCATCTTTACTTTTGTTTGTTGTTTTTTTGTTTTTTGTTTGTTTAGTTTTACTTTTGTTAAACATAATTATGGACACTAAGCCGTTCAAACGTTCAAAATATCGAATTCGAAACTCGTATTTTACAATGAAAGCATTTTGTTTTTATTTTTTTTTTTTTGGTCTGACTTTCGCAGTTGTTAGTAATTGAACTACGTAATTCTGTACAAAGTACGGTAAACAAACCAACGGAATGTACACAAAAAATTAACGGAAACCAAACGAACGGTAAACGAAAACATAGAGCAAGAGCAGGAAACACAGAACTTGAGAGAAAATTAAAGAGATAGAGAGAGATAGGGAGCGGTATTGAGATAATAAAATAACTGTTGTTGCATTCAAGAATTCAGTGGCTGTAGCTGCTTGTGTGCGTGTACATGTGTGTGTGTGTGGGTGTCACTCCAAAAAGCTTTTTTTTCATATATTTTTTTTTCGCGCTCCTGCTGAAATCTTTTTTACAACAGAAGTTGAAGAGGAGGCTGAGATAAAATATAAAAGAAAATCAGAGAAACCAAAACCAAACCAGTAACAGTAACAAAACAACAAGTAACGGTAGCAGAGGCAGCAAAACAGAGTTGTATTTTTACACAGAGAAAAAATATGTTTAAACATTAAAAGGATTAGAAGGAAAGGAATCTTTTTTATGAGAAATTTTGAGCATATCAGTAGTAAAAATAGAAAAATAGTTTAGTTATTCATTAATTCAAGTTTATATCTCATAGCAATAACGAATGAAAACTATAAGCATGATTAGAGATATATATAAAAAACTTAAAGTTTGTCTAGTTATCTTTATTATTTTTTACTGATATCTTCAAAACTATATTAACAAAAATTAAAATATTTTAATTTACAAAAGTTTCTGTAAAAATACATAGATTTTTCTCTGTGTAGTTGGAATAGAGAGAGAGAGAGCAAGAGAGAGTACGAGCGGAAAGCGCGCAGCACAAAAGCAGAAAGCATTGAACAGAGTGTCAATCAAAGTGAGGTTAAGTTGAGTACGATAGATACGATATAGGTTAGGATACGTGGGAAGCGTTTGGCACTTGCCCACAAATGTATGCTATAGAATACGAGTAGTATGTAGCTAGATATAGTACAGTGTTCGTGTTCGATCTGATTGGTCGTTGGATCAGTTTTCCTGCTTCAGATCGATTGACTATATTGGATGTGTGTCTTTGTGTCCGGATCTAAGACCTAAAACCTAAAGCGAAAGCAGCAGCAGCCATTACTCTTGCTACTATATAGTATAGTGCTTGGTATTATTATTGGTGTTTTTACAGTGGTAATACTTCGATCTGTGCTGTTTCGTCCTTTGTAAGCATAAAGCATTCAACAAACTATACAATTCGAATCCGTAATATATCCTGAGATCTGTGGCGTTTTCATGCTCTTCGCAGTGACTTTTTTTTTTATAACCCAGCTAATCTGTGGTTCACAATGATAAATATTAACAGTACGATAGGATTTCCGATCATGCCCATGCATGGAGTCAAAAACTACGGCGGAATCTAACGAAATATATTACATTATCCTTCTGACTGATACTACGTCGTGTGAAGAGCATGAAAAAAGCTTCGATTTTGCACCGAAGATTTTATTTTTATGTGAAAGACTTTTTATTTCGTTTGCTGCTTTTGGGCTAGACACTCTTCTTCATTAACGTTTTTTCGAGATTTTCATTATGCATCAAATGAGAAATAGAGATTATGTATGGCAATATCAATCAATCAATCAATCAATATGTAAAAAAGGCAGTCTCAGAAAATTTACAGAACGTACGAACGAACGAACATTAAAATCAAGCAAACATGATCAACGAACAATCGAACGAACGAACAATCGAACGAAATTATGCACTAAAACTCAATTTTGGCTTAAACACTCCTCAAAAAATGTGAGTTGTGTGTTGCACCAATAATACATAATCATAATTTCAATCAATCAATCAAGGCTTTTGGTTTTTTTTTTTTTTGTTTATCAAATATATATATACTGAAGTTGTTGTGTTGTTGATTTTGATTTTTGGGTTGTTACTTTTTATTGGATGGTTTACCTTGAGAATTAGGTTGCTTTTTGTCAAGCCATCTTTGTCTTTTCTGTTCATTCTCCCTCTGCGATCAGCACTTTTTTTCTGTAGATTCTGCAGAATCTAAAAACCATATATACACAGGTATTTTAGGCCCTGATTCAGCTAAGTTGGATTTTCGTATTTTGTATTTGTTTTGTTTATTTTATTTTTGTTTTGTTTGTTGTTCTTAAACTGCTATTATTTTATTGTCAAAGCATCATAAGTTGTTAATTGCATTTAGCAGAATACTTTTCTTTTCATCGCTTAAGTTGAGCGCATCAAAAACAAAATAAACATAAATCATAATATACGGTGGTTTCCAATTTTAGGCAATGTTTTACAAAGGTCTGAAAGAGCTGTACTTGTACGTATCTCATAGGGGGTGTGGTGTGGCTGGGGGTTGGGAATTACGGGATAGTGGATGGGAATATCGTTTTTTTTTCGGATATAGAGATATATAGGGTTAAAGCATTCCCCAACCCTTGAGTTGCGGAAATGCCTTCAAAGTAGTTCAAAGAGTTTTACAAAGTGCAATGAAGAATATCGATTTGAGTGCTTCAAAGTCGGCAAGAAAATGAATAGGAAATCGTAAATCGAATATAGATTATCAGAACAACAGAAGCGATAAATCGAAGAGTCAACTGAAGAAATGTGAAAGAAAGCAAAGGACTCTTCCCGCGGCACAAGTGAACGAGTTCTCAAGCTTAGCGAGCGCGTCAGATGATATTTCGAGAAAAACCCAATACTAAAAAAAACGATATACATTTTCGATTCGATTTGATTTGTATATATTACGAATATGTTGGGTGTTTGTGTGTATGTGTGTGTGTGTGTTTGGTTTTTGAGAGTTAGGTATGTAGTCTTGCAGTAATCGGCCTGGGGGATTGATTATTCTGGATCTGGTCTGGTGGACCCGAAGCGCAGCAACAGGCGCACAACACGAAAACAAACATCGGGGTCACACAACTGTATAATATACAAACTGAGTTGGCTTATGGTACAGCGATTGTCTGGTTCTATGTTTGATTGACTTTTAATATAGACACACATAGGTTGAGGGAGGTATATCAATACTTGGTAAACAAAACGATTGGTAATCGAACGCAAAGGTTTTAAAACGTTTAATGGAAATCATAGACATAGAGCTTCCAGATAACAACTCAAAGAAAATACATAGTTTGAACATTTCTGCGCGCCATCCACAATTAGAGTACTTTTAATGCCACACACATGTACGGTACACATGTAACAAAGAAAAGTGAGCACTTTGGGGATTTATTATTATTATATATATATATATATAGATATTTATAATACTCCCCTGACCACTGACCACTGTGCTAAGCCTAACTGCAGTTGCCTGGCTATAACCTAGATCCTCGAATCTGTTTTTTGTGGTGTGGAGTGAACGAGTATTTATGCTGATCTTACGGTCGATAATTTGGAGCAAAAGAAACGGAAATTCGAACTAAAAATGGGGTCGTTCAGGGATCAAGGATCCCCGGAGTTAAACCGAAAAGGTAGTGGCGAAACGGAGTACTGAAACAAATATATACACAGAAAAAATAGATACGATAAAGAAGTGAACTTTATATTAAGTTAGTGGCAATTCAATTGCCAAAGACTAAAAACCAAAATGTATATTGTGTAAAATACCATTGCATACTTTTAGACATACGTAATTTTGCTTTTTTAACCTTTATGTTGACTGAAACTTTTCAAACTCTAAAAATAAATATAATGAATTGATTTTAAAATCCGTATGACATCAAAGGCGTCAATATGATATGATATATAATTAATCGAAAAAGACTTTAATATCAACTTTCTTCTGTGTATATACTGTACAAATGTGTCGTAAAACTGAAAACCAGGGAGAGTAAGTACATTGTTATGCAAACAAAAGATGAAACGGTAACGAAACGAAACTAAAAGAAACTAAAGGATCGAGCGTTGCCAAAATGAACCGGGTGTACTCACATAGACCTCCTCCCATTGGGAAACATAGCGCACGAGACGGGAAAGCCGTAGCAGTCGCACCAAGGATAACAGCTTGGCCAAACGCAGGATGCGCAGGGCTCGTCCGGCATGCAATATTTGAAAAGAATCAGAGAAATCCTGCAATTTCATAATCTTAAATTAAAATGTTGCGTACTGTTTCTTAAATACATTGACTTACTTGATTGAAAATTAAAAATATATAATCTAGCGGTATCGACGAAATCAAATCGAGAAAAAACCAAGTTCTTAAATAGTGTTTAGCTATAAGCTTTGGATCCAATATTACTTGTTCAGCGTTGTCTTGTTGCATAATTCCTGAAATCATATATTCGTTCGAAAGTTGTTCGATTAAGATGGGGACGAAGAAATTTAGGACAATCGGGTACGAAGTTTTTTTGGAAGAGTTTAGTTCGGAAAACGGGGGGTTTTGTTAGTTAGTTTTGCTCGGTTGAGTGTGCATTACCTGTTCTAAAATTGACTACAATATCTATTAAAAAAATAGTATCACTTAGGCAGTTGAAGGCAATCCATCGTGTGCTCAGATCATCGTTGAAGAATGATATTGCGACTGGCAGGATAATAAGATTTGCTACTAATAATAAAAGCATGCAAAGGTCCCAGTAAAACCTGTTGAAAATTAAGTTACGATTAGTAAGAGATTTGAAAAATCATAGAAAGTATCTTTAAATAGTTTCTGCTATTATTATAGAAGCACAACCCACCTGAATGAACTGCAAGGGTGTATGACCCAATGCCCGGAAGTTTTCTGACGTATGCGCTCCTTGACCAGCGCCTTTCGGCTGCCAAACAGTTTCATGGCCAGTCGGTTGTCCGTCGGCTGGAACCATGATTGCAATTGACTTTTTAGGAAATTCGCAGAGACTTTTTCCGACACGATCGGTATGTTGGGCATGGGCTCCTCTTTCGGAGTGCCGTACAACGACACGTCATCAAAGTGTACCTACAAAAGATCAAGGTGAGCTCTCATTAGACTTTCAGTGTTCCAAACCAACAATTGCCTAAATAAGCAGTCAAAAGGTCAAAAGTCTGATGAGAATTTGGATATTAAAGTGCTTAGTGATGGTTATGTCCTGTGCTAGTAGTACTAATAAAACCTTTGTTCTTGCCATTTCGGTTCCTTGGTCGCATATTAGCAGGGCCTCATCATCGAAAGCGGTGACCAGGGAGTCGGTGCAGGTGTTTTCGAACGAAATGCGTAGGTCGTTCTCGTTCACATTCAGCACCGAGCAGTAGGAGCAGCGTACCGATTCCTCACTATCCCCGCTGAGCAGTCTGAAATGGCATTGAGAAGATCGGAATCTGTAAACACGGAAGTGCTGCTGCTGGCTCAGCAAAAAAAAAATAAAACGATTCCGTTACAACAAACTATGCCATAAGGCTGGTCGGCTGTTCAGCCTAAAATGAAAGTGAAACTACGCAGATGGGGCGTCAAGGTGGGCGGGATGGTCCGATGTCGGTAAACGCACCGGTTTTATTGATTACATATACGCTTTTAATGGGTATATAAGGTTTTGGGGTTTTTCTAAACATAACTTTTTGTAATTTCTTTCAAAATTGTTTAAAGATATAAATTTTGATTATTTATTGTTGTTTTTCCTGAATATTTAAAGCTTTCTTTCTTAGAAAATAAACACATTTAGCACAGATTTTATGTTCTAATTTTAAGAATAATAAATTCATCACTTTCTATCAAGAACCAAAAGTTTCATTGCTTATAACGAATATTCAAAAAGCAATTTTTCACAATTTCAATGATTGATCTTCTCTGAAATCAATCATTTGTCATTATCAGAACACAGTCACTCTTGTAATAAATTTATATAAAGTTCACTACTTTTACTTTACCCTATAATTTTATAGGGTATTCGAACTTTCGATCTTCGCCACTATCCAGTATTTCTTGATATTTTTGTTTATTTTTAATTGCGGCACACGCACAATGCAGGTTGAAATCAGAGCGACGGCAGCTGCCCTCACCTTGCCCACTAGATCACGATTGTCAAGGTTTTCCGGGGAAGCAGCCCCAGAGAAACTGGAACCTGAACCCCCCGCCTTTGTCAGCACTACCCTCTCCTTGGGCTTTTTATGATTATTTTTTTGGAGCTGCAAACAGCTAGGCACTAAATACTAAATAGTGAACACCGAACACTGAACGACAAATCGCGTGGTACGGATATTATTCACGTTCACGGCGGACCTATTGTTAAAGCCCGGCAGAGATGGAGACGCGTGCTCGTGGTTACGTTGGTTTTTTGGATTCGGATTCGTATTCGGTTTCGGTTTTTGGCGTCACGGTTACTCGTACTTTGATATTTTTTTTTGTATATATTTATAATACTTTTCGTAATTGTGTCTGTGCTTCTATTATTATTAGTGCTCTCTTTTGCCTGTTCACACTCAATTGAGTGTACTTTTAAATGGGAAAGTTTCGTTTTAATTAAGCCTGATGAAGCTGATTTAATTTAATCTTGGCCGCCATTGGCATTAGCCTAATGAATTTATTAGTTATTGTTATTGTTATTGTTATGATTGTTCGCCAACCGCTGAGTGTTTATTTTCCTCCAGCTATTGCATTACACCAAATCAAATCAAATCACTTTTCATGGATAGATTTTCATAATTGCGGTTTCGTATTTATCACACTTCACCCTGTGTATTATTTTTTATTTAATGTTTATTTTGCATTTTTTTTTTCTTTAACTATTAGGTTGGCAACCGAGAAACGTGCTGGAAGCAGATGTTTTTCGCTGATTTGATGGATTGACTATGAACTATGACTATGACTGTCGGGCCACAGAGACTCACAAACAGAATGGCTTTCGGCTTTCGCCGGAGCAAACGGAGAAGTCTGGAAGAGCGCGTTGTATGTATGTAGAGTAGAACCGGGTACTTGGAGTGATTACAGCGGCAAACTTTTTGCGACTAGCAGCGGTTGCCGCTCGCAAACCGCCTAGAAAATCGCCGGCAAACACTCCGAAAACGAGACCAGATCGTGGCCGAGACTTCGTGGCATTTCGGAATGGAATCGAAACGAATCGGCTGGGATCGTATGGGATCGTATTGGTTCGGGCGTCCTCGAGAATCCACGAGAACAGAGGGGATGGATGGGTGTGTAGGTCTTTAGTTTTTACTTTCTGTTTTTACTGCTGGCCAAGCGCGATACCTCTCTTACCTCGAATATCAATTGGTGGTCCCAGGAATTGCAGTTTGCTTCCGAGGCAATGAGAAGTGCTAGACCGAAATTGGCTGGCAATTGCCTAATTAAATAATTGCGATATTGACACCATGCACTTGACGCTGCTTTTTTATCTATATTTTTGTATCTTTTTTTGTATCTTTTCCGTTTCTCTTTACTGTTATGGCTACTAGTTTTGTTTTGTTTTTTTTTGCCAGACTTTTATTAAGCTGCTGCTGATGCTGCGACGACTTGATAACCTGTTCTGAACCCCGCGGCCGTTGCACAATAAATAAATAACGAATTTGTGCTGCCTTTTAATTGATTTCGCGACGACCGACGACGCAAATTATGGCTGCTTGTAATTCGCTGGCCCGGGCTGTCTTCACTAAGAATTGATGCCAATAAAAGCACACACAATAAATACAAAATACACGAGAATCGAAAACTATCCGAAAACAGTAAACACCAAATGGTATATAAACAATGATCCGCAAATACCTATCGTCTGGGTTTGTATGCAAATGTATTCTATTCTCAGAGGAATCGGATTGGTTTGGATAACACTGGTCAAGAAAGGAGGAAGTGTATATATGTTTTTGGGGTCTCGGTCTCGGTCTGGATCTCGTTTCTGGGTTGCAAATTGTGGATTTGTTTGCCCGCGACAAATTATGGAATTATGTATGTTATTCACCCGAAGCGATGGAAATGTTGTTTACTTTAGCCCTTGCAATCAGGCTGATAATGGATCGGCTTTTCCGCGTCACTTTTATCGATTCAATTATGTTTGGAAATCAAACAATCACAAGCGATTGTTCAAGTATTCCATGGGGACTCCTTTTTAATAGGGGCGTTCAAGGCTTGACACCAAATACTAACTAAAGTTTCTGCTTAAATTTAAACAAATTAACACTAAGACCTTCTGTTTAGCCTTTTGTTTGCTTGCTTTTGTTTAGAAAACTTATTTAAAGGCACGAAAACAAGTACAGAACATGTTTTTGCATATGTTATTTTCATTTTCTTATCGTCTTTTTAATATTTTAATAAATTTCATTTGCAATTAGACTTATTCACTTATTACACACACCGATTGTAGACTCTTGAACCCTTGGGATTTTTTCTTTTTACGTATTTTGTTCTGGCTTTTTAGCTTTCGATCCGCTCAAATGTGGAGTTCACTGCTCGACGACCATTAGAAGTTTATTGCGCGAGCTGAGACGAAAGGCAGGTCGGAGTGGGAATCTCGGTCTGCTACGATGGAATTATGCAAATGCCCGCCGATAAGCGGAGCGAACAAAAAAGCCACTCAAAAAAAAGAAAAAAACCGGTAAGAGACGCTGGCCAGATGCTTTGCATACGCGTAATTCCCACTTGTAAGCCGGGGTAATGTCTTTGAGTGGCTCGTTCTCTTTTCGGGGAACTGGGCAAACGGAGGGACAACTCGTCGTCGTCGTCATTGTCATTGTCTCAGAAATCCCCTCATAATTCTAACATTTTTATTTTAGGAAAGTTTCCATCTATTTTAAGATTTTTACAATGCCTAGGTCAGATGTTCATTGAACGAGATAGTTTTCCCATTATCAGATGAATACAATTTAGCTTTCTAACAACATAATCTGTGAAATGCGAAGGTAGTAATCGAACTGTTCTCTTTTCAGTTTCCGGATCGATTGTACTAGAGATTAGATTGGGAATTAGTAACTAAACAAAGTGAAACTTTGTATGTAAGAATTTTAATCAACTTGTTTAAACGTAAACCTAAATTCCTATTAAATCCATTTAAATACTAAATCAAATTACTATTTACATTCCTAAGTTTATTCTAATCGTACTCACCGATCGCCGAGCTTGCCCCTATGCCGACGGATGTGACGCCGGTTGAAACTGTTGGTGCACGACGTGGACGTGGGCCTTGTCGGATAAGGACACGGATGGTGGCCCCCAAAGCTGTGCAGCTGCAGCGACGCCTTGAGATTGGCGGGCGCTGTGGCCGAGGAGGCGTGATGCGAGTAGTGATACGGATAGGAGTACGGATGTGGATACGATACCCCGGCACTGGCTACGGTGATAGTGGACTCTCCGACCGGCTCGTGACCCTCGTTGGCCTCCGACGAGCCCTCCTGCTGTGATCCGTTGCTTGAGGAGTGATGCGTGTAGTCCGTGGGCGCGCTCAGCTGGCGATTGAACTCGGCCTTGCGGCGGGTGAGGTCCGTGAGGCAGTACTTGTTCAGGTGACCGTTGCTGCTGACCGAACTCTTGGGCGAGACTGCCGCGTAGTGACTGTGTCCAGTACCTGATCCCGATCCTGCTCCCGATCCTTGGGTGTGGGCATTCAGCTTGTGGCATGAGTTGCTGCTGGCGCTAAGCAAATTGCAGTTCTTGCTGCCGCTTGCCGAGCTGCTGATCTTGGCCGCCAGCGAGTGCGGCACCGGCGGACTCTTGCCCGTCGCCGGAATGGTGTGGCTGCTACCGCTTCCACTCTCGCTCCTCACCGATGCCCGATGTCCGGGCAGTGTTTGCCTACTCTGCCCCTTTCCCTTCAGCGATCCGTTCAGCAGCAACTGTTGCTGTCGGGCTGCAACCGCTGACAAGGCAGGCAACTGCTGGGACTTTGTGCAGGTGGATGTTGAACTGGCTGGCGCCGAGGAGGCCTGCGGATGCGGGGTGGAACTAGAGGTGGAGGCCACCTGCGGCTGCAGCGAGTGCTTCTTCTCCACCAGATATAAGTTCAAGTACTTATCACCAGGATGCAGTGAGTTATCCGACACCGCGTTCGATTTCGAGATGATCTGACCCTTCTTCTTGGCGGTTCGCGTCTTCAGGGAGAGATTTCGCAGCTTCTTGGACTGTTCCTTGATCTTGTTGGTGCGCAGGAAAGAGGGACTATTGGCTATGCACTTGAAGATGTACGTCTCGTTGACCAGTTGCTGTTTATCACTCCCGCTGTAGTCGTACTCGCTGTTTAGATTGAGATTGAGGTTGGTCAGGTGGCGACGTTCCCGTTCTCTATCCCTATCTCTGTCCCTGTCACGATCCCTTTCCGGATCCGGTTCTGGATCTGGCTCCGGCTGAGCTAACTGCTGGTCACTGTAGTGGCTCTTAAGCAGCGAACCGGCTCCTTCTGCTGCCGCTGCACTCAAGCTACGCGAGTACTCGTGACAGGCATCGTAAAGCGCCGACTGGCCACCAGTGCTGCTCACACTTTGGGTACCGCAGCTCACCGGACTGTGGCTGCTATCAAGAATTCGCAGTCCGCTCCTGCTGTCCCCGGAGTTCTGCTTGGAGATGCCGCTCGTGGATAGTCGGCTGCTACTGCTACGCTGTCGTTGCTGTTGCAGGTGTGGCTGCTGTTGCAGATGTTGCTGCTGGAGATGTTGCTGCTGATCATCGCCCGCTCGCAACAGCGAGACGCTGTCCGCCGCCGCCGATGCCGCCGGCTGGCCGTTGCTGAGACTCACCAGAGACTGGCGCACCAAGTGCTGGTGCGAGTGCGAGTGCCGCTGCTGATGGTGCTGCTGCTGCTGTTGTTGTTGTTGGTTGCTGTCCGGGCACAAGTTGTCGCGACTGGCACTGCTGGCGGAATCATCACGGGCGGCCCAAGGAGCCGAACGGAGTGAGGGCGGAAAGAAAGAGGAGACTTCAATGAGTACCGGGTTCAATGGCGGCATGGAATGGCCAGCGCCGCTGGCAAACACTCAAATTTATCTATTTCAAATTGGCAAGCAAGCATTGGAGGGAGACGAAACGCAAGTTCTGTGGTCCAGAGGGCCACGCTAAAGTGAGCAGGAAACAGAGTGTGTGCGAGTGTGGAAAACCGCGAGACAAACAAAGAAAATTCTTAATTATAAATATTGATTGTGCAACAATGTGAGGAGCGGTGGGGAGCGTTAGAGGTGGGTTAGAGTATCGCATTCCCGGCATATATGTGAGTTCATCGCACAGAGGACACTTGATATAGTAACCAGCTAGTGTTCAAGATAGGTTCGAGTATGACTACATCAGCTAATTACCATCTGACTCAGAAGTCTCGGGAGTTTAACAAAATTAATAGACAAAAATGTGACTTAATCTTTCAACTTATTTCAAACGTCTTAAGTCGTGACTTTAATAGGATTATAAGATTAAAAAGTTATTAATGTCGTCATTACTTTTATATTGATTTAAGCTGTTTAATAGTTTAATTTAATTGGGATATTGCAATATATGCTTGGGAGTATTTCATAAACAGCAAGTGATTAATATGAATTAACTATTTTTATTGCCTGAACTTTCCTTTATATCGAGTGCCCAGTGTGACCGCGATGTGTGATACAATTTATAGAGACATCTATATACAATGGTTGACATGCTCATCTGGTTTCTGATCGCGCGAAAAATTCAACTAAATTAATGTATGGCGGCACGCAGGCCAAGCACTGATAGAGCCACAGATACAGATATAGATACAGATACAGATACACAAGCGGTAACAAAAAAGCTACACGGAGATACAGATAGGGATACAGATACAGATACACACCGCGTCGATATGGGTGGAGATAGAGATATATGGCTGGAAACGCGTGCCGCAAATGGTAATGGAACTATTCCGCACGGTGGGCGGCGGAAGTACCCTAAATCAAATTGCCAAATGGCTAAGATAAGATAAGGATGCGACAGACAGACTCGGCTGATAAGGCGTGGAAGCAAAAAAAAGAAGAAAAGGCCAGTAACAGTGGCATTGCATGGGAAGCTGTGTATGTTATTTACAAATTATGTGGAAATGAGTGCTGAGCATGGTGATCTGGCCCACTGTGCCCAGGGCAATCAAAGCTACCAAAACGTGAGGCAAACTATTGTATTGACATAGCTAAACACTGGCTCAGGTGGTGTGCGGGAAACGGGGGGTAAGACCCCCTCCTTCTCGAACAATGGGAAAACAATTGAAGCTCTATTCTCGGTGTGCGTGCATCGAACTTTTCCGATTCCGTTTCAAATTCCGGCTCCCAGCTAACCAAGCTCTAGTTGAGTGCGAAAAATGGGGCGGGTGGAAATGGTGGTGCATGGAGCAAACAGAGCATTTCCCAGGCCCGGGGAATCGACTCGAATCAATTTCGGTCAATTAGGCAGAGGCAGGCTCCCTCGCGCCACGGGGCGCAATTATCCCAATTCGGATTCACAAATTTGAAAGCGAATCGGAATTGGATTTGGAAATCAAAACGGCATTTGTGCAAATATAAGTAAATATGTCAAATATTTGCACGCCAATGCTCAGCGGATGAGAGTTAAGCACTTCACACAAACACAAACACACACACACACACACTCGGAAAGATACCGAACGACCGAGATACAATCTCAACATCCGGCGCCGAGTGGCGGGCCTCTCTTAGCAATCTCGGATCTCGGACCTAATCTGGCCGAAAGTCACTTTTCGAGGAGCCAAAGGCAAATCAAAGCGAAAGCATCGCTCAGCTCGGGGGAATTCCAGTGCTTGGGGTTCCTATCTGATGGCTTTTTCATCTCGGCTTCGAGTGTTTGCCACCTGTCAAGTGCTGCAGTCAAAAGTTGCCCTTGCCCCTTTTCGCAGTTTCGCAGGCAAGGTAACGAGTCCAAGTTTTGGGCCCAGTTTGCGGGATAAGTAAACTAATAAGACAACCTGTCTGCACAGAGAGAAATGAGAGAGTTAATCTGGTTTACTATCTGTTTAATATAATATATTTCCTAACAGAATAAAACTATCTGTAAGCTAACCGTAGACTTCCAGTTGCTATGCCGCTTTGATAGGCAAGAAACTGCTGGGTTACTACCCCAATTAGCTTGTAATTTCCCTCAGTGTTCCCTCTTTGTGCGGCCTACGTCCAATGTCAACTCTGGCGCATTGGAGTGGCCCTCTAGCAAGGGGATTAGCCACGAAGATTTGAGCGTGTGCTGCCCATCCTCGAAAGCTTGAAATTGGGGAGGGTGGGGGCAAACAAGTCTGCCGGAGCAGGTTTCCGCCATCGAAATCGCCAATGCCCCTCCACCCTTCCCCCCCGACTGATATACAATATGCCTCAATTAATAATTCAAAAGCCAATTGAAGGCATTAAGCGTAAATTCGTAAGGCGTACGTAATTGAGACGCTGGCTGCCTGCATTCCACTTCGTTCATCGATATTAAATCAAGTGCAGCTGTTAGCCCCCAAATGGGGGATCCACAACTATATTTATAACTGATCTACTTGTCTCAATGGAGATGGAAATGTAATACTCATTGGCTGTGCTCTAATTTCCATGGACCATCTCGAGAATGTTTGGAATATTGTTTTGGTTTGTGGTCTTGAACTTTTTGAAACATACTCAACCGCTTACCGCTTGAGCTATTTTAATATATATTTCTGATGCTGGGCGAATATTTTGGAAAACGTTCAATATGCATTTAATTGCTCATGAGCTGAAAGCTCCCGCCAGCAAAAATCAAACAAAATTGAAAGCAAATTACCAAACATGCCACTCGATACACATTTCCGTGTAAACAAATTACGAAAATTTCCATTTTTAGTGCACATTTTGTTTACCATTGTGCCAATTTACAAAGCCTGTGCAGTCAGCCGGATTTTATTTGATCAAATACATATTAACGATTTCTTCTTTGTATATATGGGAAAGTGAATTTGGAATATCGTAATATATTTTAGATGATTACGACTTCCTCTATATAGTTCTAAGATCTGTGTAAATACTTTGAGGAAGAACGAGCTATTAAATATTTTATTCTACTTTATAGTATTTTATATTTTTGAATGGAAAATGCCTTTTGCTTAAACTAAAATATTGGATTTCCTTTTGAGATTCTTTATCTTGATTTTATACCTCCAAAAAATAAAAAATCTAACAATCAGAACTGGTCCTAAACGACCTTCCCGAAATCCGAAATTTTCCAGTTTTGGCCCCCTTAAGGTCATTGCAATATCAAACCGAGGTTACGAACGGTTCATCTAATGTCGTTTATATATGGAAATGTCATTTTAAATACACTGCAGAGTCAGTAATTAAATTTTGACTTCAAAAGATTTCCGGTTGGACAGGCAAATGAACGCACAGAACTGGATGGATGAGAGGAGAAGGGCTTAGCTTAGCTCAACTATAAATAACACGATTTTTCGGCTAACCAGAATACAGCCAAATTATCCATTAATTATTACGACAGCCGAGCAATTAATAAATCAGACTTGCGGGCATAAGGGTTGTGTTGGGGCGGGTAGGGGGTAAATCAGTGGAGTTAACAAACAAAGAAATGCTACATCACAACCATTTGACATGCCAATTGTAAATAAATTTTGATTCGACTCCGGATGATATATGGAAATCTAAGGGGTCTTATATCTTATAAGAGTGTTTTGGGGTTACTAAAGATCTTAAGCAGGCAAGGTTGAGCAGAGCGGGGGGTTGGGTGTTGAGGTTGAAAGTCATTAAAGCGATGCATTCGGAACACTTTCTGATTGACTTTTGGTGGAAGGGGTATGCTAGCAAAAGTGCATCAAAGTTAATGAATTTACTTTCAGTTTGCAACCAACCAGAAATTGTGAAGCTCAAAAGTTGAAACTTGCGCTGGGGTTTAAGTTTTCGGGATAGTTTCTAATAACGAGCAGAAAAGTTAGTAGTAGCATTAAATGTGTGTGTGTGTATGAATGTATATATCTGTGTTGCAGTTAAGTAGTTAGTATTAGTATAGTAAATGGAGTAGTTAGTTGTATAGAAGTATACCATACAGAGACTACGATCTATATATAAGTATATAGAGATATATAGAGAAAGAGGCGGAGACACTGAGAGACAAAAAGAGAGATAGAAAGAGAAAGTATGGGTAGTATTCGGAAGTTGGTCGGCAATACCTTCACAGATGATGTCTAAGATCGCGCTCCACAGCAAATGTGAGTTGCAAAATTTTCGTTTTCGGTTTTCGGTTTGTGGTTTATATTTGGTTTTTCTTGGTCTTTTTTTTTTTTTTTTTGGTTGGTTCTTACTTTCTGTTTTTCAACGTTTTTGTACTTTTAAGCAAAGTTTTTCTGCAAAACAACAACGACAAGGACACGAAATAAATCCAAGTTATTCACGTGACGAGCACCAAAATGGAAATAATAAACGAGAAATGAAGGAAACGAAACTGAAAACTAACAAACTGAGCGGGAAATAACTTAAATGAGATTCGTTTGGGGGATAAGAAATTAAATTAACTGCACAAAGCACACAGACACGAGTGGGTCCTGCAAATGTATGTTTGCCTATGTGTGTGTGTGTGTTTGTTTGTGTGTCTGTGTTTCTGCCAACATGTTTATGTGTATGTATGTGTTTTTGTTGCTGTCGAGTGTATGGAAATGTGGAACTAGAACTAGCTCAATTGGAAACATCGGGCTTCCTTTTTGGCACAAAAGAAAAGAACAGCTTATCTGGCACTCTGCTTCACTCACTCACTGTCGCCGTCTCTGTCTGTTGTCCTGCATGTTAGCTTGTGTGTCTGTATAAGCAATGTGTATGTGTGGGTGGCAATAACAATGCAGTAGTCGGCAAGCGCTTATCGATACATACAAACACACAATCGCTTACACATACAAACAAATGCCAGCCGAAATTCGGTCAGTGGTTTAATCATTGAAGTAAAAGCGAAAGCTTCCTCTCATTCAAACACACATACACATACAAACTTATACAATTGCAATTCCATGTACAGTGGCCCCTGAATGTATGCAACACTGCGTACGATTGCACTTAAAGTACTTTGACACTATTCTCAAGCGATGCGATTCATTGTATTTGTGCGGCCATTGTTGTCGGCCTGGCTTGACTTTTAATCTAGTTTCGTAATTGCATTGACTGGAGTGACGGATGACCTCTTAAATGGGGACGGGGCAGATGGTGGGAGGTGGGTGGTGGCTGGTCAGGAGCAGGAAATCAGTTCACAGCAGGCCAACAAAAAGGCCACTTGGCAACTCACTCACACACACTCAGACACTTTCTCAAACATACTGATGAACGTGAATAGTAACAACAACAACAGCAATTGCGGCAGCAGCAACAACATCAACAACAATAACAGGGTAACTCAAGATACAAAGAAACGAAACAGAGACACTGAACATAACGGTACGGAACGAAACGAAACAAAACGAACAACACAAAAAACGGGATTACTAGGGTGGACCTTAGTTCTTAAAATGCAAGTTAAGTTTGTTTAGGAAAATATTTTTTTATACATATTTCGTAATTTAAAAAAATTACTCATACGACATGGTGATCAACTTTATTACTCATTCGCACCGTTTACACCTTTTTCGATCTATACCGAAAGTTTTTTTCAAATTTTACAGCCAAGTTTATTAAAAAAAGTAAAGAATATTTCAAAATACTAAATAATTTTATCAATTCATGACTTTAAATATTAAGTTTTTAATAATTGACTCTTTAGTAAACTCAGGTCCACCCTAGGGATCACATGAAAAATTAAACATAAATACATTCATTTCAAAACTGTACAACGCGGTGTGGGAGATCGTGATCGAATGAGCCAAGGATATCCGAGAACCAGAAGCATCCTGTGCTTCGCTCTCACCTACCTCCCACACCAGTACAACGTACATCGTGCACAACAACAGTACAAGGACATACAAGGATGGCAAGTGAGTTGGTAACGCCTACCGTTGATCGTTGGTAAAGGTTCCGAAGGCTCCAGGACCGCTGACTCGTCGCTGAGTGTGTTTAACGTGCATTTTCTTGGACCCACGACGCCGCCGCTGTCACGTCACCACCTACACTCGAACTCGAATTCGAACCACATCGAACCACTCGCGCCACCTTCGCTAACGTTGTTGTTTTGGTAATTTTGCAGGACGTTTTTTGTTGTTTTTATTTTTGTTGTTTCTTGTTTTTTTTTGAGGGTGTTGTTGCTATTGCTATTGCCGCCGGAAAGGCCTCGCAATGCCCACTGCAATTCTTGGCCTTGTCATGGCAGCTGAGTACGTGTGTATATGAGTCTAGCAGTAGTAGTAGTTGTCGTGTGTACAGGTGTGGGTGCAACTTCCGTTTCGATTTTTGGCATTAACTAATACAAGTCCAGCACACGGACACGTAAACAAAAATAAATTGCTCTTCGTTGTGTTACTCTCTTTCTCTCTCTGTCTGTCTTTATATGTTTATGACTGTCTCACTCGCACATGGGGCTGTTCGTCTTTATCCGTGTTTTTTAGGTTTTAGGTTAGGTTTTCAATTCGATTTTGGTGGGTTCTTAGGTGTTTGGTTGAGTAACGTAGGTTGGTTGGGTGAAGGTATCTAAAAGGTGGCCTCTAAAATAGTCAACAGCACTGCTTGTATTGCTTATGGTTCTTCACTTTTCGTTTCAATTCGTTACGTTACGTTTCGCTTCGTTTCGTTATGCGCCTTGTTTGTTTTTGAGGTTATGTGACTTTATGACTTTATCTGTTTTGAATTGCGTGTATAATAATACCATATGTTACTATTTATAGTTTAGCTTTTGTTTTACTTTAGTTAAGAGCGTTATTTCGGGGCTATTCGTTTTGTACTTTGGATTATAAATGTCGTTTATCCACTAGGGTATAGTTATTGTTGCTATTCGGTTGGTGGTGTACAGATGTGATGGTGGGGCCTGGAACTGGAGCTATAACTGTAACGTTAACAGTAACGGTTAACGTCAACGGTAACTGGAGCTGTAGTGGGGTGGGCAGGATCGGGATCCGAGATGTGGATCGTTGAATTATTTATCACAAATAACAAACTAGCTGTTGGAGTTGGGGATCAGGTTTGGGATGGTGAAGTTGTGATGATGACAGCTCAGTTTTCTTGCTCCAAAATGTATGCTATCTCTCCGCTTTCCAACCCTCTAGCCGCTCCACTCACTGCTTTTCCTGCTCTTCTCGTCCTCCCTGCTTAAGTTAATGTTTGGTCATGAAAGTTTAACGAACGCACCGCAGTTTTGGCTTTTGCGGTCGCCTTTTATATTATTTTTTGTTTTTCTTTTCACTTTTTGTGTGGCAAATGGAAGCGACGCGAGTTAAGGCGGAGTTACGTCAAGGCAGCGCAACACGGGAAACCCAAAAGCAGGTAGCTTAATTTCGTCCCTTCTCAACCAACGGGTCTAAGGTTGTGTGTGTTTGGGTGTGTGTTGTGTATCTGGCACGAGCAACACGCAAGGGATCCGGACCCGGCGACAGTCAGTCCCTCCTTGGGACTCCGTGTGGCGACGTCCTTCGCCACCCAATTAATGCATTAATCGGCGCCCTCGTTACTTATTCAGATGCAATTTGAAAGGCCTAGGTCGAGGGCGGGGATCGAGTTTTGCTTTAGCGGCATTATAAAAATAAATCCATATAGGTAAGATATACAGACTGGCGTTTATCGTTTTTCTATTCGCTACGGCTAAGTATCTTGTATATATCTCGTAGGTGTATATATATATATATATATATATGTTGTATATAGAGAGGCAACTACTTGGTAGTTTTAGTTAGTCGTTAAGTGCGTTTATGTTGCGGTTATTTTAAATTTTTCGTTTTTCTTTTTGCTGTTTGCTGTCCTACGGGCAGAGACGCTCGTCTCTCTACAAACTACGAGGTTAGTTCCATTACTCTATCTCAACGGGGATTACGCTTTATATCATATCCTTGGGCTGTATATCAGTAACTTCCAGCGGTGAACAAACTGCAACGAACTACGGTTTTCTATTTTGGTTTTATGTACGTGGTTAGCGTTTATCGTTTATCTATAGCACTTTTGTATATAGCGAGTGTCCTTTGTATATTTATTAAAAGTAATTCTAATTTTGGGTTTTGCTTTTGTTCTTTTGGTTTTTTGGGTTATGCTTTTAAGATTTGCTCAATTTCATTGTTGCAGGTACTTTGGTTTTGGTTTTATCATTACATTCTATTTTTGGTTATCGCGTGTCCTTTATTTATAGGCGTTTCCAGGGTTTTTTTTTTCTTTCCTGCTGACTTGGTGACTAGCTGGCGTTGATTAAATAATTCTGCACTTTGCGTTGATTTCCCGAGTTTTCGTTTGCTTTCTTGTCCTTGTTTGCGCTGATTTCCGCTTTGTTTTATTTATTCTTGTTTTGCCTTTTTGTCTTTTTATTTTCTAGTTTTTATTTTTTTGCCAGTCGTTCTATTTGATTATGTAATTATGCTTGGTTTCTTATTGGATATTGAACAGTACGTGTGTCCTAGGACTATGTGTGTGTATGGTGGTGTGTGTTTGTGTATGTGTGGTATGTGACTGTATTGGTGTGTTACATGCGATTTTTTTCAGCTGCTGCGGCTGTGTTTGTGGTGGTTTCGTTGGTTTCGTGGGTTGCGATAGACGTAAGTGGTTCGTCATCAACATTTTTCGCACATACATACACGATTCACGGGCGTGTGTGTGTGCGTGTGTCTTAGTGGATGAAATTTATTGAATGAAACGTCAAGCGATTTGACGAATTTTAAACAAATTATTTATAACACACATAGACATAGCAGGCACGCACACGCAAATATTGCGAGAGAGTCACGCACACACACAGTTCACAGTCGTGGTACGAAAAACGGCACAAGGCACACAGGACACACTGGAGGTGGTGTAGTGGTAGTGGTGGTGGGAGGATAACAAGGAGGAGCTGACGAAGAGGAAGCCAGAGGAGTGGAGATGAAAGTGGGAGGAAGTGCACACGTTAAATCAATGCTTCTTTTGACCTCTATTACATTTTCGTTCGCCTTTCGTCTTTCGCCACCTTGCCTCCACCTCCTCCTCCGCGTCCTCTTTGAACTCCTCTTCTTTTTTTCCCGAGCCCACGACTACCTGGTACTTTTTTCAACGCCCGTGTTACGGCACATTTAATATTTCATATTTTTCATATATACCAGATACACAGTCACTTCTTCTCGAAATTCATTTCATTTCATTACTTTTCTTTTCTTTTCACTCGATTTCGATTAGGTTTTTCCTTTCTTCTTTTTTTTTTCTTTTTTGGGTCGCGCTGGCTCTTTCCGTTTATAGGCTGTTTAAATGTTTATCACAATGCTGCTTTTTCTGAATGATTTATGCCATTCGTCACCGAGCAGCGCACTTAAACTTGCTATTTGAAATCTCTTCTTTATGTAACGAACGGAATAACGGCACAGTCGCTGCTGCTGCTGCGACTGCTACTGCTGCTGCTGCTGCTGCGACACGAACGAACTCAGCGCGACAAGTGAAACTTGGCTTTCCGATTCGCATGCCACTGACGTGCGCCGTGGAAACAGAAACAGAAACAGCCGAGCCGAGCCTGCGAGATTCGCTGAAAATCGATAAGGACAGGCAAAGTCGCCTGCCAAATTCCAGAAGAGTGGTTGTGGAGGTGGGTCCAGGATGGCAAAGGCGAACGGCACAAAAGCACATTCTTCTGCGGCCAAAGTGAAACCGAGAGCGTGTGGGTGGCGCGGCAGTGAAAGTGCACATGTCCTGAGTGTCTCGTGTCCTTTGGCACAGTGGCGGGCTTAAAAGTTGGTGAGCCTTTAGTTTACTCACAGCTTTAGAAACGATTAGATAATTGAAAAGGCTCTTATTATCTTTCAGAAATCTTTTATAAAGAACCAATATTGAGTTTTAAAAAAATAAACTTTTCCTGAAATAAGCAGATCACATTTCTGAAAAAGTATTGTATTAAAAAACATAATGCCAATCTAAATGGGAAAATGGCCAAAGGAAATGGGATTAAATATTAAATACTTAAATAAAAATAATAAGTCTAAAAGAAAATAAAAAATTAAATAACTTAAAACCCAAAGCCCACTTTTAGGGGTCTACCGATACTGTAGCTATGCTAACTATTGCGTTCGCCACTGTAATCATCGCATGCCTTTTCGTCCAAGAGCGCGAGTGCGCATTTGGCAGGCTCTCCAGGCGAGTAATTTCGTCCGCTCCCGCTGCAAAAACAGAAACCGAAACTGAATTGAGAATGAATCGACGCTCCGAGGAGCTCTTCGGATAACAGCCTTTGTGTTTTCGCCCTGAATGAAAGTCCGCCAGCCTGGGCCATCAGCCATCAGCTGGCCCGTTTGGTTGGCTGTGGTTTCCAACGCTTTCTGAATTGCGCTGCCCACGCGAGGCGGCGTCCAAGTAAACAAATACATGTGCGCACGGCTGTGATAATAGGGCGTCGCGCACATGTTCAGCTGTAAGGTCAGAGCACACCATGTCCTTACAGTGAGCCATGGCCACAAAGACATATGCACACGGCCGAACAATAGGATCAAAGATCAAGGTCAGTCTGATCTCTGTTAACGATTCATTTTATCACATTAATTAGAACTTAAAAAGAACATTAGCATATAGATATATCTTAGAAATTAACATCATGTACACTTTTAAGTTCTTTTATATCAATTTAGAAGGTATAGATTCCCCATGCTTACTACAAACGGGTGAAAAACAAAAAGAGAATCATATACAAAAGGCAATGAGGTAGGCTGCTGGACGCTTTGGAAACCCCTCCTCTGACCTGAAAGTTTCCAAAAAAGAAAGTCCGAGGAAGCTTAAGCGATGGCAGCTGCTGACACTGCCCAGAGAACCATTTGCGGGTGTTGCCGTCGCTATCCCGGGATACGATACAAATCTCAGCTCCCAGTAGTTTCTGTTCTCCAAGCCGCGTCAGCTCTTCTACTGGAATTTGGGCAGTACGATTGTTGTATGCATAGTCAGATTGATAAAGCACCTCGTTGCTATTGCTCCGAATATAAACATGGAAGTCGGAGACATCGGAAGTGCCGGAAACAAACCAACTCAGGGTCAACATACCAGCTTTGGTGCTAAAAGATATAAAATTTGGGTCATTTAAAATTTACTTTGTTTAAAGTAATGTAATGCTTACGTTTTCACTTCTCTGAAACGGACATCCGTAAGCTGCTCATAGTCGAAACCCTTGTACATCTCCCGCTCATCCTCGGCGCAGTGCAGATACTCATCATCCAGAGATATAAGTTGCTTGTCCTTGATCAAAGATGGCGTGCCGCAGTGTATGCTCTGCAAGTCCTCACCAGGGGTCGTTTGCTGCAGCATAAAGTACTTTAGAGGTCGGGCATTACAACCGCAATGCAGGGGATTTCCAGCAAGGAGAACTTGGCTACCATTCCGCATATTGCCAACTATTGAGGCAGGCACATCTTCCAAACTATTGTTGGTAAGATCGATATATTTTAGCGACTTCACCTTTACCAGATTTTCAAATGGAAGATGGTAGATCTGATTATGGGAAAGATCTAGGCTGCTTAGATTCTGTGGCAGGTCAAAGATATGCTCTTCAGATTTCAGATTTGCCAGCTCATTATAGGAGATGTCAAGACTATGAAGTGAAGTAAAATTGGATATAACTCCTCTCCGAAGATCATTTATCTGGTTATGAGACAAGTCCAATTTGAATAGCTTTTTCGTCCCAAACGTGATATCATAAGTAAGTACTGGCATTTGATTATAGCTCAGATTGAGGTTCCTAAGATTGTATGGTATGTATTGATGGGAAGGAAACGTCTTCTTTGTCACAAAACTTATACGATTGTGACTCAAATCTAAGGTTTCCAAACTGAGTAAATCATCCAGAACTCCATTGGTTTTGTTGTCCAACTTGGTGAGGAAATTAAAGGAAAGATCAAGGTTTCGCAGAGATGGTAGGCCAATAAATATGTCATTTTGTAGCTGCTGAATTCCGTTGGATGACAGATTTAAGGTGAGCAATTGCAACAACCCCTCAAAAGCTCGTTTACTAAAAGTTGAAAAGGGATAAGAAATTGACGAAAATACATTTTTATACTTCAATAACATCTTACCTTATGTCCTTAACTTGATTACCATACAGATTTAATTCAAACAGTACTGGCAGCTTTCCAAAGGCACTGCGCTCAAGGGTGGTTATGTTGTTGTTCTGAAGGGAAGTAACAATTTAAGTTAAGTTTTAAAATTTAAAGGTATTTCCTCACCTCCAAATACAAATACTGCAATGTTGACATCACTGATACTGCCTCCATTGGTGGCTGACTGATGCCATTGTTCTGAAGCTTCAAACGTTGCACTACCAGCAGACCCGTAAAACTTTGTCCATTTAAACTATCACCCAGTTGATTATGGCTCAGATCCAAGTATATAAGTGAGTTCATTACTGGCCAGGTGCCCGCAGGTATTTCATTCAGTTTGTTATGGCTGAAATGCAGCTCATTCAGGGAAATGGGCAGCTGGAAGAGTTTTTCCAACTGATTGTTATTCAAGTACAGCTGCCGCATGCTAGTCAACTTGGCCAATGATCCTCGCACTATGGAAACCAATTCATTATGACTGAGATCCATTTCTAACAATGTAGGCAAAGTGCCAAATGTTGAAGACTTGATCTCCCGCATGCTATTATAACTCAGATCAATTGATCGGAGAGAGAACAGGGTTTGAAAAACTCCATTAAATATGCTGGAAATGTTGTTATGCGAAACATCAATCGTATGCAGTTCATAAAGCTTTGGAAAACAGTTCTTGGGTATCTCAGTTATGCTGTTGTGAGAAGCATTTAAAACTTTCAAGCCCGTCATATTTTGAATGGGAATCTGCAGGATAATACAATTAATTTGTAAACTTATTAAAACACAAAAGATAGGCTATTACCTGTGCTAAATTGGTAAGGTTATTATAACTCAACTGAAAATATGTTGCAAAAGTGGTCTCATCGAAGCTGCGGCGCGAAAAATTTGTCAAGCGATTATGGGACAAGTCAAGAACCGTAATGTTCACGCAGTTTTCAAAGGCAGCTGTCTCGATAAGCTCTAAAGCATTATGGGAGACATTTATCACAGCTTGGTAAATATCCTTGAACGAGTTCTTTTCAATCTTGGTGATGTTGTTCTCCGCCAAATCCAGTAACTAAAATTTAAGATATCCATTAATGCATTTAAATAAAACTTTTATAATGTTAATTCTTACCTCTACATAGTTCATCTGCGTAAACATCTGAAACTCGACTTTCTTCAGTTGGTTGCGTGCCAAATCTATAGTTCCTATGCGGGCAACCGAGCCGAAGGTACCGCGTCCAATGTCGGTAAGCACATTATCACTTAGGAAAAGTCGTCGCAAAAAACGCATTCCCCTGAAACTATTCGCATCCAGACGTGAAATATTGTTATGCGACAAATGGAGCACTTTTAATACAGAGTTCCTGGCAAAAGTTCCACGACTTAGTTCGTTCAAGGCATTATGGGAAACATTGCACCATCCCATCTTAGTAAGGTCAGCTATGTGCTGTGCCTCCAACTTTTTGATCTTGTTGTGACTTATATCCAGGACCTCTAACTCTCTAAGGTTTTTAAACTGATTCCTTTTCAAGTTCTCCAACTGATTGCCATGCAGGTCGAGGGTTTTAAGTTTTCGCAATGGCTGGAAAGTCTCAATAGGCAGATCACTCAGGTTTCCATTCGTTACCCTGATTATCCCAAGACTATTGGTGATCTCTTGGCCAGCAAATAGATCCTTGGGCAGCTGCTCGAACGCATGACCATCGATAACCAGTTCCTTCGTTTTTCCAAGAATCTGTCAAGATATTTAGTGTTTTATTCAAGAATTTGTAATGTCTAATTTCGTTCTTACGCCGAATCCTAATGGTCCTATGCGGCTTAGGTTGGTGCGCAGTAGGTGCAGTTGCTCCAAAGTGTTGTTGACTCCATAAAACACGTAATCCTCAATGGTGGCCAATGGAGTTTCTTCAATGATCAGCAAACGCGCTTTAATGTGGGCAAACAGAGGTCCATATAGACGCACTAGAAATAAAATTGGTATGTTAAATTAACAAATTTAATGGCTTTATAAAACTACGCACCAAAATGACCCCTGTAGATGGTCAATTCCTCAATAGGCATTTGAAAGGAAGCCAAATTTTGGAGAGCTACGGATAAAGTCGCCAAATTGGTATTTTCGCAGCGTATATAGAGTCCATTATCGCTGCCCTTTACACATTCGCAGGGGTACAAGACTTTGGATCTGTTAAAAAAACAGTATTTTTATAAATAAAAATATATTTTTAATCAAGACAACTCACTTTTTGGGACACTTATACTCCGGTTCGCCGTACACATACTCCGAACTTGCCAGGGCTATAAAATGCAGCAGAACGAGACTGCGCAGGCGTAGCTGAATCATGTTTTAGCGATTTCGTCAGCGTTTTAATTTAGTTTAGCCCATGGCCCAATACCAAGTTCGCTGCCCAAGTCTTTTGTATGGGCGCAGTTTTCTAGGAAGTTGAACTTCTTTGTATTAAGATTATCCGCTTCAATGGCTTGATTTTTTCAAGCTAATAAGTAAAGTTTAATTGTCTTATCAACGAACAAAGGTAAATATATTCATGGTCTGCTCACCACTTTTACTTTTCGCTCTGCTGGCGCAACAGGTTTTTATAGACCGCTCTTTCGGCCTTCTTAGGGCACTCTCTTTGGAGCTTTAATAACGCCCCATAGAATGATTACCCATTAAACTGCATGTGTGCTAATGATATTACACAGTAAATTCTGGTATCTACCTTTATTTCTTCTTTTATTCCGCTGAATTAACATATTTTTATTTATTTTAGCATCGGCGCGCATTGTAATCGATAGGTTTCGAGCAAGTTGGCAGCTCTTCAAAACAATCATTTTGGACTATCGGCAGCCCGCATATCGAATCACCCGCACTACTAAATGCAACCCTGTTGTGACATATCGCTCGTTGTAAAAGCAAAACCAGGCGCAAAATAAATAAAATTTGCTCGCGTCCCCATACAATTCTTGTTGTACCTTAGCACAAGCAAATGTAAGTACGACCGGTTAACTAATTGCAATTAATAAGGGACAAATTGAAAAGTGCGCACTTTTTTTTGGCATTTTGCAATTGAAATGAGTGGGCATTGTTCACGTTTCTCGCCTCGCCGACAGGGAGAAATACTGACTTCGCCCGTTTTAGCCGCCATCGCGGCAACAGCCAATCGCAGGCCTCGCTACACACACGCGGCAGAAAATCCGTGTATGTACACGTCTGAGCGCTGTGGTATTGGTGGCCGGGGAGAACGCGAGTTACTCGCTGCATAGAATGGGCCACTCTGTTTTTGTTGCGCGGCAAAACTGCGTTAATTGGCCATTCCTATTAATTATACCATTTTTTACCCTGTATCCTATTCAGCTCTTTAAATCAAGATGAGCTACGCAGCTGATGTCCTGAACTCGGCCCACTTGGAGCTCCATGGTGGTGGCGACGCCGAACTACGTCGTCCTTTTGATCCCACGGCCCACGATCTAGATGCTTCATTTCGACTCACCCGATTTGCCGACCTTAAAGGACGTGGCTGCAAGGTGCCGCAGGATGTTCTATCCAAGCTGGTATCTGCCCTGCAGCAGGATTACTCTGCCCAGGACCAGGAGCCGCAGTTCCTCAACGTGGCCATTCCTCGTATTGGCATTGGCTTGGACTGTGCCGTGATCCCTCTGCGTCATGGCGGCCTCTGCCTAGTGCAGACCACCGATTTCTTCTACCCTATTGTCGATGATCCCTACATGATGGGCAAGATCGCCTGTGCCAATGTGCTCAGCGATCTGTACGCCATGGGAGTCACCGATTGCGACAACATGCTTATGCTCCTTGCCGTCAGCACCAAGATGACTGAGAAGGAGCGTGACGTGGTCATTCCACTAATAATGCGTGGCTTTAAGGATTCTGCTTTGGAAGCGGGGACCACTGTAACTGGAGGACAGAGCGTGGTCAACCCATGGTGCACTATTGGAGGCGTGGCCTCGACCATTTGCCAGCCAAATGAGTACATTGTGCCAGATAATGCTGTGGTCGGAGATGTCCTCGTGCTAACCAAGCCACTGGGCACCCAGGTGGCCGTAAATGCCCACCAGTGGATCGATCAGCCGGAGCGCTGGAACCGCATCAAACTTGTAGTGTCCGAGGAGGATGTCCGCAAGGCTTACCACCGAGCAATGAACTCCATGTCGAGGCTCAATCGCGTGGCTGCTCGTCTCATGCACAAGTACAATGCCCACGGAGCTACCGACATTACTGGATTTGGACTTCTCGGGCACGCACAAACCCTGGCTGCTCATCAGAAGAAGGATGTGTCGTTTGTTATTCACAATCTGCCAGTGATTGCGAAGATGGCTGCCGTGGCTAAAGCCTGCGGCAACATGTTCCAACTGCTGCAAGGCCATTCGGCCGAGACCTCTGGAGGATTACTGATCTGTCTGCCACGCGAGCAGGCTGCCGCCTATTGCAAGGACATCGAAAAGCAGGAGGGCTACCAGGCCTGGATTATTGGCATCGTTGAGAAGGGCAACAAGACCGCTCGAATCATCGACAAACCGCGCGTTATTGAGGTTCCCGCCAAGGATTAGATCTTTTCCGCGTGATCATCCGCTTTTGTCTACCTTAAGTATAGTAATTTTAACGTAACTGCTGCTCCCCTCAGTTGTAACCGGCATCAACGGTCTTTGTTTTTTATAAAAAAGCTTATCAACTACAGATTCTCTGATCACTATAATCATGGACGTCGCTACTGCAATACGAGTGAATAAAATGAAAACACTTGACTCTTTTGTATCGAGTAAACGAACGAGAACGGTTTTTTCGGGGTGATGCGGGGCATCTGGATGAGCTTTTTCAAGTAAACTTTTGTTATTAAATCGCATATGGCTGGGAGAAAAGTGGAGCATCTTTAAATTGTATACATTTGATCAAACCGCTGTCATTAATGTTTTCTGAATTAAACTGAATAATTTTAGTAGTCGTGAAAAAGGTTTCTAAACTATAAATTTCGTTTTTTTAAGTTGATGCACTCATATGTAAATTTGTATAGTTGCACTTTGGAATTAAAACTTTGCTAATATAAACATTAAATTTGCTAACTTGCTAACTTTTGTACCTACGTTGACTCGGGTGCTTGCTAATAAAATCAAGCACGAGTTTTGGAAGTTAAAGTTGTCGAGGTGTACGTGTGTTTTAACCATAAAAGCTTTGTTTGACAGGTTAAACCTTGGAGCGGAGTTATCAGTAATTTTTATTTAAGATAAATCTTTAAAAGTGTCACCATTTTACAAACATTTAGAATGCATTCAGCTAGTATCAGAAACGAAGAAAGGCCATTCGAAAATACAGTTTTTTTTTAATTTGCAGTGTTTTGATCAAACACAAAGCACATTTATGTGATCAGAAATAAATTGGGTCGTTCGAACTCCGACTTTTGGGAGAAACACGACTTGAATTTTCGATCGGTTTTTTTTGAGTTTCTACGATTTTTGTTTACCCAACAGACAACAATTTTTACATTCTCAAAGTTTGTCTTTGATGGTTAATGGTATCTAAAACGGCAATAATATCTTAGTTGTAAAAACACATAACTAAAAAAAAGGAATATATAAAGTCATATATAACAACCGTTTATCGCGCAGGCGTAAATTTAGCATACTTTTAGGCACGTGACCCTTTTTATAAATTTTCCTAATTTCCACATTGATATCAACCAACTTTGGTATCTTTTACCAATAAGAAAAAATTCAGATTTTAGTTTCAGTGATATTGAAATCAGAAAGCCAAGATTTTTGTAACTACTTTCTCTTTTTCTAATATTGTTCTTGTCAATTCTTCTACTTAACTTTGAAAATTGATAAATGAAACTTTATTGAAGACATTCAATACTAGAGTATTTGCTATTCGATGTTCTGCGAACAATCAGTGTATCTCTTTTTTCTCTCTATCGCTTGATCAATTAGCATTAGCTGCGTTGCAGAGAGAAAAGCTTTGGCGAGGGAGATGCTCTCAGGCGAGCAGGTGGCTCCGAGCCATGCGATCGAATCGCATCCAAGCAGTACCGACAGAGCTAGCGACGCGACCAGTTCCGAAACATAACTTCACCGGAAAACAACATTGCGCGAACCGTTACATTCTTGTGCTGTGAGCGATCGAACACACACTAATACACTCACCAACGAATTTCCCGCACAGTGAAGAGATTTTCCTTCCCCATTGAACTGTACCTCAATAGTTGCGTATTTGGAGTTTTGGAAAAGTGCACAGTGAGTGCTGCAAGTATTTGTGTCAAAGAGAGAGAGATACCTAATGTGTGCTTGTGTGTGGGCTAATGCTGGATTTTTGGTCTATGAAAAGACGAGCTTAAAACCGCACATAGAAACGAGTTTTTCCTATGTATCGCGTTTGGTAGTTGTAGTCTTTCATGTACATGGAAGTACTCTCTTTTTTGAAGTGAAATTCGAAAAAAAAATCAATAGAAAAACAGAAAAGCATCCTCTTCGACCAATATAGCAATGTATCTGTATCTTTTTCTTGGCCAGATGATTCATGTACGGTGGGCACTCGTACGTACATTCAATTTATTTTCCCGACAGCGCCGTATTCAAATTGAAAGAACAGTGGCAGTGAACTATAAATAGAATTATTTGTTTTCATATACCTACCGACGAAATACTGAAAAAGAAGAAATGGCTCGGCAAAAGTCGAAAAACTGTTCGCTCGGAAATTCGCCCAGTAAATTTATCTGTGTATCTGTTTTTGTATCTGTATCTGTGACGATCACACAACTTTCGTTTAATTTAGCCAAGTTCAAACGGCGTCTACAGCTTGTTTATGTCCGCTTGGCTTGAACTCGTGGATTGTTATGGATATTTTGTGTGGGTGCCACACGAATTGGCAACTCGCAACACACACACAGATGCTCTCAGATACACTGCTGCTAGAACATCAACATATATATAGATAACGATACATGCCTGGCCAAAATGTATATAGACGTTAAAATTCGCCTACGTTTCGATTTGATTTTCGGAAATTTCAACAACAGAACGGCACAAACGACGACAACAACACCTTCGCTTTTTTTTGGCCATTTCAAACTCGTTGCTTAGCTCGATATTTGTTTATTTTACGAGTTTGTTTGCCATTAGCCTACGTATCTGTTCTGGCATTTGCGTTGTGATCAGCGATCTCGCTTCCCCCTTCCAAAACCCCGCCCACTTTAACCCGCAGCGATACATCTTATTCCAATTTGGCCTTAAAAATATAGACTTTTTAAAAATACTTCATTGGTATTTCTTTTAACATTGTTTTTAATCTTTTATTTTATTTTTCTACTGGATTTGATCCATAATAATATGAAATTTTAATGATATATGTATAAACATATAGAAAATATAGTAACAAACCGTTACAATATGGCTTTTCATATTACCAACAGGAAATGCACTTATGCATGTATTTATAACCTAGTGATGTGTCTTTTCTGAGAAATTTAAAATTTTTTTAAAATCCTATATTATTTTCCATACTTCTACATGTGATTCATAACATACAACCCACCTTTTCGTATAAATGTTTACTTTCGCTCGAAATTTGCGTAAATGACTGAGATTATTTATAGATCAGTTGGATTATTTGCAATTATTTTTGAACTTTATGTTAATAAATATAAAGCTTCTCTGTCAATCAACATTAAACTTAAATTAACATATTGTGTTTGAGACCTAACTTTCACACGCCTTATAAGACGCCTAAAATCTAATTTAAAATGAACGATTGCCTTAATTGGAAAATAAGAAAGTGTGCCTGAGTTTAGATAATAAAAGAAATCGAATGTACGAGTATCTCAAATTATCTGCAATTAAGGGTCTAAAATAATACTTATTTCCAAGTCTTTCATTCATAAAATCGTAAAAATACGCCAGTGATCAGAGTCCACTGATCCAAGTATTACGAATATCAATGGGTTAATTCCAATTGCCAGACAGACAACCACAACAACAACACGTTTCGATCCGACTATATGAGATCATTTCTGACCTGCGTGTTTGTACATATGCAAAAACAAAACACACGCTCCGCTCTCCGAGTTTTGTTTTTGTTATTTTTTTTCGTCGCCAAAAGTTAGGCCCAGAGAGCAGCTAAAAACGTGCTGAGATCGGGGGAGCCAATATATATACATATATATACTATTGTAATATATATATATATAGTGGGTGGGGAGGAGGCGGCGCAGTCGGCGGCATCAATTAGATTTGGCCTTTTATTTATATTATGCTATTTTATGCGTGTATTTTTCGCTGTGTGCGTCTTTATTAGCTATAACTATATTCCGTTGACCATATGGCATAGCATCCCCGAGATCCCCATTCAAAGGTGATTTATTTAGCTCGCCTTGATTTGATTACTTAAGCCAACTAAAGCGTTGACGTTTAATGCAGTGGCTGTCAGAAGCTCCGCCTTATGACATCATCGTCGGTCGGTCATCCTTCGTTTAAATTTTTTAGCATCATCTCAGACTATCTCTTACTCACAAGGTTATCGCTGAAAATCGAAAAAAAACACAAAAACAAACTGCATCCACAATGAAATTAAGGTGCACATGTACATATACATATACATATGCATATCCCAAGCCAGACAAAAAAGGAGTTTAAGGACACGACGAAAGTGAAAACCAGTTTGACATTGAATTTTTCGACTTTTTGCCTCCGCCTTTTGTCTTCTTCTTTTATTTTATTTTTGCAACGTGTGTGCCAGTTCCGAAAATCAATGCCAGCAATTTTTGAGGTTTCTCTGCCAAAGGGTATTGTTATCGTAAAGGCTCAAATGCGAGATGTTATTATTATTAATAATAATTTATTTACGTCTAATACTTGGCCTTCAAATTTCAAGGTTGTCACAGTATGTTGTTTGATTTAAAAGCTTTAGAACTGACAAATAAATTCATATAGCTTCTTGAAAGATTGAGCTATAATTTATAGAACAATTCTAGCGATTTGACAAATAAATTTATATAACTTTTGATGAGCATTGAAATATATACATAGCTATAACATAAAGCTCAATTTAATATTGTTAAAAGCCTATAAAGTATTTCATTTAAAAAGTCTTAAATATCAGTTTATGAGTTTCAGTTTTCTTCATATTCATATTCTTATATCGCTTTTAATTCAAAGAAACTATCATTATCATAAATGTTTTTAAATATTTATATTTTATTTTTAAATTTTTGTTAGAATTTTTTTCTCCTTAAATATTAAAAATATTATTAGCCGAATGTTTATTTCTAGCAGAATCCACATGGATACCATTTATAGCTATAGAGCTTAGCCTTTAGAACTATTTCTGCCACTTTCCAGAGCATTTCATCTTCGCATGACAGCCTCCGCCTGTTCATGCTCATTGTTGTTTGGCATTCCGTGCTTTGTGAATTCAAGTGATGCCCACTTCAGATGACTTAAGCTGCCATTAAAGCGCCAAAAGTTCTCACTTCAGAATGCCGAATGCGGCCATTTTCGAACATATATTATTTGCGTGGGTGGGAAATGGGAAAAATGGTTTGGATTCTTGCGAACCGCCTTGGAGCGAAATCAACCTGCCATTCGGGGTCACAAGCCGTGATTACGTGTCTCGCAGACACCCACGATTCGTTTTACTTACTCACACGTAGAATTTGAATAATTTATGAATGACATACTGGTTTCCGTTTCAGCAAACTAACTAATTGGAAATGCAGTACTCGAGCAGTTCGGAAAATTACTCATCCTCGTTGCGGGACAAGCCTTCAAAATGGGGCAGGGTAAGGACCTTGATTAATGACCAAACTTAATGATACCTAACTGTAAACCATTTTAGAATGACAAGAACTATGCCTATAAGAAGTCATCCTATCAATACTCAAGTTCTGGCGATAATAGTGCCTCGTATCAGGGCAAATCACCCGACCAGAACATTGATCAATTGGATGCCTTGCTGGAGGATCTGAAGCAGGAACGTCAGATTACTAACAGGGATCGCGATTTACTGCCCAGCAATGGAACGACTTATAGAACACTGTGAGATTGACTAAGATTTTGTGTGATTGTTATTGACTAACTTGGTTTTCATATTATCTTCATCTAGTGAACGCACTGATCCCTCGGGCACTGTAACGAGGACTACGCGAGTGGTCACGACCAGCAAACACTCGGGTTCTGGAGGCCAGCAGCCCTATATCGATGATGTTGAGACCTTTAATCCCACCGATTATAGCACCCTTCAGTCCACGGCCAAGTATTCGAGCTTGAAGCGTGATGAATATCAGACCAAGGAAAAACCATATACTCTGGGTAAGGATCAGAAAGTGTGATAAAATAGGTGGATTTCATTTGTAATATTTTCAGCCCACTCCCCCGGCGGTGGACACTACGAGAGCAAGTCGAAAATCTACGAGAGCAATCGTACTATTAACAACAATGTGGAACTGTTGCCTGGAACCACCAATCAGACATTGACCAGCGGCACAACCATCGACAAGGAACTGCAGGACATCGCCTTGAGCGATGGTATCCTGCCTGCTCCGGGCACCAAGGTCACTACCACGGTGAGGACCTACACCTACGAAATTCCGCCCACAGGACCTGGTAGCAACACCAGCACCATTAACCGTACTCACACTCTGAACAACTCGAACACTTTGAGCAGCAGCTACAAACTCCACGAGAGCCACAACTCCAGCCAGAACTTCTCGCAGCTTTCGCCCATCCCGCATCAACAGCCGTCCCACGTGCCTCAGACTGTGGTATTTAACAGGGAGAGCTACTCCACATTGAACAGGCCCAACGATCGTCCGGTGGTTAGCAACCAGTCATACGAGATTCGTGAGCACAAGGAGACCACCACTCGCGGAGTGAGTCCACAGCCTCGTCAGTTGCCCTTGGGATCGGGTCCGGCAGGAACCCCACCAGGCAACCGTACCGTTATCTACAATATCCATAAGACGGATCACGTGAACACAGTCAATGAGCTGCCTCCACAGCAGCGCTATCCGCCGCACAGTCCGGCTCACAGTCCCAACTACGGAGGACCTAACAGCCCACCGCTGCAGCCCGGAGTGAACCGTTATTACTATAAGGAGACGGAGACCTCAAACACAGTCAACAGTATCCATGGACCACCAAACGGTGGACCCTATGAGCCTGGTCTTTCTCAATCTGCACCCCTTAAACAGCTGCCGCCTAACAACGCGTATCCACAGCAGCCAGCAAATGGCAATGGTTATCCCCCAAATACGACCACTTATAGCTACAAGTACTCATCGACCACCAACACAAACAACCGTCGTGGTCCGGACTATGGTTCACCATCTCCTTTCCCCGTAGATGGTGTCGAGTATCCAGTCAATAGTAATCCTCCTCAGCGAGTGGACGATCTGATGCAGTCCTTTGGAACTGTAAGTTTGGGAAGAAGATATTCAAGTTACTCTACCAGAACATATTTTTTTGTAAGCCTTATATGCTAACTTCATATCTCACCCTTTGTTTAATTAGACCACTGATCATGTGGATCGCGTGGACATTGAGACTCCAGTACGCAAGCGCGAAATCGAAACGGCTGTGGCCTCGCCCAACCAGCAGCATGTGCCATCCGTCAATAAGGCTGGAAAGGAGGTATACTATCCGCCCGGACACGATACCATTGTCATGAAGCGCGAGGAAATGCATGCAGGATCTGCTTCAGGAGTAAGTTTTTGATATATATTTTAATGAAGTATCTAAATTTGAATATCTACAAATCTTAGGGTCGCTGGGCCAAGGGATCTGGAATGTATGAGTACGAGTCCGGATCCAAGTCAAAGACGAAAACCAAGTCCGGTGGTGCCGTGGTGCCCCTGTGTCTGCCCCTCTGCTGTGCCATGCCTTGCTCCATTATGTAGAGGGCGTATATCGCCGGGCATACCGTATATTGTATATAGGCTTCTAACGCTAAATCCTGCCCCGCATCCTTAATTGCTCTCTACTTGTCGTCTAACCTATGAAGGGTTTGCTTGTCACTTGCTCTAATCGTTATATGCGAAACTTTAAAATATTCTTTACGTTATTATTGTCTATGTATATAATTTGTAAAACGTCATCTACGGATTTGCTCAAAATTGTTGCTCTAGCATTTAAATTTTCCATTGGGATGGCCAAAAATTTTAATGGATACCAATTGTTTTAACTGTAATTTGCATATCGCAAACCAAACACTAATAAATGAGCCATGGAATCCAATTATCCCTATTATTCGTTTTACCAGCGACCCCAAGTGCCCACTAATCATAAATAATAATAGTAATTGTAACCCCCGTCGTTACAGAGCCATAAATACTATCTCTAATACACGTAGTAACCCTAATAAAAGCGAGATCTAACAAACGAAACGAAGAACTGTTTGAATGCCTTTTTAGATAATTGGACTTATCTGGGGGTTTGGTCTAGAAAAAGGTTTAATAATTGTTTTCTGGTAAATAGTTTTAATTGTTTAACTATTTGCATATCACAAAATAATAATAATGACACACATTATTATATATATCATTGCAAACATTTGGTAAGACAACCTTCAGCGAAACGTATATAAATTTAAATTGGTTCCCGCCTTAAATTTTGGGTTGGACATAACTTTTATCGACCAAATCGAAAAGTAATTAGCTTATAAGATCTGGAGAACCACAGGTGCCTTTTAGTGTGACCATTAAAAAATACCACAAGGATGAAAACTAGATCCTGGCTTTAAACAGGTGACTCATATTTGTCCCCAGTAAGAACCGATCTCCCTGTAGTGTGTAAAGTGAAAAAACAATCTTAAACAAAATAAGTAAAAACTCTTTTTCAAAAGTTGTCAAGCAAAACAATGGTAAAAGAGTGATTTTCATCTCTATTAATATTTTTTCCACTCGATTTTTGCGTAACAGCGGCTTTCTTTTTTATATACCAGGGGTTCTCATATCGGTCTTACGTGCGCTAGCAGTAAAACAGTTTTCAGTACTAATTATCAAATTTTATACGAATTTTAAACCAAGACATTTTGTCTTATTCTTCTTGTTTTTGCATTAAAAGTTATTAACGGTATTTATTTAATTAAAGTGGTTTACTTCAGACTGAATATCTTAAAATAAATTCGAACCTAAGGTAGTAGCTATTGTTCGAACAGGCGTTCCAGGGCTATTGACCGCCCCTGTTGAATTGCAATTTAAATGGACTTTATTTAAATTTTTTGGCGTCAACGTAGCATGCTGAATGCGTTTTTACAACGTTAGAGAAGGAAGGAACTGCAAGGAACCTTACCATCAAATTGATTTTGCAAGCAAGCAATGAACGATAAGTTTAATTGCTTAAAACAGAGAAGAACTTAAGAACTATCAAAAAGAAATCACTTATATGATAATTATTAGACCGCAATTAGTACTTTTATTCGTCAATAATGGGTAAAGATTACACTTAAATACTGATTTGATACCAGTTATTTTTTAAATCCCCTGTAATTATTGTTCATACCTTACATTTTATTGGATCAGTTTGCTAGCCATAAGACCGTAAGGAATAAGTCCGAGCCCAAATTCGCACGGAACCAGCGTGGAAAAACCTCCATCGATGTGGAGCTCGTTGGGATATCTAATGATTCTACTCCAAACGTGAGTGTTTGAGATTTTATTTCCTAAATTATCCCAATTTGAATTTTCTTAACCCTTAGGCTCAATGTGACAAAGGATCCGAAATGAGCTATAACGGGACCGACTCCGAATTAAGGATAGAGAATGTCGGCATCGTACAGTTTTTGCTCCTATGCTCTGCTATGCCGTGCAGCATCATGTAGGACGCAGACACCAGGTTTATTTGCTCAAACCTTGGAGTCTATCAATAAAATGTCCACAAGTCTTAAAGATGCCAATTTTTCTACCTGCATTTCCATCCAATAATTTTAATTAACGTAAGGTGTATCCCAATGTATTACATAACTATATATAATACCTCTTATTCAATTATTAACCATAATAAGAAACAAGATAAACCAGACCAAGCGATGAACTGTTGGAATGCCTTTTTTGGGCTGGCGTTTGGTATAGTAAAAGTTTTTATAATTTTATTTTGGTATAAATCGTTCTGATCGAATAACAATTTGCGTATCACAAAAGTAATATCTACATTTCACCTTGTAGGAGTAGGTGTAGGTGTCTTTTGAGAAGTTAATAAAGTACAATAGTCGAATAACAAAAACTAAACAAAACAAAAACAATTCAAACAAATCAACATAGGTGTACAATATACATATATAAGTATCATTGAGCACTTTGAGTAGTGAACGGGAGGATTATTGCTACAAAGACAAGTTCTTACTGTTTTTCTATGAGTACGAATTGAAGCTAAATTATGGATTAAAAGTAAACTACATCGTAATATGAGTATAGTTACTGGACTTACTACCATGTACACAATATGTGTCTATTATTCTAATCATGTTTCCATAATCTGACATTCTATTAAAACAGAATACCGTTCGTGAAAGTAATGATGTCCTTTGTACATACGCATATTAGATAGTTGGAAAGGTCACGTATTGTAACGCTGTCTTTTTGCAAGCTAACTCTTCCGCTCGGAGTTCTTTAGCTCAGCTAAATACCAAGTGAATGTCGGAAACTGCTTTATGCTATAGATAGCATATTTTATCGAGTTGATTCCATCCTGTTCTATTTTGCTCATCCCGTTCTGAAGGTTTTCATAGCTTTTGGTTAAAATAGATATTAAAGAAATATATATATTAAACTATCTTTACTAACCGCTTAGGATTGGCCTTCTCCTTCTGATGCTTGAGCATCTTATAGCGGGCGATGTTGACGGGATACCTTGATATGAATAGGTTGGCGTGCTTTAACCGGTTGGACATGTCATCATCTTCGCCCCCCCAGCCAAAGAATGAGTTGGAGAATCCATTTACAGCCTGGAAGTGCTCACGCGTCATGGCAGAAACGCCTCCAAATATTGATCGATAAGGCAACCTAATAAGAATTCATACAATGCGATTATGTTCTTATCTCTTTCCTGTGCTTACCTGAAGTTCAGCGTGTCTATAGCCACTGACATATGCCGAGGCTGACGTGGACAGTTGTAAAGATTGCGGTCGTCCAACGGTAGAAGATCGACATCGTGGAATATAAAACAATCCCACTGATATAGCTTTAAGGCTTCCAAATAGCCAATGTTCATCATGGCAGCCCGATTAAAGGGCTTTCCATTGGTCTGTTCTATGATGAAAATGCGATAGGCAATGCGCTGCTTCATCAGAAAAGGGTGTATGTTGCGCAGGAAAACAGATAAATGGGCGTATCGATCCCGGAAGGGCACCACAATGGCCACATGGTGCTTGGCATGGCAATTTTCTGGTTCGAAGGCGCCGCCAGGGCGCAGAAGAGGACCCAGCTCGGCTTCGATTATATCCAGCGATTCCAGTGTGGTATTAGGTGTGATTGGTCCACCTGCAAAGGGTATTTTTCAAAAATCTGCCGAAGAGCATGCCGGAGCAAGACTCACCATCGCGAGGGTCGGGATCAGTGCAGTTAGCGAGGAGGGCGGATGTGGATTTCTGTCCCAAGGGCAGCGGCTTGTTTGTGCCCAACAGGAAGCGCGTTAAGTCTTGTGGAATGGAAGTAAAGTTTGCGTTAGCAATCACAGTTGTTAGGGTGGAGTTGGGACTGCCGTCGGGAACCCGACCCCGCTCCCTGTCCTTGGACAAGACAAGTGGAGCAGCGGGTAGCCCTTCTCCTCCTCCTCCTTCTCTGCTGGCATTTCCATAGATATGAGCATATTTGTGCACGCGCCGAATGCTGAAAACCAAAGCACTCAGATAAGATAATTCTTTTCTGGGAATATTAAGGAAACAGTTACCTGAGTTTGCTAAGGGAAGTGCCACTAGCTCCGTCAGTGCGAAAGCCCACAAAGTTAAGCACCAGCAATAAGAATATCGCGCCGGCCAGAAAGCGTATGAGATTCGCTTTTGTGAACAGGGACATGGTCCGTGGATTGCATCATACCTTACTTGATGCTCTGGCGCCACGAACTCTTATTATTAAGCGCAAAACATTTACCCACGAACAGAGTTAAAAATTTTAACTCCAGGGTTCAACAGAAAAGTCAGCTGAGTCTCCCCCTCAGCCAGTGTTGCCAATGTTGTATACCAACTCCTATGAAGAAATTTTGAGCGATAGCTAATGGCGGGGAAATTTAAAAAAACCATCACTAAAATTTTCATTTATTTTTAAAATTATAAAATTAATTAACTGGTTCGAGACTGTATGTATTGTAAAATAAAAAAAAATGGATTTCCCGTTTTGAATTAACAAAAAGAAAAGTACTTTTTGAACAAATAAACTATATTAATATACTGATATATTCTTAAGTCCCAACTTTTTCCTTGTTTTGTGATTTATTGCGCTTGTCGGATCTTATAGGTATCCAAAGGATAGCGAGTTACAGAGTGGTATTGAAAATTGGGGAAATATACGAACAGGCGGAATTTGCCCCCAGTCCTGGAAATGGGTATTTTCTATCAAGAATAAAAACAAGTTACAAACACAACTGAAGATTTAAACTAATTGCAGTGTAGAGCAACAAGGCTTCACTATCCTGGCAATGGTAGTCGCAGCGCCTCGTTGTCCTTGACGTTAATTACTTTGAACTGGTTTTGGTAGGTGTACTCTATGCGCAGAATCTTGTCATCGCCAATGCTGGGATCATAGAATCCGGGCAGGTCGCTCTGTAAGGAACCATGAATGTTAATATAATTAAATTCTCTATCAAAGGAGGAGACCCACCTTTGAGGAGTCGTGCAGATGTAAGGTCCCATCTTTGACCATACATTGAATAGGTACGGTAACATCTAGCGACTGATCTGGCCTGAACAGGTTGCCGCCTTCCGCCGTACAGCCATATACAGCACGCGTGATAATCAGACCCGTTCTCGACAGTTCCTCGGTCATGATCCTATTGTACGTGGCCTGCATAAGGTGAATGGCGGCACTCGCCTCTTGCCGCTTGGCTGATAGCCTCTGCTCATTTTGTCGTTTCGTCCGCTCTACTTCAATACTCTTCCGCTCTGCCTCCATGGGGTCCATCACAGTTTTTTTGATCAAGAACCACGCAATCACCGGTGTCACAGAGGCGTAGAAAACAGCTGCGGGCACTATTTCATCACTTAGGTGGATAGGGAACACGTACGACTGATTTGAACGTAATATTCTGTAAAAGCGAGTCGCGTGTGGAGATGTAGAAAATTTTAAAGATAAACCAAAAGGATCCACCTACTTGAATTTTAGAATAACTCCAGAAGGCACGCCAATAGAGACTGTGGCAGTCACTGAGCTATATTTTGAGACCTTCTTCTCCACTCCGTACTCGCCCATAAAGCCAAAGGTTCCAACTCTGCCATAAAGAAAATCTATTAATAACAAATTTTCAATTTATCTAAAGTGCCTACTTTGCCGCGAGTTTTAGCTTCAGCTCATTCTCCAAGAGCTTGCGGGTGTAGGAAAGCCCGAAGTACACATGCGGCGTGCCTATCACCAGGGAAGAACTCAGCGAGTACGTCTCCTTTGAGTGATCGATCTGTGTTGACATGGAGGACTGCGGGCCGGCGTTCAGCGTAAGGCTGCCCAATGTGTGCTTGTCCAGCTGCACGGCCAGTGTAGAGAACAGGGCGGGTAAGACACCTTGGTCTCGAAAGTTCAGGTTCGTACCTCCATTCAGCGTCACTTTTTGGCTAAGAGTACGGCCACCTAAAATGGAAAGTGTTGCACTTTTCAAAGTTCCCAGATTTATATAGACTCACCTTTAAGGCCCAGAAGGAAGCCGTTTCCCGCTCCGGCGCACAACTCTAGCCAGCCCTTGTTCAGTAGCCGGCGCCCAGCCACAACGAAGCCTCCACTACCATTACCATTGGAGGAGTATAAGTTTCCGCTCATTATGATCATGTCCTTGCGCGTGATCGGAGCCTCAATGGACTGGGCAATACTCATGGAACCGATCTCCACGTGGGGCATTTCAGAGTCGTCGTAAGGCGCAAAGATTTCCGTGGCATTTACGTTGATGGTGATGTTACCACGCGGATTGGTACGCTGCTGAAGGCGTCTCTCAGCGGCCGCTTGGGCCAGCCGCTCGTACTCTTCCCGAATCTCATCTGGAGTTTTTGTCCGGTGAAGGATCTCCCATCCCTCGGTGCGTAGACCCTTCTCGCCCACCGAGTCGTATATGGCTCGCTGCTGGGGATCCGACAGAACTTCGTAAGCCCTTTTGGTGCGGTTAAACATAATCTCGGCCTTCTTCTTGCTCTCAGGCTCCAGATGCTTGTCTGGGTGGAACATCCGGCTTTGTTTCCGGTACGCCGTGTTGATCTGCTCCGCAGTAGCCTGGAAATTGACGAAGATTAAGCCAAGGGTGTTATATACCGGCCGGTGACGCTGCACTTACATCCCGGGGCAAATTCAGAAACGTATAGTAGTTCTCATCCAGCTCTGCGTCGGACTCATCGTGATCCGATGCCATGTCGGTGAAATGATCCCGCGGTTCCCGCTCGGATTTATATAGGGGCAGGGTCGGGGCAGCGCACGGGCCTCACCGGCGTTCTGTGTTAATTTGGGATTTCGAAATTTTTGGGTACTTTTACGCAATGCCTATACATGTGTTGAATGTTCCGATAGTTAACGATGGTTTGCTCCAATAGGATTTTGTTTTGGAATGCGGTCATACAACGACAATACGGTCTCACTTGTGAACGGTAAACAGGAGATAGGAAGTGTTGCCAACTATCGCCAGCTGGAGGACATAAATATCTTAAATCCTTACTGATAAGTAAAGGAGATTTAAGTAAAATGTAAGCAGTTTTTTGTATACATGTTACCCTAATTGAAGCCAAAAGTTAAATCAAATTGAATATTTTTGTGTAATAGAAGCCATACAAATATGGCTGATCCAAAGCGAATCTGTAGGTTTCCGAAGACCTGTCACTTAACATCTAGTTAGCTTTCATTCACTATGTTTTAAAACCACATTGTGCTGGAAACGAAGTAAAATATTTGAATTTTTTTACACAACACAAAAATAAAGAAACACTACCTCAACATTGGTAACTCTGGCACTCGAGCTTCGGCGAACTATCGCATAGTCTGCTAGAGAAGAGGCATTCACTTACCTACAGTCCGCTCACGGGAAGAAACGTGCTCTTCTGACGAAATTTTTGCTTTTAATTTGACAATTGCTCGTGTGAAATTGCAGAAGTAAAAAGCCAAAATGCTGCGAGTACCCAAGTTTCTGCCCCGCCTCGCCCGCCAGGTCGGCGTAGTTCCCTCAAACATATCCGGAGCTTCTAGCATGTTCCGCGTAAGTAGATTACCCCCCAACCCCCCCGACTATTATATAAAATGCCGCATGCGGCTGGTGTTCATGTTTTACGGGAAGATTCTATAACCAAGCACCTTTTTTTCCTTGCAGAATCTGCCTGGTGCTAGCAATGGATTATCTTCCCAACTGCGTTACAAGTATGTAAAACTAAGTTATTTATTTTTTGTTTTTTTCAAATACCAAACCCCGCTTATGTAAGCACTCGGCAAACACAAGAATTTCCAGAAGCAACCTTAAGTTGCATCATAATATATGATGTTTAAAGAAATTGTAGGTCTAATTGAAAATATCTGTACTTAGAAACGTGGTGCTTATCTGCACTTGTGGCCGGCTGCCTTATCAGCGCTCTGTATCCATATGCCCATTTAAAACCCATCCCATATTCTAGGTCCGGTGAGGTCAAGGGTGCTGTTATTGGCATCGATCTGGGAACCACTAACTCTTGTCTGGCTGTCATGGAGGGCAAACAGGCTAAGGTGATTGAAAACGCCGAAGGAGCCCGTACCACACCCTCCCACGTTGCCTTTACCAAGGATGGTGAGCGCCTGGTAGGCATGCCCGCTAAGCGCCAAGCGGTGACCAACTCGGCAAACACCTTTTACGCCACTAAGCGTCTGATTGGCAGGCGTTTTGATGATCCTGAGGTAAAGAAGGACATCACCAACCTGTCCTACAAAGTCGTCAAGGCCTCCAATGGCGATGCCTGGGTCTCTTCCACCGATGGCAAGGTGTACTCCCCCTCTCAGATCGGTGCCTTCATCCTGATTAAGATGAAGGAGACCGCTGAAGCTTACCTGAACACTCCTGTAAAGAATGCTGTGGTCACCGTGCCTGCCTACTTCAACGATTCCCAGCGACAGGCTACCAAGGATGCTGGTCAGATCGCTGGACTCAATGTGCTTCGCGTAATCAACGAGCCCACTGCTGCAGCTCTAGCCTACGGAATGGACAAGACGGAGGACAAAATGTGAGTATTCAATATAATAATAAGATATAATTATATCTAAGCTAGTTTTCTAATTTACTGATTATCTTTATATAACTATGTTCTAAAGCTTTAAAAAGATATTTTACAAAAGAAAATTATCGTAACTTCTATTAATAAATATACTAAAGTTCTTGTTATGATTGTTTTTAATGTGTAATCTTTATAGACTCAATCGCCGCCAAGGGTCTTGTCTATAATTCACTTTATACGGATTTTATCTAGCAAAACCATTTAATTCATAAATTTTTTCCGTTTTAGCATTGCCGTTTACGATTTGGGCGGCGGCACCTTTGATATTTCTATTTTGGAGATCCAGAAGGGTGTGTTCGAGGTCAAGTCCACCAACGGTGACACTCTGCTGGGCGGTGAGGACTTTGACAACCATATTGTAAACTTCCTGGTTTCTGAATTTAAGAAGGACAGTGGAATTGACATCCGCAAGGATAACATTGCCATGCAGCGTCTAAAGGAGGCTGCCGAGAAGGCGAAATGCGAACTCTCTTCATCTCAGCAGACCGACATCAATCTACCTTATCTGACCATGGATGCCGCCGGTCCTCAACACATGAACCTGAAAATGACGCGCTCAAAGCTGGAAAGCCTTGTGGGTGATTTAATCAAGCGCACCATCCAACCCTGCCAAAAGGCTCTGTCTGACGCTGAGGTCTCCAAATCTGAGATCGGAGAGGTGTTGTTGGTCGGCGGTATGACCCGTATGCCCAAGGTGCAGTCCACCGTACAGGAGCTGTTCGGACGTCAACCGTCTCGCTCTGTGAATCCCGATGAGGCTGTTGCCGTTGGTGCCGCCGTACAGGGTGGTGTGCTAGCTGGTGATGTCACCGATGTGCTCCTGCTTGACGTTACTCCCCTGTCGCTGGGTATTGAGACCCTGGGAGGAGTGTTCACCCGTCTTATTTCCCGCAACACTACGATTCCCACCAAGAAGTCGCAGGTCTTCTCGACGGCCAGTGATGGCCAGACCCAAGTGGAGATTAAGGTGCACCAGGGCGAGCGTGAGATGGCCAACGACAACAAGTTGCTTGGCTCCTTCACATTGGTTGGAATTCCCCCGGCACCTCGCGGTGTGCCCCAGATCGAGGTGGTGTTTGACATCGATGCTAACGGTATTGTGCACGTTTCGGCCAAGGACAAGGGCACAGGCAAGGAGCAGCAGATCGTTATCCAGTCCAGCGGTGGTCTGAGCAAGGACGAAATCGAGAACATGATCAAGAAGGCCGAGGAATACGCCACAGCTGACAAACAGAAGCGTGAGCTGATCGAGATCGTCAACCAGGGCGAGAGCATAGTCCACGACACCGAGACTAAGATGGAAGAATTCAAGAGCCAGCTGCCCGCTGAAGAGGTAATCAATAAAGAAACAATTCATATATTTAAGAAATACTAATGTTCTAATTTAATTATAGTGCGAGAAGCTGAAGAAAGAGATTGCCGATCTGCGCACGTTGCTGGCCAACAAGGAAACCGCCGATCTTGAGGAGGTCAGGAAGGCTACTTCATCGCTGCAGCAGTCATCCCTGAAGCTCTTTGAGCTAGCCTACAAGAAGGTATGTCATTAGCTTTTGAATGATCTGCTTCTTTTTAGATTTTACACTGACATATTTTTTAATTTCAGATGTCCGCTGAGCGTGAGAGCAGTGGTGGAGCCAGCTCCACTGACAGCAGCAGTTCGAGCGACACTTCTGGCGAAGCCAAGAAGGAAGAGAAGAACTAAATTAGGCAACCATAGTCATAGTTGTTGTTCCCCTATTTAATAATAACCGCTTCTGGATTTCGATTAAGTTCTACGTTACACACAAAAACACGTCATATTCCTTTTTCGAATCATGAAACACAAAAAGCCACAAGCATTTACCCAAAAACGTGTAGTAAAATCTATAAGGTGCGATCATGTCAAATCAGACAATGTGACTTCCAAGCAAAAAGACGTAGACAAAGCCGCTAGGGAACCAAACCGGTCGACTGCATAAAGTTTTTATTGTTTGTTATGCAATCAAACCTTTTTCTCCCTTATCTAATTCGCGTGGTCAGTGTCTTGTGTTGTGTTCCTGTAAGATTTTGATTATTTTTACGTATATTCTAAACTAGATGTAGTTGTACAATAACGAGCACAGCACAAAAACTCAATTTGCAAAGCGGCCACGGCGTTTTAGACGCGGACAACTAAATAGATGATCATTTGGAGGTCCTACTTTAAGCTAAATTGTATTTTGGTTTCCAGTGGACAACCAATTCGACTGGGTAATATGCAATTAAATTTAAACAAATCGATGTAAACTTAAAATAAAACAAAAATAAACATTTACATATAAAAATATCTTTATATTTCTTACAATGATGTAAAGTTCAAATTAAAATTCATTCATAAATTCTGGAAGTTATTAAATAATTAGTGGTGATAAATAATCTTAGTTTAGCTTAACTATGGAGTTTTTGTACAAATACTAAACAGTGTCGTTGTTCGCAATTGACTAAGTTAAATAATTGCCTACAATAATGTTGTAGCTCTACATGGCTCCGCTCTGAAGTTTGTAGAGCGTGTAGTAGAGTCCTCGTTTCGCGAGCAGTTGTTTGTGATCTCCGGTTTCACAAACTACTCCATTCTCTAAAACAAATATGACGTCCGAGTGCACGACAGTGGATAGTCGATGGGCTATGCTGATCGTAGTTCGACCCTCAGAGGCAGCATCAAGTGCATCTTGGACAACCTATTAGAGATTTAAGAAATTAATTAGTCGGATCAGATGCAGAGTTCTGTACACTTACCTTTTCACTTTCAGCGTCCAAGGCAGAGGTGGCCTCGTCGAGCAGCATGATCTTGGGATTACGGATGAGGGCTCTTGCAATAGCAATACGCTGCTTTTGACCTCCAGACAACTGGGCACCCTTCTCACCCATTCTCGTATCATAGCCCTAAAAAGATTCACGAAATTATTATAATTGATAAGATATTCTGGATTAGGTAACTTACCAATGGTAGGTTGGAGATGAAGTCGTGGATATTCGACTTTTTGCAGGCCGAAATGATCTCCTGATCGGTCACATTCCTTGAGTTATCACCGTAAGAAACATTTTCCCTAATTGTGCGATCAAAGAGGATTGGCTCTTGGGATACAATTCCCAATTGATTGCGCAGATTTGACATCGAAACGTCGCGGACATCATGTTTATCAATAAGAGTGGCTCCTTCATCAACGTCGTAGAACCGCTGAATGAGCTGGATGCAAGTAGACTTGCCACATCCGGAAGGACCCACTAGAGCTACCTTCTGACCCTTGCCAACGCTTAGGTTCAAGCCCTTAAGCACCTGAATCTCTCGACGCGTTGGGTAGCTGAACTCCACCTTGTCATAATGGACGCTTCCCTCGCAGTGCCAGGGAGCTCGAGAAACTCCTGGTCGATCCACAACCATCGGCTGGCGGCGAAGGAACGTAAAGATGGTCTTAGCTGCCGTGATACCCTTTTGCATGTTAGGAGCAAAGGCCAAGGCGTTGGCAATGGAAGCTGTTCCCATGATCAGAGCTTGGGATACCCTAAACGATTGTCAGATGTTAGGAATATTCTTGGATATCTTTGGTAATCACTGCACTCACTTAAACACATCGCCGAACTCGATTCCGCGGTTGATCACACACCAGGTACCATAGTACATGCAGGCGGCATAGGCAAAGAACATCAGGGAACGGGCAAGACCGTAGACCATTCCTCGATAGTGGGTGTTCCTCTTGGATATCTTTAATAAGGGTATTAAATATACATTAATTAGCAACAATGTAAAGTCACTATAAATTACATGGATCTACCTTAACAGCAGGAATCAGCATGCCAATGTAAGTCTGGTGGAACATTTCCTCACGGCCCAAAGATGCCACAGTACGAATGTTGGAAACCACTTCAACAGCCAGTTTGGTGCAATTCTCCATGGTCTTGGCGGATCCCATGTTCTCCTTTGCCATGAGAGTACGTTGCATGTAGAAGGCGATTAGGATGAAAGGAGTAAAGGCCAGGGCCACCAATCCCAGGCTCCATTCGTAGTACATGGACAAACCGATACCAAGGGCGAGAGTAGAAATCGATTGAATGATGGTTCCAATTCGCTGACCAGTGGCCTGATGGAATAATAAGATCATTAATAAGTTTCGATAACTAGTTGCATATGAACTATTAACTTACACCCTGAACTGCTGCAGCATCTCCAGAGAGTCGAGCACATAAACTTCCGGTACCATTGGCCTTATCATCGAACCATGCAACCTCCTGTCGCAACATCGTCTCAAACATAAGTCCACGGAGACGTTCCGTCAGTCTCTCTCCGGCGATTCCAAAGAAGTAAATCTGGAAGAAAGTGGCAATGCCCACTACGATTCCAGCAATCAGGAAGTACAAACTGTACTGGTTGGAGTTTTCGCGCACATATTCATCGTTATCCTTAACCGAAAGAACCTGCAGGATGCTGCCAAAGAGTACGGCAAAGATGGGCATGGCGCAGCCCATGATCACAGAGGAGATGCAGCCCACTGTGATCTGCAACCACTCCGGTTTGCTCATCTTCATTACCTCATTCATGGGTTTAATCTCGTTGGGGTTCTTGACCTTCTTCTTTTTCTTTTTCTTATCTGACACGACCTCCTCTTCGTCCTCATCCTCGTGAAGTACTTTGATTTCCTCGTCATCCTCATCCTTGATGTCAAAGTTCTTGTAAATGTCGCCAGTGGGACTCAAGACTGAACCATCATCGTCACCCAATTGGGTAGTTACTAGGTTATAGTAGTGATCCTTCAGTCCCATCAACTCCTGATGCGTTCCACTTTCCACGACCTCTCCCTTGTTAATCACCACAATCCTATCTGCCCGACGAACGGTGGACAAACGATGAGCAACTATAATGGTGGTTCTTCCAGCGCTTACTTTCTCCAGAGCAGCTTGTACCTTGGCCTCACTGGCGGTATCCAGAGCAGAGGTGGCTTCATCCAGTAGCAGGATCTCAGGGTCTCGGATAAGCGCTCGAGCAATTGCAATTCTTTGCTTCTGACCTCCAGACAGCTGAGCTCCGCGCTCACCCACCAGGGTGTCATATCCTCTGGGTAGCTTTTTAATGAAAATGGCAGCATTGGCGGCGGCAGCAGCTGCCTCGATATCTTCACGGGTTGCATCCTCTCGGCCATATCTGATATTTTCGTAAATGGAAGTGCCAAAAAGGACTGGTTCCTGACCCACCACTCCAATCCTAGAGCGCAGCCAGTTAATATCAATATCCTTAATATTGGTGCCATTGAAGTAGAGATTTCCAGCCTGGGGATCATAGAAACGCTGCACCAGCTGGATGCAGGTGGACTTGCCACAGCCTGAGGGACCCACCAGGGCGACCGTCTGGCCGCGATGAATTTTCAGATTTAATCTGTTTAAAATGGGAATCTCTGGTCGCGTTGGATACTGGAACTCTACCTCTTTGAATTCAATAGTAGTAAGGGGCTCATTTAACTTTTTACCCTGAGCATCAATGGGATTAATGGTGGGGATCTGTTCGATGATGTGGAAGACTTTGGCACATGCTCCCTTTGCGATTCCAAAGGCTTCTATATAGGGAGCAGCCATACCAATATTCATGGAACCCATCATCACTGAGAAGAATACGGTAATCATGGTACCGGCATCGTAGTTCTCATATGCCGGATCTTTGTATCCCTTTAACACCAGACCAACTCCATACCAGAAGGCCAGAGCGTATGATGCGTAGATGAAGAACCAAAGCAAACCGAAACCGATTCCGGAGAACATATTCCTCTTGATGTTAAGGAACTTGGCGGCAACCACACTTTCCTTGTAGGCGGCTACTTCCTTTCCTTCCCCCTCAAATGCTTTCACTGTCCGAATGCCAGATAGAGCACCTTCAGCTACCACGGCTGCTCCAGCGTACATCGTCACCTCCTTTTTGGCAAGTCGGGATGTAGCAACGGATACCAGACCCATGGCAATAAAAGTCAGGGGAAGACTGGTCAAACACACTAGCGATAGCTGCCAGCCCTTGATAAAGGCTAAGACTAAAGATCCAACGAAAGAAACTAAGTAATGAATGAACATTACTACTTTTTCAGCAAGTCCATCTTCCATCTTGGAAAGATCTCTGAAAATGGAAAGAAGCACATTAAATTAGTTGGATATCAAAGTGATATATATAACAAATCGTGATCTAAAAGATAATAGTTGATAGTAAATAATCATAGTTTGTAGTAATCGTGTACTTACTCATTCATTCGGCTGGCCACTTCACCACTCTGGTTGAAATCGTACCACTTCATGTCCTGATGAAGAATAGAGCGGAAGAACTTTGAGCGGATGGTTAGGATTTGGGAGTGGGCCGCATAGTTGAAGCAGGTGATCGAGAGATATGAGCACACCAACATTATGATGCCGATGTACGTGTTCTGCAGGGAGAACTCTCTCACTTTGTCCAATAGCATAGTTCCAGCATCATCATCAGCTCTATAAGATTTTCCCCCTGCTGCCAAACCACCCAAATCGATCATGTCCTAAGGAATTTAGATAGATGTAAATAACGGTCTAAGATATAAAAAACTTTAAAAGATAACTTACATTAGCCAAATTGCCGAAGATCAAACTGTTGGCTGGAGTGGTCAAGCCTGTGGCCACAGCTGACAGTATTCCGATCAAGTAGAGTCCACGATCCTTGTTGGTGGCATACCGGAAGAGCTGAAAGTAGCTAACCTGCTTGACTTCCTCCTTATAGCGGAAGCCATCCTCCTCATCGCTCGCATCCGCCTCGTCATGCTTCGACTTCTTTTTCGATTTGTTGGGTTCACTGCAATAATAGTAAAGGGTGTCGCCCACCAAATCATAGATTGTTATCAGTAAGTCGATTATATTGACGCCATAGCCATGAACCCCACAAGTCAACAAATCGCCAATCTCTTATCACAACCCTTATCTGCTTATGACACTAGCCAATGGAAGTGCTTTCAAAGCTCCAATAGGACTATGTCCACGCTTCGTTTTTGCACAACGAAGTCACTATCTGTAGTATTATATAGCCAATGAGAGTCTGTTATAGAGATTGCCTGATCGGTTGGCTTTCTTATTTACTGCTTATATAGGTTTTGATACAATATTAAACCGACAGCTAATACACTCGATCAATTGTTATTTTGTTAAGAAATTTTCATATAATAACTTAAAGCATAAAAAAGTAATATATGTAAGAAACTAAGACTCTAGAAAAGAGCTCTACAATTTGTAGAATTTCCTTAAAGCAGATGATATTTTTGTATCAAAATAAACTTGAAATCAATTTAGTTAATATAGCTCACTTCATCAAAAGACAGTACAAACCTATAATATAGGTATACAAAAAAAAAATACAATTGGTACCTAACCACTGTGTACGAATAATTCGCAATGTCATCGTTGAAGAGCATAATTGTCAAAGGTGAAAAACTTCAATGGAATTCATTAAACGCGATATAGATTTTGTTAACCACTCGATGAACACATGTCAATTAATTAAAATACGAGTTCCAAACTTTTGACCAGAGATTAGTTAGATTAGTTTTGCTAATTAACAAGCCATTAAAAATGTTTAATAACCCTTCAGGCACACAGTTTTTATCAAACACTTGTATTCACAAAATTTCCTGCTTCCTATTTCTTATATCCTTAAAGGACTTTTATTTTATACTTTTATAAACTCACAAGCTCTTTCGGTCTTTTTCCGAATCCTCAAATTTGCTGCTGAGGACAATATTTGTTTTGTACTGCGATCGCGAATTCACATCGTCCTTGACGATGTCGCCGTTCTTAACGGTCATCGTGTATATATACTTCGAAGGTTAAGACTAAGTATCACAATATATCAATCCGTATGGGCTGTTAGAATCACATGGGCCAAAAAAGACCTGATGGCAGTGCAGACTAAAACAGACTATTAGAATATAGCAGCGGGTTTGGGCTTATATTAGAATGCCCTCCTGGCCAGAGTGGTGCCTTATCAACTGATAATGCTTGTTTATCAATATATTGAACATGTATAAAATTCTTAAGAGTAACGGTGAGTTCCGTCTGCTTGTGAAATTCGTGGTCAAATGGTATTTAATGGCTGCACGTGAAACCAAAACTGATGAAAATGATTGAATTGTTATGACTGGGAGGGTAATTCCCATCAAGATCTAAAATAATTGAATGAAGTGGGGTAAATTCTGTAACCCTAGGTCAGTCATTTTCAAATTGTGAATAATTGTTGTTAAGGGGAAATAATTAAAAAATATAAATAAATAATTGAAATATTTTATTTTGTCTGACTACCAAATCAAATTCTTAAGGGTTATAAATGAGCATAATGTATGGCCAAAGATAAGTTTGTAAAATTTCCCATAATACCGTTCTTTAGATAAAGTTAAGTCATCATTATCAGGCAGAGAGAATAATGAGTAATTACTCATCTATATATACGATTGCAACAGATTTTGATTAGCTATTACTTAAGCATCTGCAAGTAGTGAGGGTTTGGTGACTGAATAATAAACCATTAATTACTATATATACGCCACCACCTGTTGGGAATAAAAGCAATTCGGAGCTTTAAGCAAATTATAATGTCACGGTTCGCAAGCACTGGACTTGAATTATTATCCTTATCGCGTAAACTGTCAGCACGACTGACTCACAAATCGATAAATACATACGTAGAAAATCAAATTGGCCAACAACTAATGACGTTGGACCTATGAATGTGATGACATGACTGGCAAATTTCATGCTGGCTTAGCGCCTATGAACCGCAATTAGTGGGATATAGTAATGACAATTTATTGGCAATATTGATACATTCGCTTATTAACTGATTGCCTAAGAGATCCTGGTTACCATACGCAGGGCATCGCGGTTGATCTTGGCCTGCTTGAGCATGTGGCCTTCAACGAAAATGTCCGATTCGTATTGCAAATAGTTGACACACTTTTCCACATAGAACAAGGACTCCTCCAGACGATCCTTGGGCGACAGGCTCGATTCCAGGGCTACCCGACGGGTCTGCTCGGCAATCGCCGAATGCAATTCGAAGCAAAGCGTGCCGAGCGTGCGAACTTCGCCTATCGAGTAAACAAATAATAACAACAAATGACCACTTGAGATAACGCTGCGTATACGTAATTATCGACAAATAAGCTTACACGGCGTTAGTGTCTCGTATAACTCAACGAGTTCTCGGGCATAAGTTAACTTCAGCAAGAGCTTATCATCTGGAATAACCATCAGCTCCTTTTGATCCTTGGCCAGCAGCTGGACAAGAAGTATTTTTATTTCACTCATATGGAAGTGCTTAGGAGGCAGCCACTTTTCGTAATGCTTAAGATACCTAAAAAATAAAGATATTGCGTGATTTTGAATATAGATACTCCTTACATCTTTTACTGAGTTTCACTTACTTTAAACCATTCTCAACGTTTTTCTCCATGCTCTGTATATCCTTGCCAGCCCGTTCCAAAATCCGTTCTACATAATGCTTCTGCACCTGTTTATGACACTCCAGGCACCTGAATAATATCTCAAAAACCATTAAAATTCGAGATTTATCATAAGTAATATCTAAGAAGACTTACCGCCAACTACCGTTCCAGTCTTCCGCCTTGATGGGCAGCATAAGACCACCGCACTGCCGATCCTCGCATTTAATGGCACTGTAATTGGTTCCCAACTCGGTCACATCCACACATCTCTCACAGGTGCACTTGAAGAGCTTAGTCTGCATCAGATGGCGCTGACGATCGGCGGTGCCCCACACGGCGTCCGAGTAACAGATGCTCAGATGGGCATTCTTCTTGATCTCCCGCGGTGCCCACAGGATGCAGTGCCCGTTCTTATTGAAGCTCTTGGCCAGATTGGGCAAGCAAGAGTTCTCCGTGAAGGAGGCCGTGTAAAAGACAGCCACATGCGGGGGATCAGTTGTTGGCACTTCGTGTCCATTGATCTGCAGGGCACCCACTGCTTTCATAATCTCCTCCTCACTGAACTTCTGGGTTTTAAAGAATCTAGAGGAATCAGAATATGTTTTTATAGTTTTATCTTAAATACTTTAAAAATATTTAAATATCAATAAAATTTGATTTATGATTTCAATCTAAATATATATACTTACATACATACATAAATGATTTTAGATTAAAATGCTGATAGCGATCTAATTATAAATATTTATGAACTAGACAGTAAAACAAATATAACGTTGAGATATGTACATATATGTATATATATGTATACCGCAATGTATACCAATAAGAGATAAGATAAGATTGTTTACCTTTACATAGTCAGTCTTTTTTTTTTTTGGAATTCGCTTCCCTCAGTTTGTACGCAATATTTATGAATAGATAGTACTCAGACGATTGCAATTCAGTTTAATCATTATTAAATATACCTACTTGGGGATAAACTGTCCGATGCTGGCCAGATCAGCCTTCCATTGGTTTGATCCCCTTCTAGTCGACTCCAGTGACTCCAGCTCCTGAAACTTGGCGGCCTTCTCGGGACTAGTTTCGCCAATCAGCAGACACCTCACGGTGCTTAAGCACGTGTAGAGAGGATGAGGTCCACTAAACTCCTGAACATTAACTTTCTGACCCCGATCTTTGGTAAGGCTGCACTCTGCTTTGTGTTCATCCAGAGATTTGCACTCCGGTCCGCACAGTGGCCATCCGCATTGTTCGCATTCGATGTGATCGTCGGCCTCGATACCGTTCAGACATCCCAGGCAAACGGGAGCAGAGATCTGGGCGGGTCCCCGCACCAGAGGTGCTTCCTTAAGGATTATCTCATAAGGTTTTATAGTACGAGTGGCCACCAGATGCCGGCCAAGTTGCTCATTGTGAGCGATCTGCAAAAGTGTTGAGGTTATGTTGGACCTTCGGAACCTTTGGATGTCAATAAGTACGGCACCTTGAATGGATGGCAGCTGGGCTTGTGAGTCTTCCAGTCTTGCTTTTGGTGCTGGACACTGCAGTACGATACTTGGTTACAGTTGGAGCACTTGTTCTTTGTCGGCTCCTCGCACACATGGCAGGGATTCATCATACCAAAAGCAAATGTACTATCCAAAAGAGATGGTTTTCAGCCAGACAATCCGCACCCGCACTCTCACACAACTGCTAGATGTGCATCCACCTCCGCACGCCTCACTGAATCTCTATAAACTGGGCCAGCTGAAGAGCAACACACATCTGCTACCTTGCTCTACGCTCAGTCCTCTATAAATAGCTAAAATTCGTCGCTCTTGAGTGGACCAATGCTGTGCGGCGTGCCACCCTAACCGTAATGAAATAAAACGAAGGATTGATTTTCTTTATTTTCTTGTTGTCTGGGCTATGCTGAAAGCCTAGATTCACAGAACCCGCAGTTTGACCAAGATTTCTACGATTTATTTGCTATTGTTACACCAATTAAAGCACTCCATACTATATACAAAATCACCCTTGGCCAGGAGCTGGTAAAACATAACTGGTAAGGCGCCGGGTAATACGATTAATTTATAAATACAGTTTTTACATAACTTATATAGCCTCCACCCCAACAAAACACTGAGGTATAAAATTACTGACGCTTTCGCTTACGCGTAAACTTGGATTTCGGCCTGCGCTTAGGCAGCGGCGTTTGGCGTCTCTGGCCAAGGGCACTATCTCCTACTTCTTCTCGCTCCTCTGGTGCCGTCGATCAAATATCAGTCTCGTCACTCGGCCCATTGGCCTCGCGCAGGGTCACGAACTTTTGGAGCGTGACGTTCCCCTTAGTGGTACCGGTGCTGCCGGTCCTGGAGCTGTGACGCGGTTTGTTCTTGTCACGCGACTTTTCGTGAACACCGTTCACCTGGAAATTATCGCTTTGGAATGGTATAGAAATCGGTAAGCTATATTCGCTCGGAAATGCATCAGTTCGGTCCTTTTCTTTATCCCGCTGCTCGGTAACTAGTGGATCGACATTGGTGTGGGCATTGTAGTTTCCTGCAAAAAACAATAAGAGATGTCAAAGTATAAATAAATTTACAAAGACCATTTAATAATGGGTTTAAGTGCCCATTAACAACCTTTGGCTCCAAACATCTCGGCATGCTGTTTAAATGCACTGCGGTTTCGTTTGCCTCTCTTCCGCATATTTAAACGCAGAGCGGACACCTTCAATTTGGACCTGCTGCGCTTGGACTTTGGACTATTTGGCCGTAGATCCGACTCCGCCTCCATCGGTTGACGCTTGGCCGTTAGGCTTGGACTGGGACTGAGACTTGGGCTCGGAGTTGTACGGCGGCCCAAATTGCTTTCGGTGTCGGAATGATTGTGCTGATAGTTGGCTGTCGCAATCACCTCATCTTCGTCTTCCTCCTGATCCTCATCATCGTCGCACTCATCGTCCTGATCGATGATTTCAATTTCCTCGGCTTCATCGTCATCGGAAAGAGCCTGCCGCAGCATAATTTCTGGACCACCACCGTAGATGTTATGCAGGAATCGCCAAAGGCGGGCATTTAATTGGGCGTAATCAGAGCCCAATCTCACACAGCTTACAGTGGCAGTTCCATTAAGCGAACCATTTTCAGTGGAAGCAGAGATGCCTTCGTTGGCAATCGGTCCTGGGTCTTTGTGAGTTTTCCCGCGCGAAAACTGCTGCCAAGATCGCAACCAGGGCATTGCGATCGCATAAATGGCTGTCGAGTCGAACTCGCTCTGTAGGCCATTGTACTTGGTAAACTCCATAAGCTCGTAATATTGACGACGGGATAACGTTTCTGCCGCCCGCTTACAGATCTCGCACTCAAAGATTATGTTCACCGCTGGTCCGCCGCCAAAAGTCTGATAGAGATAGTCCCACAGCGGCTGCGAGATAGGCACTGCAATCTGACTGATTATGTCCGCCTTGGAATGTAGAATACCACCGTGGGGGCAGAGCATATCCTGGTTATTTATCGGTCCAGGTTCCGAGAAGGTGGCAAGCCTTGAGAGCCATTCTCGCGTTATATAAAATTGAATATCCGAGTCACATAGGGGATGTGTAGTAGACAAAGTCATTGCCTGATCCCTTACTATCTTCATTTGGGGGTTATGCTTCTGGTAAAACAGAACATACGCTTGGCAGCTCTGAACCAGTTCCGGAGAAACCTCTGACACAAATTGATCATCGAACTCGTACCATTTTCCGTTGATCGCATTACGTGCATAGCATGTATAATGGCCACCACCCACCGTTCCATGGTGACAAATCACGGACGACAGGTTGTAAATAGGCACCTCGCTCTTGCAGTCTTTGTGGATGTATGGCCGCATGTCGAAACCCTCCAGCGGAAAGTAAACGTCCGAGGAGATCTTTGAGCTGTAAGACAGATCGTGCCGAAAGCGCTTCAGATGGATGCACAGAACCTCGGGCAAAGTGAGGACACGGGAGTACTTTATACCCGTTCGGAGTTTATTACAGCGCTCGCAGCTAAAACAAAGTAATCACTAAAGATTCTATATCTTTAATATCTTAAAGTGAGCTCTCACCTGTACATGTTATCTCCTTTCAACTCGTCTGCACTAAAGAAACTTGCCATGCAGTCATAGAGCGTTACAGAGGGTCCGTAGATCCATGAGCGGAGCATGTTCCACATCCAAGCCAGCCAGCCCTCGTTGGTCCTAGCGGATGTTTCGGCGGCATTAAGGCTCTGCACACTCAAGCTGTGCGCCTGGTGGAGAACGGTAAGGAAATCGCGATTAGGAATAGGCAGCGAAAGGTCCTGGAATGTTTCCTCGCGCGTAGATACGCGATCACAGGTCAAGCACTGCACGGAGGACAGGAGCTTGCCGTCGAATACGTCACTGATAATTGATCGAGACGCCTCTACCGGCTTCTGGGCTTCGTTAGACGATGCACTTTTTTGCTGGTGCTGTAACTGTGATTGCTGCAAGTGCCCTGTATGACCTTCCGGCAGGGCGTTGTTAGAACTGTTTGTTCGGCAAGGTGTCACGAAATATTCGGTCTTCAGCAACACTTCAGCAGACCGCTCGGACATGCTGCTTTCACAGGTATCGTACTCGCTCTCGGAAGCCGCAGGAGTCATAGATGTCGGGGCCGTCTCATCCTCGTTGTCGTCGTCTGTTTCGTTGGCCTGTTGCTGTTGATTTAACTGCGACTGGGACTGAGCCTGGTTCAGCGTCTGTGGCAGGAAGGAGACCTGTTCTGTCAACTCCTCATGTAGTTGATCCATGAAACAGCGCAGGAACTCCTGAGTGTCGTGTTGCTGATAGCCGCGGAACATTGGGTGCACCGTACGAATACCGTACAGAATTCCACGCGGAGCAATATTCTCTGCAAAATCTTATACATGAATACATATTCCAGTTAAGAAGATAAAGGACAGAACCTTTGGGATCGTCGACCTCCTGCCAGATGTCCTGCATCAGACGACGGTAGCTCTTGGCCAGACCGCCGGGCTTGCAGCGGCGGGCACTCTGCTCTGCTATGTACTCCACCAAGTCACTGCAGTTGATGAAGTAGTGCGTCATCGGTGGCAGGTTGCTTAGAGCCTGCAGAGCCGAGTTCATGTAGCATGTGTTGGCAAGGTTCTGCAGACCGACAAGTCCTGTGCCCGAGCCTCTGGCCTTGTCCTTTTCAACATTTCCACTACCGCCCGAATCCCGCCTGGCCAGTGAATTGAGAGAACCGCTGAAGAGCTTATCGTGACATCGGCTGCTCCTTGGGTCGCTCATGGCGTAGCCGTTCGCCAGCTGTACGGAAGAAAATCGAAAGTCATGTAATAGAGTCCAAAACAAAGCCAACGAAAGGGATAGTTCGCCTGGAGCGGATCTTGCCCCCATCAGCTAACCTTGTGGCACTGGTCGCAGTCTACGGTGTGATTGAGGTGGTCTACATGTGGATTGTACTGATTTCGGTTGGGACTTAAACTCATTATAGCTCACTGGCTGCCTATGTTATGTTTTTTGATATTTTAATAGAGAATTTTGATTGGAACAACCGAAGAAAAGGCGTTTGCGATTTTAATCGGTATTTTTGGTATTCAATGGAGGTGTGACCAAGCAAAATACCACGAAGTCTCCGGATTGTTTTCCAATCAAAGCATCAACGCTTTTAAAGGCCCAGTTTACTCTTGAAAAAATTCAATGATTATTTTTCGACTAGTCTGTCAATTTTAATCTTAAACAACTTAATATATTCGAATGTAAATTTTCCAATACGAAATGTCTGATTTATGAAAACGCTACGTTCCATCTCTACAAATAAGCCGTTGGTCACACTAATTATAATTTCAGAAAAAACGCAGAAAATAGTCGAAAATGTGTATACAAAAAGTGTAACTAAGCGTTTTCATGAGTGATAAGGGCCAAGAGTTTAGTGCGAGAAGTTCGAGCGGCCAGTGAGAGCCCAGGTTTAGTTGCCCCCATCCCGGAATGGGTCGCGCATCGTAGTTTTTTCTGCATCTGCTGGCGGAGAATTTAACTTCCCCTCCGCTGTAAAAGGTAAAACGGCCCTGCCTTTCCGCATCCCCTTGTGTAACAGCCCTGCCTTTGCAATGTTCCTTCTCGGCACCGAAAATAAAAAGGACACATCCGAATGAATCATTAATTGAGAGCAGGACAAGAAGTGTACACTTGCCTCAGTGTAAAAGAAAGCTCCCCTGCCTTTCAATCTACCACATATGTATTACATCAAACCCCGTTCATAAAGAAGCACTTAAACGGCGAACATCCCGTGCCCGAAATGATAGACCTCTATAATTATAGTTTTAGCTAATCGCTGATAGTTGTGCCTAACACGCAGGCCGTTGGAAGATTGCCAAGGAGCCATAATGACGCTGGAGACGCAGCCCGTTGGCGGGGTAAGCGATGGTAAGATCGCTGGGCTTTACGACCTGGAAGAGACCTTAGGATCCGGTCACTTTGCCGTGGTCAAATTAGCCCGACACGTATTCACCGGCGCCAAGGTAGCGGTCAAAGTGGTGGACAAGACCAAGTTGGATGAGGTCTCCAAGGCGCATCTGTTCCAGGAAGTGCGGTGAGTGACTATAGAAATGTAAGCTGAAACCATTTAAATAAATCCGTGCTCTCCCAATCCTTCTCAGATGCATGAAACTGGTGCAGCACCCAAATGTCGTGCGACTGTACGAGGTTATTGACACCCAGACTAAACTGTACTTGGTTTTGGAGCTGGGTGACGGCGGGGATCTGTACGATTACATAATGAAGCACGACTCTGGACTTAGCGAGGAGCTGGCCCGCAAATATTTCCGCCAAATCCTACGTGCTATCACGTACTGTCATCAGCTGCACGTGGTACACAGGTGAGAGCCCGCTCAAACTGATAATACGCCGTATTGTGTCGATCACTGATTTACGTAACCTTTGCTTCGCGTTTACAGGGACCTCAAGCCCGAGAATGTAGTGTTTTTCGAAAAGTTGGGCCTGGTCAAGCTCACGGACTTCGGGTTTAGCAATAAGTTCTTGCCGGGTCAGAAGCTAGAAACCTTTTGTGGCAGCTTGGCCTATTCGGCACCAGAGATTCTGCTGGGTGACTCATACGATGCGCCTGCAGTCGGTATGTCAGCTTCAAGAATTTTCTTTAAACCTACATTAACCATTCTGTCTTATCTCCCCAGACATTTGGTCCCTGGGAGTCATTCTGTACATGTTGGTCTGCGGTCAAGCGCCATTTGAAAAGGCAAATGACTCAGAAACTCTGACCATGATCATGGACTGCAAGTACACGGTGCCCTCACACGTGTCTACAGATTGTCGAGACCTTATTGCCTCTATGCTGGTGAGGGATCCAAAAAAACGAGCCACTGTCGAAGAGATTGCCTCCTCTGCCTGGCTAAAGCCAATCGACGAGCCCGATTCTACCACATCCGCCACGGAGCACTTTCTGCCTTTAGTCAGCCGCGAACAGCTGGGCGAAGAGGATCACGCCTTTATCATACAGAAAATGATAAACGGAAACATTGCGTCCAAGGAAGAGATATTGCAGTGAGTAGAACACAAATAAAACCAAATATTTCTGGCTGACCTACAGTGACGTCATTACAGAGCTCTAGACAAGAATAAGTACAATCACATAACAGCAACATATTTTCTGCTGGCGGAATTACGTCTGCGACGGCGTCGAGAGGAACAGGCCCAAAAGCAAAGGCTTCTCAATGATCCCAGCATAAAGTGAGTTCAGATTGCCCAAATAATGTCAGCCTTAACCTTTATATACATTCATAAGAGTGGGAGATGCAAGTCGCAAACCCGTGCCTGAGAAACCAAGTCCAACCGAAGCCTCGAAAGGAGGAGTACCCATCAGCATTAATGTGACTCCTGCAGCTCAGTTCGCGAACGACGGTGGCAAGCCGGTAAGTTAATTAAGTATTTATTTAAATCGCAGTAAATCTAATTATACAAATTACTTTGATAGGACAAGCGCAGTAGTAAGTGCAGCATCGTGCGCGAGGAGGACGAAGAGGAGTCTGCCACAGAATGCTCGGACATAGGCAATGAATTAAAGGTTACGTCGTCGCGGCGCGAGGCAATCTCAGATTCCATATTCAGTAAATCAATGCATGAGCGTTCCAGCTCTGAGCCCGGAAATCAAATACGAGGAGACCATATAGCCAATAGCGGAGTGCCAAGCCATTCACGCACAAAGATTGTCGTCTCGGTGGATGCAACGCTGGCCCAAAAGCTCAAACAGATGGAAAAATGTGCCAAGATAGATGAGGACACACTCAGTGGTCTCAAGGAACTGGAAATTGGCAAACTAAAACCTCTACCTAGCAGCAGCAAGAATCCGGTACTCACGCACCGACGCACAAAGCTGAACAAGATTCGAACACCTTCCTGCAGCAGTTCAGAGGCATCAGACGATGACACCAAGACGCGAAATAAGAAAAAGATCAACAAGTTTGTAGGCGACACTCCAGTGCGGTTTCGCATGCATCGTCGGGACTCGCACGACGACTCGAGCGACTCACAGGATCAGCTATATCCGCCTCCCGGCTCGGCCAGTGGTACGGCAAATTTTATCTCTAAAAGCGGCTCCGTAAGTGGCAAAAAAGAAGGACAATCGCAGTATAAAGAGGTAAGGTTTTTTAAAATGACATAATTTAGTAGTTAAAACTATATAATTCACCAAACTCATTTTAGCCAAATAATAAATCCGATGAAAATCGCAAATCTCACACACAAAAAAGCCGGAAACAGCACAAGGATCATGTTGATAAGCATTCCCACGCTGATAAGCAGCAGGCAGAGGTCAGCACAGCTACAACAGGAAACTCCACGAACAGGAGGCGACGCATTCGAGAGAGTCAGTCGCTGGACCGCATAACTGAGGCTCAGGAGTACGAGATGCGGCATCGCTGCTATGCCGAGAGCGAAGCAGCATCCTCGTCGTCTTCGTCCACCCAACATATCGATCAGAGATACTCTCTTCTTAGCCTGAACACTAGCACATTCTCCGTTGCCGAAACCAAGGAAGAGTATGATGAGGAGGTAGACGCTACAGATGCCACGGACCAAATCATGAATACTTTGAATGCAGCCAAAGCTACGCTTCAACAAGAGCAATATTTTAATAATAATACAAATCTTAGTAGGAAATTCAATCACAACTACAAAAATAACAATCACACCCAGAGCATCATCCACATTAGCAGCCAGAAAGCCAACAGCAAGAAGTCCAACGAAACACCAAAAGATATTTATAATCTAAACTCAATCGAGCAGATCGACTTGATTTTGGAGGATAAAAGCCTTACCAAAGCAATACACGTTACCGGCTCTAAATGCTTTGTCACCATGAAGAAAATCCGACGGTTGGGAAAATACTTTCCCATGATGAACTTCTCTTAATAGACACAGTTACTTCATTGCAAGTGCATTCTAAATATTAAAAAAACTTCAGTTAAGAGAACTACGTAGAGAATATGCATGTATTAATTAAAACGTATAAACGTCAACGTTATCCCCCGTATATAGGAAAAGCGCGCGAGAATATTTAAATTTAGAGGTAGCGTAATTGTTTTGTCTGTCGTCATTACGCTTAAATTATTCTAAATATATTAATTTATGTATAATTGTAAGTCTAATCACTCAATGCAATATTTAGTGAAAATACATTAATGCCCATATGACATTGGACTAAACTGTGAGTAGTTTCTGAACTAGGTTCCAAATATTAATGATTTGGGAGGGAAATCTGTTTTTTGAGTGAGTTCCTTTTATAAATTCCGACGCATGAGCTTTTTTTGGAAATTGGATTTGAATTTAGCCGGTCCTATGCAGTGTGTACACACCAACCTCAGCAAAGATTCCCACCAGTAGATTTTTTTTATACCTGCTAGAGTGAAAGAAAATGTTTCTTTCCTGAGATGATTTGTATTACTTATATAAAATTTGATTAAAGAAAAGAGGACGAAAATCACTTTGTTAATCCCTCTTTTAAATCGTACCTACACTAGGTACAACTATTACCTTTTGCAATAGTGCAGAAAGTATTTGAAATCTGGTCACACAGCCACGGACTCGTAAAAAGATGAGATTTTGCGGCAGGAAAATTGATTAATTCCCGAAAATAAACAAAGTAAACTGAGTGGAAATTGTAATCCTGACCAGCAATCATGTTGCGCATCTATCAGAACACTTACCGGTAAGAATCCGCGCCTGCAACGGCAATGGTCAAAGGTTTACTTGTCTGTTTTTCCTAACGATTTCGTCATCGGCACATCTCTTATTTCAATGTGTTTTGCCCATAGGCGCACCGCGAGAAAAGCTGTTGTCTACTCCACCAAGGTAGCCTGCTGTAATCATTCCACGCTCTGCAGCATCACCAGCCACCAACGACGTCCCCAGGGCAATGGGAGTTCAAACTCCAATGGAAACCATCAACGCCACGAGGAGTTCCTTCTTGCCGGCAACCCGGCAAGGGGTTGGCAAATGCCTCCGCCGTCGCGTGGTTATGGAATGCTAGTGGTGCGCATCCTGCGGGGAGCCCTTAAACTGCGATACATAGTCCTAGGCGGCGCCATTGGTGGGGGCGTGTCCCTGAGCAAAGTGAGTTTCGCAAGTTATATAACTTGTTGAAAACTTAAGAGACGTGAATTGTTTTTTCAGAAATACGAGGACTGGAAGGATGGATTACCGGATTTTAAGTGGTTGGAGGATGCTATGCCGCAGGGCGAACGATGGAGCCAGTTCTCGCGGAATCTTATCGAGGTGGGCTCCCTGGTGAAGAACGCCATCGATGTCGGTGAGTGTCCTTGCTGCGCCTCCCTAGCTTTATCTCTCACTTTAAATGGTCATATACCTTGGATAGAATCGCATTGAACTCTTCGTTTTGATTGGTTTTTTGCACTGAATGATACTGATGTTATTGGGGCGTTTGCTTGTAGATCCAAAGCTCAAGCAGCTGGGCGAGGATAAGCTGTCGGAATGGCGCAGCTGGTTTGACAGTCGTCTGGATGATGCCATCGAGGCGGCCGACTATCAAGGAGTTCAGATTGTCGAAAGTAGGTTACTCTAAAACACAGTCTCCCAACGTTGGGCCAATTTAAAGTGAGAGAACCCTGACCACCGCAATCGAGACTTATTCTTAACATCTGTTGCAGCCAAAGATGATCTGAAGGCAAAGACTACGGTGGCCGCTCTGGGCATTACTTCCGACGAAAGTCGAAAGAAGTATGGTATGGTTTAAGCTTGGGTTTGCAATCTAATTTGAAACTAAAACTAATATCTGTACCTCTGCAGAGAAACTTCAGAGCCAGGTGGAGACGCTGCAGACGGAGATCATGAACGTGCAGATCAAATATCAAAAGGAGCTAGAAAAGATGGAGAAGGAGAATCGTGAGCTGCGCCAGCAATACCTTATCCTCAAGACGAACAAAAAGACCACTGCAAAGAAGATCAAAAAATCTCTGATTGACATGTACTCGGAGGTTCTGGATGAGCTTTCAGGCTACGACACGGGCTACACGATGGCCGATCATCTTCCGCGTGTTGTAGTAGTGGGAGATCAAAGCAGTGGCAAGACCTCTGTGCTGGAATCCATTGCTAAGGCTCGCATCTTTCCCCGCGGCAGTGGCGAGATGATGACGAGAGCCCCAGTTAAAGTCACTTTGGCCGAAGGCCCGTACCATGTGGCTCAGTTCCGTGACTCCGATCGGGAATACGATCTGACCAAGGAGTCTGATCTACAAGATCTACGCCGGGATGTGGAGTATCGCATGAAGGCCTCAGTGCGAGGTGGTAAAACTGTGAGCAATGAAGTCATTGCTATGACAGTCAAGGGTCCCGGACTGCAGAGAATGGTTTTAGTCGATCTGCCAGGCATTATTTCGGTAACCAATAATACTTCACTGGATAAACTTCAAATGTTAGATGTTAAATTTTATTTTAGACAATGACTGTGGACATGGCTTCGGATACCAAAGATTCGATTCACCAGATGACCAAGCATTATATGAGCAACCCGAACGCCATTATTCTCTGCATTCAGGATGGGTCTGTTGATGCCGAGCGTAGTAATGTCACTGATTTGGTCATGCAGTGCGATCCCTTGGGTCGACGCACCATTTTTGTACTGACAAAGGTGGATTTAGCTGAGGAACTAGCCGATCCAGATAGGATAAGAAAAATCCTTTCGGGCAAACTCTTTCCAATGAAGGCTCTGGGCTATTATGCCGTTGTGACCGGTCGTGGACGGAAAGATGATAGCATTGATGCCATCCGGCAATATGAGGAGGACTTTTTCAAGAACTCAAAGCTTTTCCAGTGAGTATAGAGAGGATGTGATGGTGTAATTGCCAAAGTTCACCTCTCTCCATACTTAGTCGTCGTGGCGTTATCATGCCTCATCAAGTAACCAGCCGGAATCTAAGCTTGGCGGTGTCAGATCGTTTCTGGAAGATGGTGAGGGAAACTATTGAGCAGCAGGCAGATGCATTTAAGGCGACCAGATTCAATCTGGAAACCGAATGGAAGAACAACTTTCCCAGGTTTGTGAATCCCCCTGAGATGATTTTTATTATCTGATAATTATTTGCTTTAGATTGCGTGAGTCTGGACGAGACGAGCTGTTTGACAAGGCCAAGGGCGAGATACTGGATGAGGTGGTGACTCTCTCTCAAATCTCAGCTAAAAAGTGGGACGACGCTCTCAACACCAAGCTCTGGGAGAAGCTTTCTAACTATGTATTTGAAACCATCTACCTGCCCGCCGCTCAGTCAGGTTCTCAAAGTAATATTTTGTAGTGCTAAGTTGTAGGTTGTAAACAGACTTCGCCGACGTCATCGATGGGGGCACGTCCATTCAATCTCCCGCCTTGTGCTCCGCCATTGTGTGTTGTTTTTGGAGGAAAAGCACCTGCCTCGAACTTCACGTGTCTCTGTAAATGTCGCGTCGTTAAAATATTTTGTTTAATTTTGCATTTATCATGGCCCGCATTTGGGTCCCAATTCCCGTGCAAGGGAATCACATGCGTTAAAGATTTCTAAACCGGTTTGAGACTCCTGCAGCACCCAATTGAATCATGAGTGTAAATTTAATGTGTACTCCCCGGCAGACAATTTCGACTCCATTAACACCGTTTGCCTTTGCCCTGAAAATAGAGTGACTAAGCCGGGATCGTCACAGGTTCTGCGTAGCAGTCATGTGCCGGAAAGTGTTATAAGTGGAGATTTACGATCACCTGTAACGAAACCAGATTTTGGTTAATGTGAGCAATACAAAAATGTATGCGGTATTAGGGATTTATCGCCGACAAACACGTTTGGCCCGCTCAACGGGTGTTTATTTTGCATTTTATGACAGATCCGTTAATTTGCTGAATGAATTCAGCCAAATCAATGTCTAATTGAATCCAAATTGCAGTTATCGAGTTAGGCATCTGAGTGTTTTGTGGCTTTGTTTACCATTCCCCAGTATTTGTATACCTTAATATAATATCCAAACTAATTTCATACAATGATTGTGCTCTTTATAGATTCTTTCAATACGATGGTGGACATCAAGCTGCGTCAGTGGGCGGAGCAGGCACTGCCTGCCAAATCGGTGGAGGCTGGCTGGGAGGCGCTGCAAATGGAGTTTATCTCTCTGATGGAGCGCTCGAAGAAGACGCAGGATCATGACGGCATCTTCGATCAGCTGAAGGCTGCGGTGGTAGACGAAGCCATTCGGCGACACAGTTGGGAGGACAAAGCCATCGATATGCTTCGTGTGATCCAGCTGAATACGCTAGAGGATCGCTTTGTACATGATAAGCAGGAGTGGGACTCGGCGGTAAAGTTCCTGGAGACTTCCGTGAATGCCAAGCTTGTGCAAACGGAGGAGACGCTAGGACAAATGTTTGGTCCTGGCCAGCTGCGACGCTTCACTCACTGGCAGTACCTGACGCAGGATCAGCAGAAGAGGCGAAGCGTAAAGAACGAGCTGGACAAAATACTCAAAAACGATACGGTAAGTTTAGAATTTTTTGTGATGCTATCCCTTTCGGGATAGGTTAGAGAACCATCGGTAATTGATTTGAACTTAAAACTTATTCTCACGACAATAACATTGAAAATAATTATTTAACATTTTATCACCAATTAACTATATCATAATTGAAAGCCATTTCTTAATTGATAGGTTTTTAAATAGTCAAAGATAAATTTATGGCACTAGTCCCAGCTAAAGTCGATTTATTTTAATGTTCTCATAACTATTATGTTCTGTATTGGTAAAATTAATAAAGATAACATTAACTACGATTGTGATTGCAGAAACATTTGCCCACCCTGACTCATGATGAACTGACGACGGTGCGCAAGAATCTTCAGCGGGATAATGTGGATGTGGACACAGATTATATAAGGCAAACGTGGTTCCCAGTCTACAGAAAGTGAGTTGTCTTGTTCAAAACCTTTTAGGTTTATCATTGACAAACATTATCGCCCACATTCAGACACTTCCTGCAGCAGGCGTTACAGAGGGCAAAGGATTGCCGCAAGGCTTACTACCTTTACACACAGCAGGGAGCCGAGTGTGAGGTGAGCCGGAAGATTTTTCCCTTACTTGAACCAATTTATTTAATGCCTTTTATTTAATTCTCCTCAGATCTCCTGCAGCGATGTCGTGCTCTTCTGGCGCATCCAGCAGGTGATCAAAATAACGGGCAACGCACTGAGGCAGCAGGTGATCAATCGGGAGGCGCGGCGGCTGGATAAGGAGATCAAGGCTGTGCTGGACGAGTTCAGTGACGATGAGGAAAAGAAGGGATACCTGCTGACAGGCAAGCGTGTGCTGCTTGCTGAGGAACTAAGTAAGTTAACCAGTTAATTGAATTTGGCGCCAATTTAATTGCTCTCAATTTATCAGTCAAAGTGCGACAGATACAAGAGAAGCTGGAGGAGTTCATCAATTCATTGAATCAGGAGAAATAGTAGTGTGCCATGACCAAAGACACAACACCTGAGGCGTTACTTATTTAATTGGATAGTTTAAGCCCACATTTCAAATGTTTGTTCATAGTACCACGCTTGAGCCCCTTAGTTAAGCTTACTTTGTGCTCCGAAAGTAATAAACTAATAGATCGTTAGTTCGTATTATTGAAATCGTCTTTATTGTTTATGAAGTGTAACCTTATGTCGCATGCAATGCAATGTAAACTCATTAATTTAAATGTAATATAAATCATTCAATCCTGTTTTAATGCAATTGTAGTTGATAAACGATAACGCGAAACGCACTCAACGTGCTGAGTATGTAGCGGTTCGTGTGTGTGTTTTTGTTTGCTTTTTGTATTTGTATCGTGTAATATATAAATCTGTTTGCATAAGAGCACAGCACTTGTACACCAGATGCCTCATCATGTGGCTGATTGTTTATTTGATTCGTCCACGTTCGGCTAATCCCACGATCGGCGGCGGGTGCATTAACCCCGCCCGTTTGCCAGTCCGCGTCTTTAATTGATTGATTGATTGATAAAAGTATATCTAGCTAGCTATGTAACAAGTCCGTGATGGCGGTGCAGTACCATATCTCTTAGAAGGTAAACAAATGCTCGTTCCCTATCATGTTAAATACATAACTCAACAAACGATTCTTAACTTGGCAGTCGACTTGTGGCCCAGCCATAACCATGTGCTCAGCTGCTTACGGGCTATCATAATAATATTAATAATGTGTTCGGTTCTTCTTCTCCTCTCCGATCCTTCGCTTAGCCTAACTGCTAAATTCTAGTCCACATCTGGGCTCCTCCACTAAAGCTTATAGAAACATAATTTACACTCGCTCCACTCTGCTGTTATGCGTGTGATTTGGGGTAAGGTGTGTGTGTGATAGGCACTCGATATCGCTGAAGGCACAACATTACGATTAGTCTTATCTTAACGTATTAAGTACTCGGAACACGCTTCCGCACTCGCTTTCCTCCGAAATCTAGAGCTCCATCGACATGAACATCGAGTGATTGGCAATTAGTGTTGCCAAAACCGAAAGGTGCCATCGAAGATAGTTGTGGCTGCGATGACACGGCGTTCAGGCTTTCCGGCAGGTATTCTTTCGCTCTGATCTCCAACGCTTCTTAAGCTGCGGGCAAGGGGCTCAGCTTCTCGTTGCGTTTCTGCTCCCACCTGGCTACCCAAGTGAGTGGATAGCACAGGAAGGCCGAGATCAGGATCAGCCCGCCAGCGAAGTAGAAGGCCATATTATAGCTTCCAGTCATCACATAGAGGGCACCTGAAAAATGTTTAAATAATAAATTATCAATCGTCATTCGTTTGGGGTTTGGTGACTAAGGATTACTCACCAGCAATGGGACTGCCGAAGGTGGCTGCCAAGCCCTGGAACAGCATCAGGAATCCGTAGGCGTTGGTCAGCTTCTCAAGTCCAATCAGCTCCACCGCGATCAGGGATCGCAGGGCCGAGAAGCAGGCAATGCAAATACCGAAGAACACAGCGAAGGCCCACTGGGTTGTAGCGTTCACGACTACGCCACTGAAAATAGTAGCGATGCCGCCGGCGGTTAGGGCGAAGTTGTTTAGCCAGAGAGGCTTGACGGCAGGGAATGAGCTGATTGATCCGCACACGATCCTAGCGATGGTATTTACAACACCAATGCCGGAAATCACCGCCAGGGCCGCTTTTCCATCCATTCCTTCACTCACGGCGCGAGGTTCAAGGAAGCTAAAGGGCACGAAGAAACCCATCATAGTCAGGAAACCGCTGAAGGCCAGGCACATAAAGGCCGGCGACTTGAGCAACGTGGTGTCCAGCATGGTAGATAGGGTACGACGTACTGCTTCTGGGCAGATGCGGCATCCCTTCTGTCGATCCTCCAGCATGTCCTGCTTGGTGGGCAGACGGGTAACGGACATGTGGTAGGCCAGGGAAGTTTGCGATTGGTATTGGGGAATCCTGGTAAGGGATCCGGAGAAGAAGATATCGTCACGGTACATGGGTCTGGATGAGGAGTGCACCTGTCCATGATGAGCCTCATTGCCAGCAGCAGCCGCTCGCTTGGCAAGGTCTTGGGGTCTGCGTCCTGATACTGTGTGCCGGCGGGCCTGGATGGTCACTGGCTTGGCCTCGGTCTCCAACAGGTTATCGTTCTCGGCTTCCTCTTCGTTCTCACCCACGGTGGTCAGTTCTTTGTGGAGATTGAAGGTCAGTTGTTGTGGATCTCCGTTAGGTGTGGTGGGCTGCGACTTCCTAAGCTGCTTTAGTTCGGTGCCCTTGCTGCCCTGAGCGGTGCCCGAAGGACGACGCTCCAGGTTCATGCCCTTGAAGATCTCCTGTGCAGTGGGATAATGGTTACGCTGGGAAGCACCCATGTAGGTGTTGTGGGCGGAGTTGGGCATCGAGTAGGCGAAACGACCTTCTGGAAGGGGCTTGGTGAAGGCCGCCTGGTGCAGCTGGGGTGTGGGCGCCACCGTATTGCCATGGCCATTGAGCTTGCTTTTTTCCTTCTCATCTCCCTCCTCGTTGGTCACCGACAGCGTAATCGGTTGAATGGGTCTGAAGGTCAAGCCAAAGAGGGCGCATGAAAGCACGATGAGTCCCTGGACGGCCAGCGTTGTCCTCCAACCGCTGTTCAGCAATAGTTTGGTTAGTGGTGCGAACACAAATGTTCCCACTCCGGAACCGCACATCGCCACTCCAGTGGCCAGAGCACGCCACTTCTCGAAGTAGAAACCAATGATCACAACAGCTGGGATGTAGACCATGCAGAATCCGATACCTCCAAGAACGCCATAGACAAGGAACAAGAACTCAACACTGGGTGCGAAATAGGAGAGTCCAAAGCAGATGGCTGCGAATATCGCGCCCGTAATCGTGACCGGACGGAAGCCAAACCGATTGGCCATGGCACTTACAAATGGTCCTGCCATCAGGTAGCATCCACTGAGCAAAGATGAAACAAACGCCACATAGGCTTTGCTCACACCGAATTCCGCCATTAGCTGATCCTGGATTTGTGGTGAGCAAAAGACAATGCCGTCGATCACCGTGCAGCAGAGGAAGGAGGCTACCATTACCACCCAGGCCCAGCCACTGTCCGGCGGTACCACCACTGCTGCCTCATCGATTTCCTCCTCGTTCTCATTCTCCTCCTTAATGTTGTCCGGCTGTTTGGATAGCAGGTTATTGGATGCCAGCTCGTCCTGCGACTTGGTCTGTTGCGTGGCCATTTCCTAAAAAGATTGAGAAAATAATGAATTAGTACGGACGCACCCAGAGAGATCACATCTTTTGTTACGCAAGTGTTTACCTAAAAACCGTGTGGCCTTCACATTGCGTATACGCCCCCAATGACTCCCTCTATTTTGCATGGATAAGTCTATTTTTGAATGTCACGTGCCCCGATAGCCAGAGAATTGAACATTTACCTGTACCTCTACAGGCACAATGTGGGTCATACAATGAGGAAAATTTCATATAATGTTCGCTTATGTTTGAAACATTGTAAAATCTCAACAAACTGAGGATTTCCTAATTAAACATTTCACCTCCAGAGTCTATATAAGTGTTATTTTTACCTTACCCCTTTTAATAAATAAAAACTGTAAAGAGTTGGGTAATTATTGCATGATAAACAGATTTAGCAAATATATAATTAAGAATAAGTATTCAAATAAGAACTAACAATTTGCCCCCGGCTATACATATTTATCTGTGGGATATCTGCAAAAGGTGCGTGGTGTGAAAGGCTTTTCGCTGTTTATCATAACGACGTCAATCGGCAGATGGCGCTGACAGGGGGGGCGGTGATTGGTGATCGTTCGGGATGACGGGGTGGGTGGGATGGTGTGGCAGGTGGTGTTTAGTGTTCAGTGGGTGGGTGGATTGTCAAACGTCAGGCCTGGCCAATGCCAGGGACAGGAGTGCGTCAACGGCTGTCTTGGCCAAGCACAAATACCAAATGGAATTTGCAATTATGTACGAGTATACGTAATGGTTCTTCCATTTGGCGAAGGAACAGTCTTCTGACTCGACAATACTCAGAAAATTCAATATGCCAGGCACACGAGAACAAATTGTGCTGTGGATTTTGCCTTTTTTCTTTTTAAATTGCTTTTCTTGTTTGTCCACATCTTTCGGCTAACAAACTCTTGGCCTTGGCTCTAGCTTTGGTGCCTTTATCTAATCTGATCTGCCGAGGGGCAATCATCCGGTAGAAACAGAAACTCATGACTGCTGTAGAGCTTACATGGACAAGAAGAAGCTTACCCGAGATAGGCTCATTAGACGAGATGAGTTGGGATATTTTGTAACTAAACCAAAACAGATCCCCTAACAAATATCTTAGTAAATATGCCTAGATTATCTAAAATGATAACCATATCAGAGTGGAAATTGCAGGGATTTACGGGTGCCTGAGATTTCATCATTAGTAAGAGATATAGCCGGATAACTGGCTGATAATCGCTGGCTCCTATTATCCCAGCCTTTGCTCCTGCATTCCATAAATTAATTGATTATTTTGCCAGATTTTAGCCTTATCACGTCGGATTTTCGTGGCCCGGCAACGGCTTAACCGGATAGTATACGGCTAATGGCCACCAGATACGGGGATTCGTACATAGCAACACCTAGTACTTAGTACCTTCAACCAGCACCACCACGTGACAGGGCCCAGCTTGATAATTTCATTTCCTTTATGACTGGAATTTCGGCTATATCATTGACCATGCGAATTTATGGGATCCCATAAAGACCAAGCGCCCCGATAGCGCAAGGGTCTGGCTGGGGTTATTGTTTATTGTGCAATCGAAAGTGTTGCGACAACCATCCTCGAGCCAATCCAAACACAATAACATAATACTCGCCACACACACACGGACACACACTCCATACACACCCAATCGGGGAGACCCCTTTTCGACTCGCGCTCGTATTTCAGATTTTGTTTTCATTTTCATGCCCAAATGACCACGAGGGAAGAGGTAGTGGAACCCAAAAGCAGGGACCACAGCCAAGAGCCCAGAATTGAGAATCAAGAACCGAGAACAACCGGACCGGGCATCGAGTACCCATCGAAGGAAACCCGTCAAGTGCCTCCGCGTAACTGACTTGCAACAGCAACAGCCAACAGCAGAAGTATAAATAGACATTAGCATTTACTTGTTGCCCCGATCCCATATTGTTGCCACAATATCGAAAGCGAAGACATCTTAGGGCTACAAATTGGCTAGAGGACGCACCCAGATAGGTTCTTGGATAGCTGGTTTTGGGGCTTATTGACTATCTTCGATTGTTTGTCAACGGATTAAATTCTTAAAAATAGTTAGGTTAATAAAATGAAAGTGTATTTCTTCTTTTTTAAGTTGTATGTCCTCTCTGTGTTGTGGGCTTAAAGGTTTTCGATAGAAGATACAAAGATATTGGAAGATATATAGTTCTAAATGTATTTTTTCTTCTCTATTGCCAATATTATATATTACTTAAGAGTATCCCATGTTTGCGTTCAGGAAATCCAACTATCCAACTATCTGTTTTGTTTGTTTCCTGGTGGGTTTGGCCCCACAAGCGGCGGATAATGTGACAAGGCGGCTCCTGCGGCCTCCGTGGCCTCCGAATCCGACCTCCTCCCGCTTATTGTAAGCTAATCCCGCTGCGAGCAAACAGCCCACGACTCCCGCCCCCAAACCATCATTCATTTTTTTTGCCAGAGGCAACAAGGAGGGGGCGGAGGTCGCAAACACTTGTCAGTGCCAATTGTGAGCGTTGACAGCGCTTAAATTGATGCCCGTCGATTGAATTAATAAATGTTATAGGTAAACACATATGGCCAGAAATCGACGGACATTTAAGAGGGGCGATTCGAAGAGAGGGGAAACCGACCCGACCAGACGAAAACGCAGACACAGACGGCGACTTCTGAAGACATTTTCCTGCCGCCGGTTTTCCTTAAACGTGCACATGTATCTACAAGTATTTGTATCTCTATCTGCGACCGTCTCCCTCAGTATTGCACACATATGTCGCATGTAGTACATGGCTCTGTTATTTATAACATGCAACTGTGGGCGTCCGGTTCTTAGTCTTCGTCCCGGCGTCCTTCCCTGCTCCACCCTTCCTACCCCATTCCCTTTCAATTCTGTGCGTGCGGACCCATTTAGATAGTCCGTTCCATCGGTACGGTATCGGTATCTCGGACAGGTTCCAAGAGCCGTCGTATCTCAGCGCCGCAATTTGTAGGTACAAGTGAAGCAATCGTTAAACGACTTTATGCTCAAAATATTAATTAGCTAAGCCGGCCCCAAAATGGAGCGAGAGCCCTAGAAGGCGAGTCTGGCGGAGTGGTTGCAGGGAAAACGAAGATCTTGGCCTGGGCAACACCGTCTAAAGGATGCTCTATAGGCTTTGGTTTCTAGTGTAGAAGTAACTTCAGTTGAAGTTATGTTTGTGGAATTTCCAATCAGTTATAAGAAAACTTGGAAATCTTTGAGTCAACTTTTTAAGTACTGAGTAATTATTAATCGATATATATTTCCTTGATTTAAGGAAATGGATTTATTGGAATTTCTGGAAGCCAAGAAAGAATCTTAAGCCTGAGAATAATAAAGAATTCTTGTAATATCAGCGAAATAACTTCTATAGTAAAGAAACATCACTCATTTTCTTGGTTTAAAATTTACCCTAATGACTCACATGTATTTTATTTCCGAGATTATGTAGCTTGATTATTCATTAGTATAATGTTAAGTTAAATGACTATTTAATATATATTTATTAAGTACTGGTAGATTGCAGCTAACTTCTAGGTTGAACTTAAGGTTTTAGAGTAAATTAAACGATTAAATCGATTAAATTTATATTTATTTCGTAAAAAACTGAGATTTTATATACTTCTTATTTTGATAAACTTTTAAACGACAATATTCCACATAAAACAAGTTTTTAAAAGATTAAAATAATCAAAAAATTCCAAAGAAAATACGAAATCCCAAAAAAATGGAAAAAACAGTTGGAACAATGAGTTTAACAGCGCGCCCCGGAAAGAAAGACGAAAATATCCAAAAATATATCCGGAAAAATGTTTGTCACCGGATCCGTGGGATTGGATCTTTGGATGGTTTTCTTCGTAGAGGCTGTTGGTACTCCTCACGACTCTCCACACTCGTGTCGCTACTTCAAGTTGACCCCATTCCGGATGGGAATGGCAAACACTCGAGGGCAGCTGCCACCTCAAGTTCATCGCTCGGCCTTTCACCCAAGGCGCAGTATTACTGAGTAATCCAAAAAGCACGATATGGTAGTGCTTTGAAGGAAGTATCTTTTTGGAGCAAGCATCTGACACAATTAGTAATCTTATGCGGGGCACTATCAGCTGGCTTTTCCTCTGTTGTCCAGTGGCTAGTGTTGACCAGAGACCAGAGACCAGAGACCACAGACCATTATCATCGGCATGAACAAAGGCCGCGACAATTAGTGGAGCGATCAATGGTCGCCGGGGTCTCTGCTCTCCGGGGTCCTCTTTTATGTCGGAAGTAGAGCATGGATTCATAATCAATTAACATGTTCAAATCATGGAAAATAAGTGCAAGTAGCGCAATTATTTCTAATTGAAAATCGAGAGTATTTGGGAGTAGAATCGACAGAAGTCGTGATTTGTGTGTTAGCTTCTGGGCTATTTAAATGTTTATTTATTCGGTTATCTGCACGTGGCTGCGTCAGTCATTTCCCGATTCTACAGATGTCATTGTCTCATGACGCAGCCCCACAGTTTCCACATCCCATCTCTCCGTTTCGAGCTTCATTTTTTCAAATGTCGTCCAACTCGACCCCGAATCCAAGCTGCTTAGCAAAACTGATACGATTCCCTGCCCCATTCCAATCCGATCCGTTTCCATACGAACCATTTCGACCCCGACATTGGCGCCAAAATGCTGTTGCTGTTGGTGTTTTTGTTTTCAACGCTGATCTGATAAGCAAATCAAGGAAACAAACAAACTGCAACTGCAGTCTAAAATTGGCTTAATCTGCTGTAAATATTTACAGGCTGATTATCGATCCGTGTTAAGGGAAAATTTCCACAGTTTGAGACTTCAAGCATTCGAGATTCGAGCATTTCGATACTGGGGTTTGGATTTTCCAAACCACCGTCTGCACCGTCCACACGCAAGCGCACTCGACCATGCCGAAGAATGAGAAACCCAAGTAGCAAGAATTCTTTGGCCCAATGTTGAGAAAAAACCCCATTTATTTTGGCAATGACTGGGGGTATTGTGAATGCAGAAAACATGTTTGCTGGCTGTCTAATGTGAATTTCCATTTTTTTAATGCTTTTTTTTCTAAGCTGCTAATTAACCGAAAATTATCGAAAAGTAGTTCCAAAAGCATGCCAGTCTCTCGGTTACTTACTATGATTCAGTTTCGAATTCAGATTGATTAATTGCCAAGGCAGGGCAATTAATGGTGGAGTGGGGGAAATTGGGTCATTGGCATCTTGCAGTTCTAATGCTTCCAACACGCGTCACGGCCCATTGATATGAATATGGATGTCTGATTTTGGTTTCTGTTTCAGCTTGGGGATTTCGGTTTTCGGATTTCTGATTGCTAATTTCGATTTCTGTGACCGCTCGACAGCTGTGGGATCTGCCATTAACACTTGGCTTGCGGCTTGTTTTGTTTGTTTTTTACCGGCAACCGGTTGTAAGATAAAACTCAACAAAAGCCACGCGCAAACTCCAAAAGAGAGCCTTGGGCAAATGCCAAAAAAAAGTCGATGCTGACTCACCATACGGCGAAAGGCGTGTCAGATCGGAACGGATCAGCCCGGATTAATAAAAGATAAAGCCAAGCTGCCTGGTCGATTTGCATGCGAAATTGCTGGCCATAATTAATATGCGGCTAATGATGGCAAGAGTGGGTAAAATGTATCTGCATTTGCATAGGCAGCAGGTGCAAGTAGATAGTTTGGTATCGGACAGATACCCTGCACTAAACTGTCTTTATATGCATTTCAAATGGATTTGCTGTGCTTTATATTGATTAGACTATCAAATGTAATATACAAAAATGGTTCACCATTTAGAAATCGAAATTTTTTATTATTATATTAATGGAAAAACTTCCAGAGATCGAAGTTTTCTTCTGGTTTCTATTGGTTTTCCAGAAATATTTAACTTTGATCACAGATTTGAAAACCAATTAATATAAAGTTATCAAGTTTATAAAATGTCTAATAAACTTAAACTTGTTTTTTAAAAATAGTTTTTATGGATCTAAGATCAATTTGGAGTTTCAATACCGAAACGAAGTCAAAAAACTCAACAGATAAACACATCTAATGAAGTATTTTGAAAACGAATTAGTAGCCTATCCATCATAACTTAAGATCACGTTTTCTGTCTACCAACTGATTGATATTTGTGCTTGGTGGAGGGGGCAACAACATAGGCTTAGTTAGTATCGATCTAACGTAAGCTGATTTCGTTCTTTGTTCAAGTTCAGGGAGGGAAAACAAAGCAACAAAGACGGCTGCAAATTGCGACTCGAAAGCCGTTTGCCAGTGCCTTGTTCCTGGTATCGATGCCTGAGGCTTTAGACCATTCCCAGGTTTTTCCCTTTTTGGCCAACAAACAACCAAGTGGTAACATGGTTAATTTTTTCAACCCGCCGCCAAGCACTTTTGCCGCATGTCGCTGCGTTGCTTTTCGTTGCGTTGTGTTGCGTTTCATCGTGGTCGTTGGTCGTTGGTCGTGGTCGTGTGTTTTTGGCCAAAACCCGTTTTGAGCCAAGTTTAGAGGAGTGAGAACTTTGGGTTCTGGGAGTTGGCTTACCTATATATTTATATGTTGTCGGTGTCGGTGTCGCGTTGTCGAAAGATGTTGCTGGCGTTGCGTTGATGATGATGCGGCGTGTTGCAGTTGGCTATTCGCTGTTATATTGGTGGCAACTTCTGATCTTATTTTTGGCGCGCTGCAAAGAATTTGATGGTGTGTCTGGTGTGAGAAAGCGAAAGCAATCGAACGCGTACGCCGACACAGTAAAAGCGAAAGTTAAAAGTCAACGGCAACGGCAACGAGGAAGCGGGATCGCCGTGAAGCGAAACAACACGCTTAAAAATACTTCTAGCATATATTTATCAGTATCTGATTGTACATATGTTTATATAGTCGGGGCAGAACGGATCGGATCGGAACAGAGTAGCATGTATATATACATATATATATATTTATATATATACATGCGGAGCATATAAAAAAGTGCGCGCGGCTATAGTTCGTTCCTGCGCCGATGTTGCTATTGCTGTTGCTTTCTTCGCGTTTCGGGAATACGTTTCGTTTCGTTTCGATTCGGTACGAGTTGTGTGCGTTATTTGCTTTACTTTATTCTGTTTTATTCCTGTTGTTCGTTTTCGAAACACTCAGTTGCGGTTTCCGCTGAGGACGCCAGATCGCAAATGCCTCATGAACGATGCGAACGACGCGACGGACTAAAGATAACTAAGGGAAATCAGAATGTGTTGGCAGTATAAACCGCGCAGCAGAAAGCAGCAAGGCAGCACGGCAGCAGCACCACCAGCAGCAACACGAACACAGCAGCAACACCAACGGGCACGGCAGCAACACGTTCTGCTTGTGTACGTGAGTATCTGTGTGCTTGACCTGTTCGTGTGTTTGTAAGTTGTTGTTAGGTTTTCTGGTTACACGGAGTGCGTTCTGAATGAAATCGCCTGGATCTAATCCGAACTAATACGATCTGATCGGTCAAGAAGCCACCAACTTCAGGAGTACCTATGATAAGAGAGAGAGGGAGCGAGAACGAGAGAGTACTGCCGGCATCTTATGTATTCGATCGCTCTTCTCTGCTCTATCAAAATGGCTCGAGAACACTCCGTCGTATACGCAATGCCGAACAACAACTATAGTCGCTGGTGTTGTTGTTGACTTTGCCTCCGTTTTTGTTTCGACTTGAGTTTTTGGGAGTGTTTGCTGCGGCGGTTCTCTTTCTTTTTTGGGACTTTTTCCAGAGAAAAAGAAACTACATGTATATTTCTTGTTCCCGAACAATATCAAGAGTTGGATAACTAATGTGTGAGTGTGTTTGTTTGCCCTCGTGCTGTGGCTATTTCAATTGATGTGTGGGCCTTTGGCTTTTTCCACTACCAAAGAGATAAACTCAAAAAATGTGAATGGAGCTCATTCACAGGGTTAAGAGGTAGTCAGGGGCTTCTGTTTGCTCATCAGCAGGTTACCGGCTTTCTGCTTACTAATGGCCCAAATACAAAGAACCGGGCATTTCGAAATTGTCTCCAGAAATTATGAAATCGTAACATTGCCGAATAGATAAAGCGGGACGAGGGTAATTAGTAGGCAAAAACCGAAAGTCAGGCGGTGAATTGAATTCATTTGAAGGGCCATGAACTGTAAGTACTCAAAAAGTGCAAAGTGGTTAAGGTAAACGCAAATGAAGCGAATTCCAGACCAACTGGGATTATGCTTTTATCAGTCTAGCGTTTATCCGGTTGCGGTGGCATTATCTTCCGGGGGACTCTCGAACTTTGGTCCCTTTATGGTATTCATTAATGAATTAATTCAAGTACATTTTAGTATCGATATCGTTTCAGGTCAATTCCGTTTTTAAGTTTTTCTATCAAAACGACCAATCAGCGAATCGTGCGCCGCTGACTTTGAGTTTTGATTGATAAGCCGCTGCTCCTTTCCCTCGAAAACCCCTTGTGCAGCGATAAGCGGCCAAATTTATACGGCCATGAGTGGAACGTCATAAAAATATATTAGATTATAGAAATTAAATTCTTTTTTAGCATTGGCAGCCAACATCTTACCTAACTTGGCCGGATTTAGTGATTAATCTAATCTCATCAATACGGCGGACATAAATATGTACTTCGGTCTTGGATGGGTGCACTATAAAACATACGAGAATGTTACATAATAGTCTCCTACAGATTTCTCAGTTCATTCAAAAACATTTTCATCATCAATTTACGCAGCATCTGTCATGTTTAATGTTTTCTTAAAATATTAACATATCTGTCTTATCAGTGCAGTTTACGCTTGGATTAAAATTAGTCATGTGAGCATTGGTCAGCAGAAAATGCATATTATTTTAGTTTAAGCAGCATAACTTAATCCAAAGAAAATGGTGAATCATTACTCGAATTTGTTTATCCTAAAGGCAAATAAGCCCCGAAAATGATGACGCATCAGCGCTTAATTTTTTGGGTTTTGATAATAATATCAATACATTTAACTTAAAGTGTACTACGCATTAAAGACCGATTTTAAACATACAGAAAGTATAGCATTTTTAGCTAAAATAGGTTATTTTTAGAAATTCTTAAAAGAATTTTAAAAATCAGTTACAATATATAAAACTTAGGACCAGGGCTGTATCTTATGGTGGTTGGAGTCTTTGGTTGATCCTTACACATCTTTTAGGTATTTTGGGGGATAGGGTCACATTTTCGTCTGAACCTGTCCCCAAAACGTATTTGCGTGAAATTTAATTTGAACTTTTTATAAAAAAATTATTACATTTCTGTATTCCGTTTCTAAAAAATACCATCCAAAGAAGGCGCAAGTTTGTGTAAAGACAAATGAAAAAATTAAAATTCCAGAAATGAGCAAAGATTATATTCGATAGTAGAAATCACAATATCGATATAATCATCGCTGGTTTTATGGTTCTATTCCTCTGTGGTCACACTGACAAGCACGCTGGTATTTCGCAACGCTTAACAACGGTCACTCTGTCTTCCTTCTTTTTATTTCCGCCGTTTGCCGAGAAAGTTGGAAAATCATGGGTGAGTTGTTGAAAAGCGTAGTTATTGTGCGAAAAAATGCGAAAAGCGTTGCCAAACAGTGAACAAACGGAGCTTAGAATGCAGCGCGGTTAAAAGAGTAAGTGAATTAACGTCAAAAGTGTTGAATTTCTGGCAAGTGCAAACAAGTCGGAGACTTGCGATTTCTGCGATTTCAGAAATCGAATAAAATCTAATGAATCATTGACTGTAACGAGCAAATATCATGTTTTATATAAACAAACAACCAATATGCCTAAAATGCAATAACTATTTGTGAGGAAAGTGCATTAGGCAGTAATTTAGAGTCTTGGCTCTATTTAACCTCAAAACCGAAGCCGCATAAGCTGCCATTTGTTTACATTGTGTTGTTGCACTGCAGTCTTCGATTATCTATAAATAATGTATATTTTAATTCATTACAGGCAAGCCAAGAGGTCTGCGCACTGCCAGGAAGCATGTGAACCACCGTCGCGACCAGCGTTGGGCCGACAAAGACTACAAGAAGGCTCATTTGGGAACCAGATGGAAGGCCAATCCCTTCGGAGGTGCTTCCCACGCCAAGGGAATCGTCCTTGAGAAGGTGTAAGTACAGATTGTTGACCTCGTCTATAGCAGTGTTTTTTCTCCAACCCAGAAGTGATCCCACGTCTCGACGCCTCGCAGTATATTTTTGTGTTTTGTTTATTTTGTAACTCAAATCACAGGATTATACTGTGAGATGACAAGCGTGCCAGCAGCGAATAATGAATAAAAAGTGTAAATTATTCTCTCTGCTATTTTATCATAAACTTATCCGATTTTACCTTCTCTTTCCACAGCGGCGTCGAGGCTAAGCAGCCTAACTCTGCCATCCGCAAGTGCGTGAGGGTTCAGCTGATCAAGAACGGCAAGAAGATCACCGCCTTCGTACCACGTGACGGTAGCTTGAACTACATTGAGGAGAACGACGAGGTCCTGGTTGCCGGTTTCGGTCGTAAGGGTCATGCCGTCGGTGATATTCCCGGTGTCCGTTTCAAGGTTGTCAAGGTTGCCAACGTCTCTCTGTTGGCCCTGTACAAGGAGAAGAAGGAGCGCCCAAGATCTTAGATGAACTTGCATCTAATCTTTTTCCAGACAAGCAGAGTTAGGGTTTTACAAAGCTAAATAAACAAAAAAGAAAGAAACAAACCTGTTAATGTTTCAATTAAATGTGATTTTGTTATTTGTCTGAATTGTACAGGGTTTTAAATCTATAGGATTTTTGTAATATCAAAACCAACAAGAAAGGTTTATAAATGGATTTAACAAAAAAAATCGATCTTGGGGTTAAATACAAATATATTGTAAAAACTACTGTAGGATATATTTCAAGATTACTAAATAAATTGGCTATTATCATAAATGGATTGTTCATATTCAGATAAAAATAAACAATCGGTATCTTTAGGATATATCTTGTTTGGGGAGGCCCATCTTACGCAAAAACGTTTTCTAAAATTAAACAACCTGCTAGATCTAATAGAAGTAATGAATTTATGATTATTTACAATTACTTAACAAATTAAATATTCTTCCATTAACGATTTATTTGATTTTATTTTATATTGTATTTTTTGCAGGATTAGTTTTTTAACTAACTGGCAACCATGTTAGTGTTGCAAAGCGTAAAACCGCGTGTGCCTTGCAACACTAAGCCGCGTGAATTCAAAATCTCAATAGCAGGCAACTCAAAAGAAAATCCAATGAAAGATTTCGACATTGAAAAGGAGTTTTCAACACGAAAACTATATATTCTAGTAATAACTTCATTGTCAAATCATTTGGCAGCCAAATTGTGCAATGCAGGAACACTCCCTCGATGCGATCTCCAGGCTCTCTCGTACCTACCGCAGTTGCTATTGCCAAGTTTTCTTATATAACAGAACGGCAAGGCAAGAGCCTCGGAAACAGACAGCCATCAATGCATGAGGCCCGGACCTGGACCAAAGCAACGTGTGCCGGGCTTCATCAGCGATAAGGAGTCGAAAACTGCACCTCCTACCTGGCGGTGCACTGCGAGAAATCGAAGCATTTCGATTGCAGGTCTATGACAAGCTGGAGAGCATGTGATTTCTCGCAGTGCCATGGTCCGATCTGCTTATCAATAATTTGTTTTTCTCCTTTTGCCGCATTTAGGCAGAGATTCCCTGGCGATAGCCGCTCAAGTGTCACACGCCCACATTTTTGGAGCAGTCGATGGAGGGGCTATTTGCACATACGCCACGCCAATAAACTTGTACCCACCACCGAGGCACGCTTTGATCCGATCCTCGTTCTCAATCTTTATCCCCGGCCCCGTTCTCAATCCCAATACCGTTCTCGGTCTTTAGTCTTTGGTCTTTAGGCGAGTCTTCAGTCTTCAGCAGTCTTCTCCTCGATTGCGGCACACGCTTGCGCAGCGATTCTCCCCTCTTTTTTTTGGGATTTTCTTTCTTTTGGTCTGACCGATGCTCCGATGCTCGGAACCTTTTGCCCGATGCTCGGCCCCTCTGCACATAAATCCACGAATCCACGACCAAGACAACCAAGACTTGGTCTTCACTTTGCCGGCGGCAATTATCGCGATGTGATAAACAAATATTTTGCATCTATGGTAAGAAGAAGCGAAGGCTTTCCCGGCATTCTGGCGCTTAATTATGAACTCCGGTTTGGCTTTGGCTTGGCCCCCCAACCAAGTACGAGTTTATTATTATTAAATGCCCTGCGCGTGGCCGCATGCACTTTTACCTGCCAACGTACTTGACTCGTCTTCTGGGAGGTTCGTCGCTTTTTTTCCAGATTTTTTTTTTCCGATTTTTTGGGCTTGGCTGTGCGGTTGGTTTGCTGGCAGCAGTTGTTGCAATATGCAATTTGGCTGCTTATCTCCACTTGGATACCAATCAGCTTGGCCCCAAACTTCGGTGGGTGGAGAGTGAAATAAAAATTAAATATGGCTCTATTTGAATATTACCCAGGCTTGCAGGGCAGTGCATTTTATTGGGCTTACAGGGCGTATGCTTAATGGGGGTATTAGCGGGGGATATATTGATAGGATCTGAAAACAAGTGATTTGGATAGCAAACTTTGTTATAAGATAAATAATTGATTAAACAGAAATAAACACAATTTTTATTTCGATTTTATACATTTTTTTCTCAATTGGTTCTTAATTTTTAACCTTTATTTTATACACATTTTAATAGACTCTTTGAAAGTTAAGTTTAAATTTGAGTAAATAATTAACTAAACTCACCATTTTATAAATCAAGCGTCTATACAAATCTCTTTAAACCCCTTCTATTCCCTTCTAAACATCTTAATTCGTACATCATCTTTGATTAATGACTTCGTTTGCTTTCCATTTGCCAAGATTGCCTATTTAAATATTTCCGAATCTTTTGCGAATCTCTCTTTTGAAAAGACTTTGCCTCATTTGATCCAAATAACACCCTTTCCCAGGGGTTCCGCACATTACGATATTTGCATACGCTGGCTTCCTTGTATGGGTGAGATCCCCTTCTCGAGTATTTGTGGCCAGCATACACACACACATATGTGTATATACATATATAGAGACCCCAACGACATTGGGGCCTCCACCAATTGAAACAAACCAAATGCAAAGTCGTCTCTCCCACAACAAATGGATCGGGGAACAGGTTTTCCATTTCTGAAAGTGAGACTGAGGCTCTTTTGGCTGAGATCGAGAGAGGGAGAACCAGCGAACGAACGAACGGACGGCCAAGCGAATGAATATTAAATAAGGTTTGTTTCATTAGATTCAAAAGAACTTGCCGCTGCTCTGGGTTCGGGGGCTAAAGAGAGATCAGAGCAATGGTTATGGTATGTTATGGTGTGGTATGGTATGGGAGTCAGAGCCCAAGTCACCTGGGTCTGGCTGGGCTTGGACCCGAGCCACTTGCCCGTTCCGCTTTGGTGAGCAGCTGCTGCCGCTCTCTGGTTGCTCTAACCCAAGACTGCGCGAAAGGTTCCGACCGTGCGCTTTTTAGCTTTTCGCTTTTTGGCCTTATGCATCGGGTCTGAAGGCAGAGACACCTCAGTTTCCAGCGTTCAGGCGTTCAGTTCACAATCTCCGAGCTCGAGAGAGCATCGATCGGTCGCCGAGTTCAGTTGGCCTGCGGTTCGTCATCAGCGTGGTTCATGCGGCTCCAGCTCCGGCTCCGACTTCTATAACCACTTCGACTTGAAACTCAGACTCAGTTACTAACTCTGTCTCTGAATCGGGCTTTAGTAGTAGCTCTCCATTGACATCGCCATCTGCGACCCCCGGTTGTAATCATAAATATATCTACATACAGACTGGCCCGCTGTACATAGGCCCAGTTAGTTAGTTAGTTAGTGGTTGCTGTTGTGCCGTGCATTTTCATTTTCCCAAGAGTGTTGTTGCCGTTTGTATCTTGTGAAATGTCGAAGCCCTTGATTTTAGGCAACCGATACGATCATTAGTAGTCGGTCTAGCTGAAAAGCTAAAAAAGCTTTCCTTACGGGGCAAAAGCAAACGGAAAAGTGATTTCTTAGAATCAAGAACAAATCAAACTTGGTTATATCAAAACGTTCTTAAAAGTATCGGAAAAACTATAAACCAATCGGAAGAATTCATAGCTGTTACCAACCGGGTTTTAAAAGTATCGCTATAAGAGCAAGTGCCAATCGAATCGGTTTTTGAAAGTGCCAATTTTGAAGTGATACAAACGCAACGGGTTTTTGAAAAAAAAAAACCCCCAGTGAAGAGTGAGAATAAAATATATATATCCACATCATTAGCCGATTGCAAAATCGTGGCCAAAATGTGGGTTAGGGTCTGAGCCAGAAACAAAACAAAATCTGACAACAAATGGACGCAAATTCACACATGCCGTGGCACATAAATTTATGGTTGGAACTGTAACTGGGCATAATGCTGGGCCCGGCAACCACCAGCAGCAGTAGCAGTACCACCACTTGTACCACCACCAAACCACCCACCAACCCACCGACAAAGGGAAAAAACTAACGGAATAATGCAACATTAAGCAAAATGCTGCTGGCCCTGCTAAAGCAAAGCCCCGACCAACAACAACAACAATTTCAACCTGCCACCACCGACGTCAACGACAACAACAGCAACAACAGCAACAACAGCAACAACTGCAACTGCAACAACATCAACGTCACCGTCACCGTTACCACGAACGTCGCCGTTGCCGTATAAAATGGAACCCTCATATGATCACGAACATCCACATCATCTGCTAACAAATTACAAGTAATATTTACATTTTTCCCATGCTAAAATTTTTTTCTCGCTGTTTAATTATATCCAACCGAAGCGAAGATACATATCTTCAAGATAATAACCATAATGAAAAATGGAAAAGGCGCTCGTGTAGTGGTGAAGAAATTCTCTAGATCGTAGGTATATATCTATATATACATATATATTGTCGTATATATATAGGCCCATGACTGGGACTTTTCAAGAGACTTAGTCAGTCACAGATACAGATACTAAGATACTAGCGGCGGGCACGACAGCGAGAAAACACCGTCGGGGATGTCGAATGTAGCAGAGCTACGACCATAAAAACAAGTATATATATATATACAGATATATACATATAGGGGTTATAGTATATAAAACCTGGGAATTTGCTTAGATTTTCCTTGGTGTGGCCCCAGTTTTCAGGCCCCGCAGCACTTGCACTTGTATTCGTATCCGCTTCTTGTTTCACTGTGTGAGTTCTCCTCTGAGTTTAACGTAAATATGTAAATGGTCGACTGCGAATAACTTAAGAACCGTCTTCGGACGCGGCTCGAAATTGGTCAAGTGGAAAGTGAGCCAAGACTCTGGTGAAGACGGGGGTGGAGACCCTGGGAAAAAGTGTAGGGCAAGAACGCATAGAAGCCCAGAAAGAGGTTTTAATTTTTGGTTGTATATTTCGGCCAGAGGTCATGCCGTCTTGACCATTAAAAATATTTAACTCCGATCTACACAGCTTGATAGATACGCATGAGATTTTAATACCAGTTTATATAGTATAGTACATCCCCTATATACATATATATATTACCTATTTAGCTGAGTGACTTTCGTTGTTTCCGACGGGAAATTCCCGTCTACAAATTGCCTGAAATTATGAATGGAAATGAAGCCATGAAATTAAATTAAGTACAGATGAAAAGCTCAGATAAATCCGCACACTTTTCATTTGAAAATTAAAAACGAAAAACTCCAAACTCTCCAAGACTTCATGAGCGAGAAAGCTTGTCGCATTTTTCGTCACATTTTTCGAATCTTCCTGTTTGGGATTGGCTCAGCACGTGACAGGGGCCACAAATCAACTCGATTTGATGCCATTTCATTCAATTTGATCTTTTATGGTTCCCCCATAAATCAAGCCAAGGCTTCGATCTACCGATCTACCTAAACTTTGCTAACTTCGGATTCAATCTAAATAGTTTTTCACATAAAAATAAAATTCAATGACCAATAAACAACCAACTGTAGTGTATATGGATTTCCAATCAAGTTTGGCAATTAATTAAGATTTCACTGTGACTAAGCTGGGTATAAAATCTTAAAAGTGTTTTCGTACATTTCCTATTAAAAGTTTTCTATAATTGGCATTAGTTAACCATAGTTCCTGGATAATCAATATGCGTAGTTAGTGACGTATTCTTGAAATCTTCTGGACTTTCCCTTACTCCAAGCAGGAACTAAAGCTTTTCGTTGACGTAGAAGGAGATTCCAGCGGCTGTAACTTCTTGGAAGAGAGATATAAATCTTTTGAAATGTTTATAAATCGTGTGTCGACAGGTTAATTGGTTAATTGTATTGATTAAGCTGATAGGTAAAGCAACAAAAAATATCGATGCTTGTACTCAGTTTTTCAAGAAGAAAGCTTACTTTCCCCAGATAGAATGTACTGAATGGCATTATAAGAATATGACCAAAACAAAGAAAAGTTGCAGTTATTAATAATTATTTCTTTCTTACTATTTTTTGTAATTTTAAACTTCTGTGCACACTTTTACCATCCTTCCTTTCTAGATATTTTAGAATTGCTTAAAATGGGTAAATGTTCAAACCGGTAAAGTAATGTAAAAGTTACAAAAAAAAAACACGTTAATTTCGGCAGGTATATTTCCCCAAAGCCTGTAATTTATATATCTCTATAAATATTTCCCCAAAGTTAATATAGTGTTATTAATTTGAAAATCATTGAGTTGTCAATTTCCTTATTTTTGATATAAATAGTTATTAAATCTCTAAAGGATATTTGTACACCTTTGAGATGTTCTACTTTAAGTTGGGTTTAGAAAAAACTGCACGAGTACTTTTGTTATGGCTGCAATTTAGGTATATGAAGTATCTAGTGTATCTACTGACATAAATATGAATAAATGATTCAAGTTAAATCCAAATTATTAAGAAAAACTTCACTTTTTTTCTATGAAGGATCTAATACAGTTTTGCTACCTACCTCATAAGCATTTGTTGAAATATGATTATAATAACCCAAAAACTTTTCTTACTACTAAGCGTTAGACCTATTAGACATGACGGTGATATGATATGATATGTATCTTTTTACTAACATGTTGAAATAGTATTTGGAAGCTTAATAATCCAACTTTATCTAAATGCATTTTTATATTGAAGGATTTGCTTATGATGCCAACTTACAAAGATGAAGTTACTTTTATTTACTTAAGTCCTTCTCTGTTTTCAAACCCGTAATTACAGAATATAGTTCAAAATTCAATAAATAGGCAATGTTTAAAATAGTTTGAGTAAGCAATTTGAAAATTGAAGGACAATTTTTAATGAAAGAATGTAATTCAATTGTTTTCAGACCTAAAAACGTTAAAAGTTTTTGTAAAATAATACATGTAGTTAATTTGAAAAACCTTTTCAGAACCTTATCCGACAGACTATATCTTTTGCTAAATTTGGTGTCTAGGAAAACCTTTTTGAAATGTACATGTATATTTCAAATCATATAAACATTAAAAGTTGCAAATTGTAACTGCAAACATAACAAAGACATCGATATTTTTAATAAAACTTCAATCACTTTTAATACTCATTGTAAAACAACCCCTTGTTTGCTTTAAAAGTCTAAGATAATAGTACTTTGCATGATCTATAGACCTAAAAGTTTTCCGGGTAATTAAATTTAATAAACCCAATTAGTGGTTTGAAAACTTTTAAGGTAGTCAACACCCCCCTGTAAAAATGTTAGCTAGCCCAATCGAAAATCAGGAATAAAGTTATGCATATGGCCAAGGTACTTTGTGACCCTTTATAACAACCCTGATTAATGTCCGGTTCCCGGGTAGTTATTGTTGCTAGTCCACCAACTAGCTAAGTACAGATCCTCCACATGCAATTACTCTACTTACTAAGGTACGAGCATGTAGCACTGCCTCCATTTCCATGCAATCCATATAATTTAGTACCCCTCAACCTGCGAGGGTGTATCCGTATCTGTATCTGAGTCTATATAGAAACTCATATATTCCGCTGCGTGTGCTGGTGTGCGTGCTAAAATCCATTAAATTTTTGTATCTTTTTTATGCTCTTAAAATCGCTTGTGTGAGAACTGGGTCTTCGTTGTTTCTTCGATGGCTAGGAGTGGGGCATTCAGAAGGGGGAATCCCAGCGACGACAGCAGCAATAAACCTCATTAGCCGAACGAAACCAACTTCGGCAACGCTCGGCCCTCGAAGATGGATGGTGATGATGATGCTTCGCTCTTCGCTTGCTTCATTAGTTTAATTATGTATGCCCAGAAATATATACATAGTTGGTATATATACACATACACCACAGGTATAGGCATATACCCATACCCCAGTCCATTGTGCGTACCGATCTCGTTCTCATTCGCAGCCGAGCAGGTAGCTCACCTTCATGTTCATGTTCATTAAAGCTAAGATGGCGGCTCTTTCAGCCCGGATGCTGGGCTGTTTATGCTTATTGGTCAACAGCATCTACATGCGGCCATATATATATATATATATGTATATATTGGGATATATTTATATAAGCGGGCATGCATATGTATGCGTAAATGGCCGATCCGATCGGCCGACAACTCATCGCTGGTCTCTGAAAGACCGGGCCTGCGTCGTTAAGTTATTCAAGTACATCACACCTGGGCAGCAGCTACAGCTCCACAAGTTTACCCATACCATACCTCCAACTGGAACTGGGCCCAAGTCGTGCCAAGTCGTTTGGGCCAAACTCGTTTTCCTGCCTTCACCGCGCTAAGCTGGGCCTCTGGAAATCTGTATTTTGTATTCGGGTTGGGGCGCCTGCAGCCACAGCAGGCAGCCAATAGACTGCAAATGGAGCAAATGGAGAGCCGCGGCAGATGCCTCTTCGCCAGGCGCTGGCCACACCCACCTCCAGGCCCCCTCAACCGCCTCCTTCTGCCCCGTCATCATCCTCACAATCTGGCTTTGACTGTGGCCGAAAACCAAAATGGCTTTTATTACCTTGCCCCACCGCTTACATCCACAGCTGCCAAGCCAACTGGCCCAATGCGATCGAAGATGAGGCGCCAAATGATTTGCCATTCTAGGCATGCATCTCGTTGGTGGTCAGATCACTGGGGTTAAACTAACCAATCTCCAGCACTGATTAGTTCTGTATTCAGTTCACTATCAGATCTAAATAAATTATATATCAAGGTTGTTAATTACCATAATGCTGGGCAGAAGCTTTCTAAAATGTATATGAGGGCAAGTGGATTACTAATGGGGTTTAGTTTACCTTAATTGGAAAATTGGCACCTGGACTTAATCATATATATTAAAGACATATAACAGTGTTTCATAGCATGCAATTGTGAGAAAGTTTCATTCATCTTCCAGGAAAATATCGATCAGATTTGGAAGTATTACGACGAATATTATCCATTATGGATAACCTTATATACAGCTCCCCATAAAGTTAAAATAAGTTCTAATTCTTAACTAACATCTTACTTCTAACAAAGATTAATCGATTTACTTATATAGTTCACTGATTTCCATATCAACGTCTAAATCGGTCTATGAAATACCTAAAAAAAAAAAAGAACAGTCTAACAAATCCCTCGAATAATAGAATGCCATTGTTCTTCACTCTGGTCCCTGTGTGATTGTTTAGGATCGGAGACAAATCTGCCCAATTGTTGTCACATACCTGTCAGTGGATCCCCTGGCCTGGCCTAGGGTCCAGTGGCTAGACAATGGTATTGACAGCTCCACCGTAGCGGTGGATCTGTCTTAATTACTGTCCTATTTGCTGGAATGTCAGTTTGTCAACCGAAAGTTATGCGACCGCCGAAAAGCTTTCTAAAATTAGCCATGAATATGGATGAAAATATATAGCTTAAGGGGAGGCCGCCGCCGATCTTTATTACCAAATCCTGTGACAATTGTTCCCCCAATATATACATATATAGGTATGTATATATATATATATGATTCGATTTTCAGGAAAAGGGGGAGCAGGGCATTTGTGGCCTCCACGTTAAAAGGCTGTCTTGAGAAGCGCGGCAGAGCGTCACATGAATCACAATATGCTAAAGCGCCTGACACTCTCCAGATCAATGCGGCTTCTTCGGAGTTGGAAGTTTGCGGCTCCTGAATGAAGCCAGGGGCTTGTTAAAAGGGAGGAGTTGCCTACTTTTGTGGCAGCTTCAGGGGGAGTCCCCTTCTATCTCTCTCTCTACCTCCACCTTTCCAAGGCTCCCTTTCCACTTTTACCGTGGACTCTGTGGCAGCCACCAGAGAAGTCGATGTTGTCGTAAACAAAACGTTCCATGGGTCCCCAAGTTGGCGGCGGACATCGAGTACTTGGACACAGGCAACAGGGGGCAGAGAATGAGGGAGGGAGTGGGGGTCAGGTAAGAAGGAGGCTGGCCGCAATGTGGAATATGTGGCATTTTGCAAAGATGTTGACATTTTGCGCGCATAAAAATGCCAACTTACCGGCCACTGTATGTGTCCTATTTTAAAATCAGGGCCATGGCTAAGCAGACCGCGGCCACAAACTGTAGCTAAAGCCAGAAAACTGAATCTGAAGCTGTGACCAAAGAAGCTGGCTAAGCCGAGCGGAGCTTCGTGGATCGTGAGCGGGCTTAGGATAAAGCCAGACCGACTTCGACCAGACAGTCGACAGTTGGGACAGGTTGGACAGCGGCAAATGGACGGACAGCCGGACAGACGTTACCAGGACGGTATAATTTTGTGTACCCCTTCTTTTTGGCCAAGCTGGCGGCGTATCGACAGCGGCCAAGTATTTAGCGGCAGCGGCAGCAGCAACCGAATATCAAAAACGTAACGACGTCACCGAAAACCCTCAATAAATTATCGAACCTTCATCCGAGGGCTGGTCCATACATTCACATGGGAGCATTAAGGAGCATTGAAGGGGTTAGCCAGTCTAAGTTGCCTTCTCTTAAGGGTACTGCAGACCGAAATTTGCAACTTTGGCGGCATTGTCGGCGGAAGAAAGTCACCGAAACTAGAGCGCCTAGCTTTGTTACTTAAAGACCAAGCCAACAGATACTTAGACTTTAAGCCAAAGACTAAAGCGCCTTAGTATCTTAAAGGCCAGAAGAATTAGAGCTAGGAAACCAAGACCTCAATGGCTGGAAGACCAGATCCAAGGCAAACAATTAGGCCCAGTGGTTCTGGTAGGTAGGCAAAAGAGGAGCTGAAGTCACCAACGGCACACAATAGACCAAAAGTGTAGTGGGCAGCAATAAATTCAAACGGTAACAAATCGAGGAGATCGAGAGGGAGCACGCATACTGCGGCATTGGTTAGCTCGATCCCCAAAGGATCGAAAGTCGGGATCTGGGATCTCGGGAGCTTTGGCAATATTTAAACTTGTCGTTCGGGGCTGCTCTCCATGCTCATGCTCCCAATGCTGTTGCTGCTGCTGCTGAATTCTTGGAAGGCGAATTACTTTGAAATGTGTCGATATGTCGCAAGTTTTAAAAGTTATGCATAAAGGTCCGGCAAGGCAGCCCAGACTGCGGCCAGCCTCATTCTCATTCTCAGTCTCAGTCTCATTCCCGAACTGAGTCTGAGGTCTGGTCTGGTCTGGCCTGGTACCAGGGTCTCCAGTCTGGTTACCAGCTTCTGCTCCAGCTACAGCTTCTTTGCTTACTCCGCCGACTCCGCGACGGTGGCTTGTTGGAGCTAAAGCGGCCTCCTTTGATAATACAATAGCTGCACGCGCCCAATTTACATTTATGTCCGCTGACATTAAGGAGCGCACCGATGCAGGGAGCCCCATTCGATCCGATCCAATCCGTTCGGTTCCGATCTTCAGTTCCAGTTTGTGTCTCTCTGGTGTCTGATAAATGCAAAGCCATACTCCTCCCCCTCCATCTCCTCTTGATCCATATACCCCTTGCTTTTCGGTTCCTCTGTGCGTGCCAGCGACGCGAAAATTGTCAACGTATTTAGCAGCCCTTTTAAATATCATTATAAGGAACATTGCGAGGGACATTTTTGCCGGCGGCACGTAATTTCCAGCAGTAGCCTTTTGGGAGAAGGATTAACAACGATCATGAATGTGATACGATGTGGGGACTCTGACTTTAGGGATAACTCCATCTTGTTTAGGGTTTATAGATTGTGTTGACTGAATTTTTAGCAAACTAGTCAGTTAGCTATCGATCTCCACTTTAGTAAAGAAAAAAAATCAAACCCTAATTAGGTAAAACGATTAAGAAGCTAACAAATTAATTAGCAATCAGATAAGCTTTTTGAAATTGTTGTGTTAGCGGCTAATTTGTTTGGGATAATATGTCAAATTGGTCATAAATTAACATAAGTTGTAAGGATAGAAAAACTTGCTGACTTTAGCTTAAAGTTATGATATGATTTCTAATCCAGCATTAAGTTTGGGAATCAAATTAATCACGTTTATACACGTTAACATTTTTAAACTCACCTAACTTCTTTACTTAATTTCCCTAAAATTAAACCAATTATTTATCATTTTAAATCATTATATAAGCACTTTTTTATTATCGATTCGAATTTAAATAGTATCAATCATTTAAGGAAATATTCTTTTCATTCCCTTCCAGTTCAAAGAAGTACCCGCACGTCTCGCGTACTCCAGAGTACAGCCACTCCACGGGCAGCGATTATCCCGAACACGGCGGCTACCTGACCGATGGTCGTCTGATGCACGAGAGCAACAGCGATGCCGGGATCTACCATGTGCGCCAGGGAAGTGAGCACTCCTCGCCCAGTTTGCATTCGCCAGCCATACAGAGTTCCGGATACGAGAATGAACATCTCAATGAGGCTGTTCTGGCGGCTCATAGCCACAGTCACTCACCCATGCCGATGGTGTCCAGTGCCTATGTGGGTGGAGGCACTGCATCTGGATCACTGATCAGCAGCAACATCCCTTTGCTAGGAAGTGGTGGTAACTCGGTGCTCAACAAATTCCTGTCACATCCGCATGCGGGGATGGTAGGCGGAGGATCTGGACAAATAGAGGACTGCACATCGCATTCGCCCATCGAGCCGGCATCCATGTGGAGCTACGACTACAAGGGTGATCTGTGCGCTCCCAATTGTGGCTATCTGGAGCGGCATAAGCCGCTGCCCGCCGACCTTAAATACCGGCCCGGCGGTGCCCAGTCAAAAAGTGCCAAAGAATCGCGCATCCGGCGGCCAATGAACGCCTTCATGGTCTGGGCCAAGATCGAGCGCAAGAAACTGGCTGACGAGAATCCCGACCTGCATAATGCGGATCTCAGCAAAATGTTGGGTAAGTCGTTGATACTCAATATTTATACTTTAGTACACAACTTATTTATTTAGTGAATTATTTTATAAATAAGAACTAGATATTTTTAATAACTTTAGTTGCCATAAAGAAATTTTGATTTTAAAATGTTGCCTCACTTTCAAACATCAATCACAATTTGTTTTCGATCATAAAAGTTAAGTCATGGAAGTAATATTTTTATTCGTAATTTCATCTAATAATGTATGTTTTCATAACTTGTTTTATCATATAACGAAACACAGGTCTTTAGAAGCTCAAAGCCTGTCTCAATACAACAAGTCATGATGCATAGTTTTAGTCGCCCTTTCGGAATAAACTTTTACTGATTTTTAAAATAGGTAGAATCTAGATTTTACAATTTATATTGATTTAAAACAAACTATTAAAGAATTTAAAAATACGTCTACTATTATTTTAGAGTGAATATAAACTCAGAAGGTGTTTAAGACAGTATTTTTTTCTTGATTGACTTATTAACAGAGAAATGATTTTATGTATTAAATAAAATCCCTACTTTTGTTAGCATAACTAAACTCCTCCATACTTTAAATCTTTCTGCATCTCCAGGAAAAAAATGGCGTTCGTTAACGCCGCAAGATCGAAGACCTTATGTAGAAGAGGCGGAGCGTCTGCGTGTTATTCATATGACGGAGCACCCGAACTACAAATATAGACCACGGCGACGCAAGCAGTCCAAACTGCGAACCATGCAACCGGGTGGCAAGGAACAAAGCGAGAGTTCACCCAATCCGGGCACTGGCGGATCCAAATCGAATCCAAAGCTGGCCACACCACCGTTGGCCACCGCATCCTCCAGTTATACAACGCCCACCGATGAAAGCACCTGCAATTCCACGAGCCAGAATCATGGCCAGACAACTCCAAGTGGCCTCTACGAACAACCATTGAAGCCCACGTATTCGCCCAGTTCCGTGGACTGTTATAGCAATGCGGACAGCACGGAACAGATCGAGTCACTGGCCGCCAACTGTCCGCCCGCCTTGCTCAATGAGTCCTCACCCACGGGTGGAGGATACGATAGCTCATTGTTGCTCAAGAAGTTAACGAAGCCGCCGCCGTCCAGTCGCGCGGCAAAGTCCCGCCAGGAAAAGCTCTCCAAGTCTGAGGACAAAAGCAAGGGGCAGTCGCAAGGACAATCTCAGCAGGGTCTGTATGCCGCCTCCTATCCGCTGGCACCAACATCCGTTGCCGTGGTGGCAGCTCGAGGAATGTATGTGACATGTAATAATAGGGGTCTACTAGATCATGGCCACTCCGTCAAGGGAACATTTTACCCACCGGTGTCCGTATCGGAAGATGACAGTAGCTCCACGATGAGGAATAGTTTAAGTGCTCTGCAGCAGCATTGTAATTTGGCCACAAGCACACCTTCCAGCTCCGCCGGACCCATTCCTTCCAGCGAAATGAGTAGCTATACAGTGTCCATGGCGGATAACTGTGGTAATCTAAGGCTCAGCATGAATGAGTTGTCCGGTAATGAGTATCTGCCCAGCGCCAATGCCTATGGGATGCAGTACGAGGACTTCCTGCGCTATCAAAGCAACGACCTGGACTACTCAACGTCGGCAGTGGATCATAAAGAAACCACTCCGGATACGGCAAGCGTCCAAAAGTGCCTTAAATACCCGGACACGAATCAGAACTACGACGATTACGAAGCGGAGGCCTATAGTAACGCCATGCTGCCGGCAACAGCGGCAAGCTACTATACCCAGCTTCCGTATCCCCCCACCTCGTTGGCCGCCTTTCCTCTCCAGCTGGCGGTACCATTCCAGCAGACGACATCGGGTGCATACGGAGCACAGCCAATGCAGAGCGGTTATCTGCATTATGGAAACTATGGGGGTTACGAGGGAATGGCTCAGAGTCAGCCCCAAAACCAAGCGCCAGTCCAGCAGCAACAGGCTTCGCATTCGGCTCCACCCTCCTTGTCAGCACCTCCCAACCAAACGGTGACTTCGAATCCGGCAGCCATGCAGCAACATCATCACCACTTCGGACCAGGACCTGGAATGGTGGGCGTGGGAGTCGGCGTTGGAGTCGGTGAAATGCTCTTCGAACAACAGCAGCGCAAAGATGATGAGATTAGCAACATTTTGGCGGGAGTGCGCAAAACCTGCTACAGCAACTGACACTGATCAGAACTTTGTAATATTTGGTAACTAGAGTTTAGAGAGTGGTTTAGGTAGTCTTAAGATTGCTCCCGCACCCAAAATATGTTCTTCCAATCCCAATCCCAAACCCTAGACCTAGAACTCTTTTGAATTGTACAATTATTAGAACTTTATAAATACGATGAGAAAACACACCACACAAAACGAAATAAAGTAAATCTTAAGTTATCGAAACGCATAATCGATTTCAATGTCAATGTGGAACGTAACTTTCTAATGACAGCTTCTTCGGGGTGGAACGCGAATGGACCGTGACCATATGACACTGACACAGCCACCCGATATATACACGACCGGAGCCTGCGCACTGCCAGTTCCATCAGGTTGGAGTGCAAAGATTTTTCTTTTCTCATTCGCACGGCCAACAAATTTTTCAACGTTACATAAAATTCACAAGACTTTTTCAATTAATTTCCGCATTGGTTTCGGCTGCTTTCAGAGCAGTTTTCAAACTGGACTTCAGCATTCGAGTGAGCAGGATGTGCAAGTATCCGAGAATCGCATGATTAACGTGCTCCACATCGCACAAGGGCGCCAAGAAGTTGCAAATCAACCCAAATCCGAGACAAAATTTAGTTTTATTTTCTAGATTGCTGTTAAACTTAATGTGACCCCACAGTAGAGAAACCATTCGAGAACCATTGCGGAAACTGGAGGCCAACGAAATTGTTAAAGAAAATTCTGATAAAATCGATAAACTTCGCACGCCTTCTTGACACCACCGCAGCCGCCGCCATCAGGCGAGACCACCCCCACCACCACAACCACTACTACTACCACTACCACCACCACCATAAGCCATCCCACCATCATCAGGGCCGTTTATAGCCAGCATCCAACATGTCATTCATAGCCAAATTGAAAGCCACGCCATTGCCGCCTCTGAGAAACATACTCAATGTGGCCGTGCAAACGGCTCGACAGCAAATTCCAGAGCGCAAGGACTACGAGCAACCGCCGGGCAGCACCGCAGCGCACCAACACCACAGCCAGCAGGCACAACACAAGTCCATGGAGGCGGGCATGGATGGCGAGCAGACCACCGAGATGAGCTCGAATCCCTTCCGGAATGCCGGCAGCTGGGCGAACGAGGGCGATGGCGGAGGCGATGGCGAGTACAGGAACGAGTACCAAAGCACATCCTTCAATGAGTACGATGGCAGGTATCAGCAAACGGACGGGTTTAGGTAGGTTTATCTGAAGAGTGCACACTACTGATGCAATCCCTAATGTAATTCTCTTTCCACAGGCAAGGTAGCATTGCATCGGAGGGAAGCTCATTTGTCTGCGAGGGAGAAGGTGGCGGCGGCTGCAAAATCGACGAGTTCCAGGCTGCATGGAACGTGACAAACGCCATCCAGGGCATGTTCATCGTATCGCTACCTTTTGCCGTGCTCCATGGCGGCTATTGGGCCATCGTGGCTATGGTGGGAATAGCACACATCTGCTGCTATACGGGCAAGGTCCTGGTGCAGTGTCTATATGAACCGGATCCGGCAACGGGACAAATGGTGAGAGTACGCGACAGTTATGTGGCCATTGCCAAGGTGTGTTTCGGACCCAAATTGGGTGCCCGGGCTGTTAGTATTGCCCAGCTTATTGAGCTTCTGATGACCTGCATCCTTTACGTAGTGGTTTGCGGTGATCTTTTAGCTGGAACGTATCCACAGGGCTCGTTTGATTCGCGATCCTGGATGCTGTTCGTGGGCATTTTTCTGCTACCCATGGGCTTCCTGAAGTCACTGAAAATGGTCTCGACCCTCTCATTTTGGTGCACAATGTCGCACATTGTGATAAACGCCGTAATCCTGGGCTATTGCCTGCTGCAGATCGGCGATTGGGGTTGGTCCAAGGTCCGCTTCAGCATCGACATGGAGAACTTTCCCATCTCACTGGGTGTGATCGTCTTCTCGTACACCTCGCAGATCTTCCTGCCCACTCTTGAGGGCAACATGATCGATCGATCTAAGTTCAACTGGATGCTGGACTGGTCTCATATCGCTGCTGCTGTTTTTAAGGCCGGATTCGGGTACATCTGCTTTCTAACCTTCCAGAATGACACACAGCAGGTGATCACTAATAATCTGCACTCGCAGGGCTTTAAGGGCATGGTGAACTTTTTCCTGGTCATCAAGGCTCTTCTTAGCTATCCCTTGCCATACTATGCTGCCTGTGAATTGCTCGAACGCAACTTCTTTAGAGGTCCACCAAAGACCAAATTTCCAACCATCTGGAATCTGGACGGGGAACTGAAGGTTTGGGGCCTGGGCTTCCGCGTCGGTGTCATTGTATCCACCATACTGATGGCCATCTTCATACCCCACTTCTCCATTCTGATGGGTTTCATTGGCAGCTTCACTGGCACTATGCTAAGCTTTATCTGGCCTTGCTATTTCCACATCAAGATCAAGGGACACCTGCTGGATCAGAAAGAAATAGCCAAAGACTACCTCATCATTGGGCTCGGTGTGCTCTTTGGCGTTATTGGTATTTACGATTCGGGCAATGCCCTGATAAATGCATTTGAAATCGGTCTTCCATTTTAAATTGATTGTAAACTATCTAATCAAAAGATTCTTATTTTGTGATTCCTTCCACTTTTGGGCATGGCATGTCTTCCAGATGTTTTGTCATCACATTTGGCTGTGCCCAAAATGACGAAGAATCACCCAAACATACCATTCACTCGAAACGAAATTGAAAACAATAATATTAGTCTATAAGAAACGAAACGCAAGTCTTCCAAACAAGCGAAAAAATGTCTTCCAAACAAATATAATAATAATAATAATTTATGTTATATACAGAAAATAAGTTAAGAGAAACGATGAATATATGAATATACATAAGTATGTACGAATATGAGAAGAGAAATATTTATTGTGTTAATATGCATTATAAGATTTAGAGAAATTGAAACAGAGAAAACCAATAAACTGCAAATGTACACCATTATACAAAAACAAAACGAAATGTACGAATATGTTATAGATAGAACTCATTGTTTATATATAGCCAAGTGGATTTTTTTAACGTTTAAATATACAGTTACCTTTACATACTAGCCCTTAAAACGACACTAGCATCTTTTAAACTCTCAATAAAGACATCATCTCCAGTTGATCCTAAAAAAGTTAACCCACTTATCCAAAAAAATCTATATTTTTCGTTTCAAAAATTTATATTTATTGTTAATTTTCATTTTCGGATTGATTTGTATATTGTATAAAACATATATTGTCATGGAAGCTTAGCTTATTATTAATATGGGATATCTGTATTAGTAAAGCAAAGGATATGTATATACTCGTACGGTGACTTGGTTAGTTTGAGGTCTTGAAGAACTTGTGTTCTTGAGTACTCCTGGTATGTTGGAATGCACCTTGTTTAATCTTATGCACAGCACAGGTCGTTTTTGGGGCAGTAATGTATTCGCTTTTGTATAAACTGGAGCCGGTAAACTTGTCGTTGCCCAGACTAATTGAGGACTGATTTCCACGGCGGGTAACCACACGTTCGGTATGACCACTGTGAGCACTGTAGGAAGGGAAATCGATGCCACCGCCTAAGGTGGACACGTGCTGACTTCCTCGGTGACGGGTCGTATGGCTTCCGGAGTGTGAGTGAGATTGTGAGGGAAAATCGATGCCACCTCCCGAAATTTGGGTACGTGTCGCCGTTGACCGTTCGATGTTCGATCTGTCAGCTCCCGTGGAGCCTCCAGAAATGATACGGGACATAGATGATGTGTTCTTCACGTTGTGCTCCCTGTTCTCTTTGTGAACATTGCAGGTTCGACGTTCAGTCGTAAAAGTAGTATTTGCATCAGAGTCCCGATTCTGGCGATGGATGCTGCTGTAACTTTGACGCTCTCCACCATGAATAGTAGAGCTAGAGGGCTGCTCGTGTAGATTTAGTATGCTCTTGCGCTGCATCTTTCCGTTAGAAGTCAGACTGCCATTGGCCGTATTAGAGTCGCTGGTTATGTTTTTGCGATGGAAGACCGTATTGGAGACATCGGCCTCTGAGGAGAATTCGCTCTTTCGATGATGGAAATGCTTGGAAGTAGTCATGTGGGAGGCTGTGTTTCCGGTCACAATGTTATTGGTGGAACTTCTGCCTCCTGAGACAACTCGCGTTGTTGAATCGTCGCTGATGTTATGTCCCACTGAGCCACCAGACAACACTCGGCTTGTGGTATCACCACTAATGTTATTAGAGACTGTTCTTCCAGAAACCATGCGTGTGGTTGAGTCTCCAATAATATTGCTGGAGACGTTTCTTCCTATCACTACTCGCGATGTTGAATCCTCAGTTACGTTGCTAGTAACATTTCTGCTTGTGACCACGCGATTGGATGAATCACCAGTTACAGTATTGGAGACTGTTCCACCAGAGACCACTCGGGAGTTACTGTCCCCAGTGACATTATCGGTTAAATGTCTGCGATTAGTTTCAACAGCACTACTGGATACATCCGAACCTCGGATATTTTCAGTAGTCGATATAGCATTTTGGACTAAGTTGTGATTCCTTTGCATCGACGTAGTTTCTTTGTGAATATTTTGAGTATTTTCGATGTTTGTCGTTGTTGTATTCTTGGCCACATTTTCTATTACGTTAATCTTCGCTGGCCTCTTGACATACTCGGTTTCGGGTTCTTTCTTGTGACGACCTCCTACTACAGTAGTTACCTTCGTTGTGGATACAACAATAAGACCATCAACTGGGTTTTGGCTATTAGAATCGACTTGTTTGACTGCGTCCTTGCCAGATACATAGTTCATTTGATTTGTTGTCTTGCGGATTGTAGTATCAGTTCCCAAAGTAATAGATGAACTGTTGTGATTGATTTTTTGAGTACGTTGAGTTCTATCAATGGTCTTGTTAGTCGTATTCTTATAATCATCTCTTCTAGTTACGGTCATAGATCCTTCGAGCTTCAGATTGTCAATGGGACGCTTAGGTGTTTCCCTTCGAATGGTTTCTGTAACTGTTGTGCTATCAGTCTCGGTTCGGTCGGTCCTCTTGTAGAACTCGCCCTCGGGCTTAAGGTTGTCTTTAGGTTTCTTTTGGGTGGGTCGTTCAGCGGGTCTAAAGACTGTCTTATTGGGTGTGTAGAACTCGCCTTCGACTTTAAGGTTATCGCTTGGCTTCACTTGCTCTGGCCGTTTTACGTGATGATATTCGTCTTTCTGGGTGAATGTCATTTCACCCTCCGTTTTTAGATTGTCCTTTCTTATAACCGTTTTTACTCTATCTGCAGGCCTGAAACCTTCCTTTTCTGGAATGTGCATCTTACCCTCTGGTTTCAAATTATCAGCATATTTTTTCTGTTCCGGGCGCGAGGCAGGCTCATATTTTGGCTTATTAGGTGTGTACATAACGCCTTCAGGTTTAAGGTTATCTTTAGGTCTAACCGGCTCGGGACGTTCACCATTTGTAAGAGTTGGCTTTTCGGGTACGTAGAGCTTACCAGTTGTTTTCAAATTATCTTCTGGTTTCACTGGAGTTGGTCTAACTACGTGGTGGTACTCTGTTTTTTCGGTGAAAGTCATTTCTCCTTCACTTCGAAGGTTGTCCTTGTGAATCACCCGAGTTACCTTATCGGCAGGCTTATACTTAACCTTCTCTGGGATAATCATCTCACCTTCCGGCCTTAAATTGTCATGCGGTTTCTTTTGTTGTGGCCTTTCAGCAGGCTTAAAGTCTTCTTTTTCTTGAATATAAAACTCTCCTTCCACTTTTAGGTTATCTTTCTGCCTAACAACGGACACTCGCTCAGCTGGTCGATACTTTGATTTTTCAGGACTGTAGAATTCGCCTTCGGGCTTCAGATTGTCAGTTGGCTTCACCTGTTCGGGTCGAATAACATACTGGTACTCCTTTTTCTCCACAAAGGTCATTTCTCCTTCTGTGCGAAGATTATCAGTTCTAATGATCTTTTCAGTTTTCTCAGCCGGCCTGTAAACTTGTTTTTCGGGCTTTACGAATTCGCCTTCCGGTTTCAAGTTGTCCTGTGGCTTCTTCTGTACGGGTCTCTCAGCAGGCCTGAATCCTGGCTTCTCCGGTGTGTAGAATTCTCCTTCCGCTCGGAGATTGTCTTCTGGCCTGACTTGAGAAGGTCGTTCTCCTGGCTTATACTTCGGTTTCTCAGGACTGTAGAAGTCTCCCTCAGGTTTCAGATTATCCTCCGGCTTCTTCTGAGCTGGTCTCTCAGCAGGCCTGAATCCTGGTTTCTCCGGTGTGTAGAATTCTCCTTCCGGTCGGAGATTGTCCTCTGGCCTGACTTGCGAAGGTCGTTCTCCTGGTTTGTACTTCGGTTTCTCAGGACTGTAGAAGTCTCCCTCAGGTTTCAGATTATCCTCTGGCTTCTTCTGAACTGGTCTCTCAGCAGGCCTGAATCCTGGTTTCTCCGGTGTGTAGAATTCCCCTTCTGGTCGGAGATTGTCATCTGGTCTGACTTGAGAAGGCCGTTCTCCTGGCTTGTACTTCGGTTTCTCAGGACTGTAGAATTCTCCCTCAGGCTTAAGGTTATCAAGTGGTTTAACTTGGTCAGGACGTACGACATACTGATATTCTTCCCTCTCGACAAAAGTCATTTCTCCTTCTGTGCGAAGATTATCAGTTCTAATGATCTTTTCAGTTTTCTCAGCCGGCCTGTAAACTTGTTTTTCGGGCTTTACGAATTCGCCTTCCGGTTTCAAGTTGTCCTGTGGCTTCTTCTGTACGGGTCTCTCAGCAGGCCTGAATCCTGGCTTCTCCGGTGTGTAGAATTCTCCTTCCGGTCGGAGATTGTCCTCTGGCCTGACTTGCGAAGGTCGTTCTCCTGGCTTGTACTTCGGTTTCTCAGGACTGTAGAAGTCTCCCTCAGGTTTCAAATTATCCTCCGGCTTCTTCTGAACTGGTCTCTCAGCAGGCCTGAATCCTGGCTTCTCCGGTGTGTAAAATTCTCCTTCCGGTCGGAGATTGTCCTCTGGCCTGACTTGAGAAGGTCGTTCTCCTGGCTTGTACTTCGGTTTCTCAGGGACTGTAGAAGTCTCCCTCAGGTTTCAGATTATCCTCTGGCTTCTTCTGAACTGGTCTCTCAGCAGGCCTGAATCCTGGCTTCTCCGGTGTGTAGAATTCTCCTTCCGGTCGGAGATTGTCCTCTGGCCTGACTTGAGAAGGTCGTTCTCCTGGCTTGTACTTCGGTTTCTCAGGACTGTAGAAGTCTCCCTCAGGTTTCAGATTATCCTCTGGCTTCTTCTGAACTGGTCTCTCAGCAGGCCTGAATCCTGGCTTCTCCGGTGTGTAGAATTCTCCTTCCGGTCGGAGATTGTCCTCTGGCCTGACTTGAGAAGGTCGTTCTCCTGGCTTGTACTTCGGTTTCTCAGGACTGTAGAATTCTCCCTCAGGTTTAAGGTTATCAAGTGGTTTAACTTGGTCAGGACGGACGACATACTGATATTCTTCCTTCTCGACAAAAGTCATTTCTCCTTCTGTGCGAAGATTATCAGTTCTAATGATCTTTTCAGTTTTCTCAGCCGGCCTGTAAACTTGTTTTTCGGGCTTTACGAATTCGCCTTCCGGTTTCAAGTTGTCCTGCGGTTTCTTCTGTACGGGTCTCTCAGCAGGCCTGAATCCTGGTTTCTCCGGTGTGTAGAATTCTCCTTCTGGCCGTAGATTGTCCTCTGGCCTGACTTGAGAAGGTCGTTCTCCTGGCTTGTACTTCGGTTTCTCAGGACTGTAGAATTCTCCCTCAGGTTTAAGGTTATCAAGTGGTTTAACTTGGTCAGGACGGACGACATACTGATATTCTTCCTTCTCGACAAAAGTCATTTCTCCTTCTGTGCGAAGATTATCAGTTCTAATGATCTTTTCAGTTTTCTCAGCCGGCCGGTAAACTTGTTTTTCGGGCTTTACGAATTCGCCTTCCGGTTTCAAGTTGTCCTGCGGTTTCTTCTGTACGGGTCTCTCAGCAGGCCTGAATCCTGGCTTCTCCGGTGTATAGAATTCTCCTTCCGGTCTGAGATTGTCCTCTGGCCTGACTTGAGAAGGTCGTTCTCCTGGCTTGTACTTCGGTTTCTCAGGACTGTAGAAGTCTCCCTCAGGTTTCAGATTATCCTCCGGCTTTTTCTGAACTGGTCTCTCAGCAGGCCTGAATCCTGGCTTCTCCGGTGTGTAGAATTCTCCTTCCGGTCGGAGATTGTCCTCTGGCCTGACTTGAGAAGGTCGTTCTCCTGGCTTGTACTTCGGTTTCTCAGGACTGTAGAATTCTCCCTCAGGCTTAAGGTTATCAAGTGGTTTAACTTGGTCAGGACGGACGACATACTGATATTCTTCCTTCTCGACAAAAGTCATTTCTCCTTCTGTGCGAAGATTATCAGTTCTAATGATCTTTTCAGTTTTCTCAGCCGGCCTGTAAACTTGTTTTTCGGGCTTTACGAATTCGCCTTCCGGTTTCAAGTTGTCCTGCGGTTTCTTCTGTACGGGTCTCTCAGCAGGCCTGAATCCTGGCTTCTCCGGTGTGTAGAATTCTCCTTCCGGTCGGAGATTGTCCTCTGGCCTGACTTGAGAAGGTCGTTCTCCTGGCTTGTACTTCGGTTTCTCAGGACTGTAGAAGTCTCCCTCAGGTTTCAAATTATCCTCCGGCTTCTTCTGAACTGGTCTCTCAGCAGGCCTGAATCCTGGCTTCTCCGGTGTGTAGAATTCTCCTTCCGGTCGGAGATTGTCCTCTGGCCTGACTTGCGAAGGTCGTTCTCCTGGCTTGTACTTCGGTTTCTCAGGACTGTAGAAGTCTCCCTCAGGTTTCAGATTATCCTCCGGCTTCTTCTGTACTGGTCTCTCAGCAGGCCTGAATCCTGGCTTCTCCGGTGTGTAGAATTCTCCTTCCGGCCGTAGATTGTCCTCTGGCCTGACTTGAGAAGGTCGTTCTCCTGGCTTGTACTTCGGTTTCTCAGGACTGTAGAAGTCTCCTTCAGGTTTCAAATTATCCTCCGGCTTCTTCTGAACTGGTCTCTCAGCAGGCCTGAATCCTGGTTTCTCCGGTGTGTAGAATTCTCCTTCTGGCCGGAGATTGTCCTCTGGCCTGACTTGAGAAGGTCGTTCTCCTGGCTTGTACTTCGGTTTCTCAGGACTGTAGAAGTCTCCCTCAGGTTTCAGATTATCCTCTGGCTTCTTCTGAACTGGTCTCTCAGCAGGCCTGAATCCTGGCTTCTCCGGTGTGTAGAATTCTCCTTCCGGTCGGAGATTGTCCTCTGGCCTGACTTGAGAAGGTCGTTCTCCTGGCTTGTACTTCGGTTTCTCAGGACTGTAGAATTCTCCCTCAGGTTTAAGGTTATCAACTGGTTTAACTTGGTCAGGACGGACGACATACTGATATTCTTCCTTCTCGACAAAAGTCATTTCTCCTTCTGTGCGAAGATTATCAGTTCTAATGATCTTTTCAGTTTTCTCAGCCGGCCTGTAAACTTGTTTTTCGGGCTTTACGAATTCGCCTTCCGGTTTCAAGTTGTCCTGCGGTTTCTTCTGTACGGGTCTCTCAGCAGGTCTGAATCCTGGTTTCTCCGGTGCGTAGAATTCTCCTTCTGGCCGGAGATTGTCCTCTGGCCTGACTTGGGAAGGTCGTTCTCCTGGCTTGTACTTCGGTTTCTCCGGACTGTAGAAGTCACCCTCAGGTTTCAGATTATCCTCCGGCTTCTTCTGAACTGGTCTCTCAGCAGGCCTGAATCCTGGTTTCTCCGGTGTGTAGAATTCTCCTTCTGGCCGTAGATTGTCCTCTGGCCTGACTTGGGAAGGTCGTTCTCCTGGCTTGTACTTCGGTTTCTCCGGACTGTAGAAGTCTCCCTCAGGTTTCAGATTATCCTCTGGCTTCTTCTGAACTGGTCTCTCAGCAGGCCTGAATCCTGGTTTCTCCGGTGCGTAGAATTCTCCTTCTGGCCGGAGATTGTCCTCTGGCCTGACTTGAGAAGGTCGTTCTCCTGGCTTGTACTTCGGTTTCTCAGGACTGTAGAATTCTCCCTCAGGTTTAAGGTTATCAAGTGGCTTAACTTGGTCAGGACGTACGACATACTGATATTCTTCCCTCTCGACAAAAGTCATTTCTCCTTCTGTGCGAAGATTATCAGTTCTAATGATCTTTTCAGTTTTCTCAGCCGGCCTGTAAACTTGTTTTTCGGGCTTCACGAATTCGCCTTCCGGTTTCAAGTTGTCCTTCGGTTTCTTCTGTACGGGTCTCTCAGCAGGTCTGAATCCTGGCTTCTCCGGTGTGTAGAATTCTCCTTCCGGCCGGAGATTGTCCTCTGGCCTGACTTGAGAAGGTCGTTCTCCTGGCTTGTACTTCGGTTTCTCAGGACTGTAGAAGTCTCCCTCAGGTTTCAAATTATCCTCCGGCTTCTTCTGAACTGGTCTCTCAGCAGGCCTGAATCCTGGCTTCTCCGGTGTGTAGAATTCTCCTTCCGGCCGTAGATTGTCCTCTGGCCTGACTTGAGAAGGTCGTTCTCCTGGCTTGTACTTCGGTTTCTCAGGACTGTAGAATTCTCCCTCAGGTTTAAGGTTATCAAGTGGCTTAACTTGGTCAGGACGTACGACGTACTGATATTCTTCCCTCTCGACAAAAGTCATTTCTCCTTCTGTGCGAAGATTATCAGTTCTAATGATCTTTTCAGTTTTCTCAGCCGGCCTGTAAACTTGTTTTTCGGGCTTTACGAATTCGCCTTCCGGTTTCAAGTTGTCCTGCGGTTTCTTCTGTACGGGTCTCTCAGCAGGTCTGAATCCTGGTTTCTCCGGTGCGTAGAATTCTCCTTCTGGCCGGAGATTGTCCTCTGGCCTGACTTGAGAAGGTCGTTCTCCTGGCTTGTACTTCGGTTTCTCAGGACTGTAGAAGTCTCCCTCAGGTTTCAAATTATCCTCCGGCTTCTTCTGAACTGGTCTCTCAGCAGGTCTGAATCCTGGCTTCTCCGGTGTGTAGAATTCTCCTTCCGGCCGGAGATTGTCCTCTGGCCTGACTTGAGAAGGTCGTTCTCCTGGCTTGTACTTCGGTTTCTCAGGACTGTAGAAGTCTCCCTCAGGTTTCAAATTATCCTCCGGCTTCTTCTGAACTGGTCTCTCAGCAGGCCTGAATCCTGGCTTCTCCGGTGTGTAGGAATTCTCCTTCCGGCCGTAGATTGTCCTCTGGCCTGACTTGAGAAGGTCGTTCTCCTGGCTTGTACTTCGGTTTCTCAGGACTGTAGAATTCTCCCTCAGGTTTAAGGTTATCAAGTGGCTTAACTTGGTCAGGACGTACGACATACTGATATTCTTCCCTCTCGACAAAAGTCATTTCTCCTTCTGTGCGAAGATTATCAGTTCTAATGATCTTTTCAGTTTTCTCAGCCGGCCTGTAAACTTGTTTTTCGGGCTTTACGAATTCGCCTTCCGGTTTCAAGTTGTCCTGCGGTTTCTTCTGTACGGGTCTCTCAGCAGGTCTGAATCCTGGTTTCTCCGGTGCGTAGAATTCTCCTTCTGGCCGGAGATTGTCCTCTGGCCTGACTTGAGAAGGTCGTTCTCCTGGCTTGTACTTCGGTTTCTCAGGACTGTAGAAGTCACCCTCAGGTTTCAGATTATCCTCCGGCTTCTTCTGAACTGGTCTCTCAGCAGGCCTGAATCCTGGTTTCTCCGGTGTGTAGAATTCTCCTTCCGGCCGTAGATTGTCCTCTGGCCTGACTTGAGAAGGTCGTTCTCCTGGCTTGTACTTCGGTTTCTCAGGACTGTAGAAGTCTCCCTCAGGTTTCAAATTATCCTCCGGCTTCTTCTGAACTGGTCTCTCAGCAGGCCTGAATCCTGGCTTCTCCGGTGTGTAGAATTCTCCTTCCGGCCGTAGATTGTCCTCTGGCCTGACTTGAGAAGGTCGTTCTCCTGGCTTGTACTTCGGTTTCTCAGGACTGTAGAATTCTCCCTCAGGTTTAAGGTTATCAAGTGGCTTAACTTGGTCAGGACGTACGACATACTGATATTCTTCCCTCTCGACAAAAGTCATTTCTCCTTCTGTGCGAAGATTATCAGTTCTAATGATCTTTTCAGTTTTCTCAGCCGGCCTGTAAACTTGTTTTTCGGGCTTTACGAATTCGCCTTCCGGTTTCAAGTTGTCCTGCGGTTTCTTCTGTACGGGTCTCTCAGCAGGTCTGAATCCTGGTTTCTCCGGTGCGTAGAATTCTCCTTCTGGCCGGAGATTGTCCTCTGGCCTGACTTGAGAAGGTCGTTCTCCTGGCTTGTACTTCGGTTTCTCAGGACTGTAGAAGTCTCCCTCAGGTTTCAAATTATCCTCCGGCTTCTTCTGAACTGGTCTCTCAGCAGGTCTGAATCCTGGCTTCTCCGGTGTGTAGAATTCTCCTTCCGGCCGGAGATTGTCCTCTGGCCTGACTTGAGAAGGTCGTTCTCCTGGCTTGTACTTCGGTTTCTCAGGACTGTAGAAGTCTCCCTCAGGTTTCAAATTATCCTCCGGCTTCTTCTGAACTGGTCTCTCAGCAAGCCTGAATCCTGGCTTCTCCGGTGCGTAGAATTCTCCTTCTGGCCGGAGATTGTCCTCTGGCCTGACTTGAGAAGGTCGTTCTCCTGGCTTGTACATCGGTTTCTCAGGACTGTAGAAGTCACCCTCAGGTTTCAGATTATCCTCCGGCTTCTTCTGAACTGGTCTCTCAGCAGGCCTGAATCCTGGTTTCTCCGGTGTGTAGAATTCTCCTTCCGGCCGTAGATTGTCCTCTGGCCTGACTTGAGAAGGTCGTTCTCCTGGCTTGTACTTCGGTTTCTCAGGACTGTAGAAGTCTCCCTCAGGTTTCAAATTATCCTCCGGCTTCTTCTGAACTGGTCTCTCAGCAGGTCTGAATCCTGGCTTCTCCGGTGTGTAGAATTCTCCTTCCGGCCGGAGATTGTCCTCTGGCCTGACTTGAGAAGGTCGTTCTCCTGGCTTGTACTTCGGTTTCTCAGGACTGTAGAAGTCTCCCTCAGGTTTCAGATTATCCTCCGGCTTCTTCTGAACTGGTCTCTCAGCAGGCCTGAATCCTGGCTTCTCCGGTGTGTAGAATTCTCCTTCCGGCCGTAGATTGTCCTCTGGCCTGACTTGAGAAGGTCGTTCTCCTGGCTTGTACTTCGGTTTCTCAGGACTGTAGAATTCTCCCTCAGGTTTAAGGTTATCAAGTGGCTTAACTTGGTCAGGACGTACGACATACTGATATTCTTCCCTCTCGACAAAAGTCATTTCTCCTTCTGTGCGAAGATTATCAGTTCTAATGATCTTTTCAGTTTTCTCAGCCGGCCTGTAAACTTGTTTTTCGGGCTTTACGAATTCGCCTTCCGGTTTCAAGTTGTCCTGCGGTTTCTTCTGTACGGGTCTCTCAGCAGGCCTGAATCCTGGCTTCTCCGGTGTGTAAAATTCTCCTTCCGGCCGGAGATTGTCCTCTGGCCTGACTTGAGAAGGTCGTTCTCCTGGCCTGTACTTCGGTTTGTCCGGACTGTAGAAGTCTCCCTCAGGTTTCAAATTATCCTCCGGCTTCTTTTGGACTGGTCTCTCAGCAGGCCTGAATCCTGGCTTCTCCGGTGTGTAGAATTCCCCCTCTGGTCGGAGATTGTCATCTGGTCTGACTTGAGAAGGTCGTTCTCCTGGCTTGTACTTCGGTTTCTCAGGACTGTAGAATTCTCCTTCAGGTTTAAGGTTATCAAGTGGTTTAACTTGGTCAGGACGTACGACATACTGATATTCTTCCCTCTCGACAAAAGTCATTTCTCCTTCTGTGCGAAGATTATCAGTTCTAATGATCTTTTCAGTTTTCTCAGCCGGCCTGTAAAGTTGTTTTTCGGGCTTTACGAATTCGCCTTCCGGTTTCAAGTTGTCCAGCGGTTTCTTCTGAACTGGTCTCTCAGCAGGCCTGAATCCTGGCTTCTCCGGTGTGTAGAATTCCCCCTCTGGTCGGAGATTATCATCTGGTCTAACTTGAGAAGGTCGTTCTCCTGGCTTGTACTTCGGTTTCTCTGGGCTATAGAATTCGCCTTCTGGTTTTAGATTATCCAGTGGTTTGACTTGTTCAGGACGAACGACATATTGATATTCTTCTCTCTCCACAAACGTCATTTCCCCTTCCGTGCGAAGATTATCTGTTCGAATAATCCTTTCAGTTTTATCGGCAGGTTTGTAAACTTGTTTTTCTGGCTTTGCAAATTCTCCTTCTGGCTTAAGATTGTCTTCTGGTTTTTTTTGAACCGGCCGCTCTGCAGGTCGAAATCCTGGCTGTTCAGGAGTATAAAAATCACCTTCGGGCTTTAGATTGTCAACAGGACGCACTTGAGAGGGTCGTTCGCCTGGGCGGTATTTCGGTTTTTCAGGACTGTAAAATTCACCCTCTGGTCTTAAGTTATCCGTTGGCTTGACTTGTCCCGGTCGTATCACATATTGATATTCCTCTCTCTCAACGAATGTCATTTCGCCCTCAGTCCGCAAATTGTCACTCCGTATAATTTTCTCAGGTTTCTCACCAGGTCTGTATGTTGGCTTTTCTGGTGAAGTGAAGTCTCCCTCCGGCTTTAGGTTGTCCACTGGTTTTTTTTGCGTTGGGCGGTCGGCTGGTGTATATCCGGGTTTCTCGGGAGTGTAAAACTCACCTTCTGGCTTAAGGTTGTCTTGGTGTCGCACTTGAGAAGGTCTATCCCCCGGACGATACTTAGGCTTTTCTGGGCTGTAAAATTCGCCTTCGGGCTTTAGATTGTCTGTGGGCTTTACATATCCAGGACGGACAGTATATTGATATTCTTCTTTCTCTACGAAAGTCATTTCTCCCTCGGTGCGTAGGTTGTCGGTATGAACAATTTTTTCACGTTTTTCTCCCGGCTTGTATGGCTCTTTTGGTGGAACTAAAAAGTCTCCTTCTGGTCGTAGATTATCTTCTGGCTTCTTTATAACTATGTAGTCCACTAGAATGTCTTCGTTTTGCTTGGGAATGTTTCCTTTATCTTTTTTCGACCATGTATTTGTACGTATCCTTGTATATGCTTCGTCGACGTTATCTGTAAAATATCGAAAAGGTTAACACAAAATAAAGTATTCTTTCTAAAAATTCACTTGCCATCGGTTTGTATAATCGTTTTTTCTGAAGATTTCGTTGTACTGCTTGAGCAATGGTGTCGCCTAAAATGAAAATATGAGTTTTAGGATAACAACAATATTACTTTTATATAAAAATCTTACCCGCAAGTGCAGATTTCACAGATGCACCTTTCACTATGTGTTGATGACTTATTTTTCACAACTCCCCGCTGCAGATGACAGTATTAGAAACATAAGTAAGTAATATGATTAAACAAACAATTTACGGAAATCTGTAGTTTGGTTTCTTAACTAATATACTTACGGTTCTTGAGTCGTCTAGGCGTTGTTTATCAGTGCGCACATAATCGATTTCATCATAAATATTTTCGGTAATATTTTTGTGTTTCGATGTCTCTTTCAAGTTCAGGGTTATGTTCTCATTGTTTTCCGAAATCGAGGTGTTCTTCTCAATCTCCACAAACTCGTCCACGTAAATGGTCTTTTTGGGAGCCTCTACGATCTTCTCAATGACATCTGTGTGCACCTTTTCGTCCAGAACGCGCCAGTCGTTGATGCTCGCATCGAAAATCTAAATGGGAAAATTCCTTTAAATCCAATTTGGACACACACCTACGAAATGTTCGTATGTGGCTTCTGCTTTTGGGTGGGTCTAATCAACGCCCACACGCAGGCACGCACAATCAATGACTTACCTTCGTTACCTCCGTTGTAGTCGTTATGTTTGCAACATCGGTATTATCTTTCTCGATTTCACGAGCAATGTCATTGGGCACGAAAGCTTTCGTATCAGTGAACGACTTCTCGTCCACCACAGTCCACTTGCCGAGCTTCGTGTCATACACTTTGGTGGTGTATGTGGTTCTTGTTGTGTTAATGACATCATCGACTATTTCGGGATAGCCCGTGTCGGCGGTACTGTCCACCGTCCGTTCGTCCACCACGCGCCACCGATTGTTGCGTCTGTCGTATATCTTCTTCTTGTACGTTACTTTGGAGGTGCCATCGGATTCCTTGCTGACATACCGCTCAAAGGTCGGTCTGGTCTTGCTCGGTACCTGGGAACTGCCATCGCTGTACTCCGTCCAGGTTTTGGTTTTCACATCGTAAACCTCTTTCTTCGACGAAGTCTTCGATTGCTTACTGCTGCTAGAGCTTTTGAGGACGGAACTCTCGCTGACCTCTTTGTTGGACCTTCTGTCGACCAATGACGATGATGACGTAGCCCTATCAACAGCTGTGTCTGCGCTGGCCACTTCCAGTTTATCGTTGTGTCGCGTCGATGACGTTGTCTTTGTTGTGGTTGCGCCAGACGACGCGGCAACCGGTTCGGGGTAGCCTTGCAACGTCACCGATGCGGGAGCATCAGCTGTTCCGCTCGCTGGCGGCAGCTTTGGCACGCTCTGAGATTCGCTCAAATTGCTGCTGCTGGTGGTGATGTTTATGTTGGTGTTAGTGTTTGTGTTTGTGCTGCTGCTGATGTTGCTACTACTATTAATGTTTGTCACTGTCTTGGTGTCTGTATCGAAGCCAACCTGTTTCCTCGGTCCGGATGATGTCATACCGGTAGCCGTATCGGCTCTCTCGCTCGAAATCAGCGTTTCGTTGGCGCTCCGGCTGGAACTGGTTGTGGCTTGGAAGTATGAGCTGGAGCTACTGGCCTGCTGCTGCTGTTGGCTGGAAGACATTGACGAGGACGTGAACATTTTCGAGACACTGCCCCCGCTGGCGGAGACGGATAGCGTGGGTGTTGTGATCTCCACCACTTCGATGGGTACCGAGAATACTGGCTCTTTCTTTTCACTTTCGAGCAGATCAATCGATGAGATGATCTTCTGGTTGGCATAATCCCGGGAGATCTTGCTGCTATACTGCTCGGACTGCAGCTGGGATTGAGATTGCTCGGTGTAGGTGGAATGCGATTCGGATGCTTGGCTCTTGCTCTGACTCCGGCTGCTGTAGCTTCTTACACCAGCCGCCGGCAAGGAAGCAACCGAAGTGCTAGCCCCCACAGGATCACTATATGTCACCGATTCATGCTGCACGGAACTGGAGCTGTTGTTGGTGGTCAGAGTGGCGAACGCATCGGGACCCAGTTTTTTGGTAAGCTTCGTGGCCTCGGCCGACGATGTTGATGTTGTGGTCGATGTTGCTGGCGGTTGAGATTGCTGCGGCTGCGACTGCGACGTCGACGCCTGCTGCTGAGACACTTGTTTCTTTTTATTGCTTTTTGATACCATTTTGCTGGCGGAGCGCTGACACAGATGAGGTAATCACCGTTTGGGAGCTGTGAATAATGCACCTGGCTGGACTTTAGCTATTTGGGTGGCCTTATGGGGCTAATTTGCGGTCGGTATTCGTTTGTTTCGTTGTTATTAATCACAATTATTGCTCGCTTCGTTGCTTTTGGCACTCGGATGGCTTTTTAATAATATTGCGTGAATGTATGGGACGTGGTCGTTGTTTGGATCTGGACTGGTGTGTCACATAATTTCCACGACGGAATGTCGAAATACTTATTTTTAAATATATATTTATTAGACGCACACGAACATGCGACCCATAGTTCAAGTTAAGGCACCAACACGCACACTTAGCCAACCGTTAGACGTGTGAGCAAAAAGCTTAGCACTCTCTGGCACACACACACACATACACACGCGCTCGAAAAGTTGGGGAGAGAATCACGGATGCAGCGGGTTGGAGCCGATCGAGATACAGATACAGATGCAGAGCCAAAAAAAAGTAACACCAAAACCGAGAAACTGCGGGCACTATTCGTGTTCAGAGCACTTTTTAAGATCACCAACCGTCGCGAAGCACAACTCAAAACGTACTGATCGCGTCTGGAGCTGCTTTCGACCGACTATCTGTGCGCTGCCGGCTGAAAGCGGCAGCAGCGGCGCCGGCAGAAGCGTTTTTGTGGGCTTTCGGCCATTGGCGAGAGCGAGAGGCAACAACGGCCGCCTTCGCATAAGGCAAAAAGTTAAAGCCAGGCCAGCGTAGGTTTCGGATTCCGACTGATGCGTAGGACGGTACAGGCTTGGATCCAAGGGGGCTCATACTGGGTATATTTCCCCAAAATAATGTGTTCATAATTCTCAGTATATAAAACTGAATTTCTTTTAGTTCAAAGTTCTTTCAGGTATCCCAAAAACTAAGTATCCCATTGAAACTGCGAAAACGAGGTACATTCAAAAACACTCTTCGTCTCTCAAATTGAAAAAAGTTATTCCTCTATATACAAAACACTCCAAATCCGCCCCTGACCCGGTCTGCCACGAAGACCGAGTTCAATAAGCCAATAAAAACCGCACGCACAACCGCATCGATCTTTTGTGAAAGTGCCAATAAAAACAAAACAAACAGATGTCTGATGTTTGATGCCCGACGCCCGATGCCGGCGGTCTTTCTGTTTGAGCTTGTCAGGTACACAAAACAGAGCAGCACGAACTTCCAGGGCGTGCGCCTGCGTAGCAAACAGTCTTCCAAAACAATATTGACACAAAATGCGAAATTGGCCAAACCAAATTAGGCCGGGTTAACGGCTACGTCTGTCGGATGCACAATTAAATTTGAATAGCATCGGAGACCGATATATTAGTCAGCACATGCTTGCCATGTTTGTCGTTACTGACGGAGATCGTCTAGCCAAGCGGCGCAGCGGCGCTACGTGGGCGTCTCCGGGGAAGCTGAGTAAGCCACACTAAGATCAAGATTTATTCGCCATAACTCTGAATGATACACTCAATGGCCCAATTGATTTATAACGGCCTTTGGGTGGGTGCAAATGAAAAGTATCTGAAAGTGGATATGTCCAAATGAGGGTTTGCAATAGATCAGCTGCATAATGGAAAAGAACCCCATGTGACCTCCAAACCAAGTGTGTATACCGGGCGTATAAAGCTACAAACAATATATCAAGAAAAGCAAAGCCCAATTTCTTGCTTAATTCGAATCTGACGTCATACGCGGCGTATGAGCAACGAGCGCCGAAACTAATTTTCATGCGAAGCCAAAAGCAATCAAAACTTGTTTGCTGACCGGGTACACAAAATAAAATCACACAAATAGAAGTAAGACACAAATGCAAAATTAAAGTGGAAAATAAAAGCGGCAACAGTGGAACCTGCTTAGCAATTCACGGCACACATCGGCAGCGACATGGACGCATGGGCATAAAAAAACTGCAACTGAATCTGGAACACGCTGCAATTTGGATCAAATGGCAATTGTAAATGGTGCCAGTAACTACAGTGCGTTGGAAAAACATGTAGATCGACTAATTAGGGAGAGATATTTAAGCAGATCGCTGTATCGAGTGAGGGGATGATGGCATCTCTCATCTCAAAGTTTTCCTTGGAATTGAAATTAAATTCTGAGACCGAAACGACGACATAGGCTAGGCGTGTTCGAAATTTATGCGCAAGTTTCGGCTGTCGCGTAGCCTCAAGTTCAATTAATTTTAATTTAACAATAAGCCGAAATGCACATCAAGGTAACGTGTCCATGTCAGCCCTTATTTGGCAGTTGGCCGAAATGTCGAGATCTCCGAAAATTGTATTTTTTACTGCATACTAAATGCCACCATCCGTTGCACAATGCACTTTTAGGGCGACTTGCAAACGACATTCTCTTACGCCCGAATATCCAAAACTGACTCAACTGACGATACCCATATGGGCATGAAGAGGAACCCAGTCACGTAGCATGGCGAATATATTATTATTCACTTGTATCTCAAAAAATTATAAACAATTAAAAGTTACGGCGGTGGATGAATTGTAATGACTACGGGTATGGGTAGCTGTTGGACATTTACGACGTGCTTGTGGTCTATCCATACTTTGGGGCAGGAACTTAAAAACCAACGTGTTTACTATTTGATTTCATTTTCAGAGAGCTTTGCCTAATTTTTTTCCTAAGGCAAAACAATTAGACAAAAGTTTTTGTTGAATTTCCACAAATTTTAGTATTATCTTATCTGCTCTTACCCTTACCTTGGTATTCTACATAATTTGCATACACTCTTAATATACTGTAGATAATTCCCTTCCCATGCTCATACTTTAAGTTACTCAACGATTTACTGCTGAAAAATTGCAATTGAGTTGACTCACAGTCAATATGGCAAATATTTGCGTTTGTTTGTTTAATCAGCAAATCTATAAATAAGTTATTCATTCATTTTTTGACAAAAGAAAGTTCCTTGGTCGGTACACTGCGAGACAAAGCTGTAGGGCCAATTGATTCAAGTCTTAGATTACATAGCTTTGACGCAATACTTCCATATTGATTGAAGTCTATTGATATTACAACCAATTAAAGGGCAAGAACATTAGGTCATATCCAAACCAAATTGTTATTATAGATCGCAAGGTATGTGGCGCTGTTCTTATCAGGAGATAGAACACTAAATGATCGATGCCTGGCGAGTTAATATAAAAGTATAGATAAGAACCCCCATAGTATGTTCGCAAGGTGAACATTTTTGCAATGCTTGAACAATTCAGCATTAATTGCAATTACACGTTGTTTTGTTTATTATAATTCATATTTTCCGTTTGTATTTCTTTAAGGCTTACATATTAAAATATATGCTTAGTGTAGGTTCATTATTTATTGTTTCATTTATCAGATTACGATAATTACCAATTATGTTCCGTCTGCTTTAACGCATTCCTAAGACTTAACGTAGAATTTTTACAGTGTGTTTGTGTGTGATATACGTCGCCAAGCGTGCATTACATGATGTGGGTTTGGTTATAAGAATGTCTGTTCTTGTTAGCTGCTTCTTGTGTTCTAATTTCATTGAATAATGTTTAAAGTTTTTCGTTTGCTAGGCTGGTGTTTTGGGTTGTCAAACAATTGCAGTCACCTACGCTAGAGATTTCTCTCGCTGTTCGTGTTCGTGTTGAATATCTGTGTTAGCTAGTTTTTGTGCCAGGCACCTACTCCACATTCCTTAGTCCCAGTTTAGACTCCAACTGGAGTCAGACCTGTTATGCATTTGCCTGGGACTACAGCGAGCTCCGGTTTCTTTATGTACATTCGAAATGTGCTGCACCAACGCGATTCTGGGCAGGGATCAACCACAGGCCCAAGTCCATGCCCACGATCGCGACCACGCAAACATCCACGCCATATCTGGATTGGAGCCGCTGGTTACGTATTCAAGTGCAACGCATACTAGTGTCTAGAACTATCCGTACTCATCTATGTTTCGTGTTAATATGTATACAGTTTACACTTAAGCATAACTATTTGTCATCTAGTTGAATATAAGTTTGTGTATAAGTTGTGTTATTTAAAACTCGTGTAATGCGTAAAACCAATTGAACGTAACGCTTTAAAACTTGCAACTCATACAGGTTGTTGTTTTAGATGCGACCAAGGCATCGCAAAAATTAACAGATACTCTCTATACGTAAATCTATATATGTCTGTATATATATATATTATATAAGGTGTGTGTGTTCATGTCTGTAACGCTAGTTAACTTTTATGTGTACAATGCGATTACTTAGCTGGTAACCTAAGACTAACTAGAATATTACATTTAAGGGAATAGCTTTAAACGCATGCGCCCCACTTCGAGGACCTTTCTGGGAGGGATCTGCCTGTGTCTGCCCGTGTGCGCTGGTGATCCGTTTTTCGCTGAAGGTGTTCCTACTGATGCTTTTCCTGTTGCTGTTGCTATCTATGGTGCTGCTGATGTTGCTTTTCCACTTTTCACTTATATATATTTACAAACGCTCTCGATTACTCAGCGCTCATGTCCGCCTGCTCCTGCTGTTGATCCTCCGGCAACACATTGCGGCAGATCTCGTACTTAATCACCTTTCCGTGAATCTGGCCATCGGGCATTATCTGTACCTGCACCTGTTGCTGTTCGCCGGCAGACGCCAGTTGCTGTTGGGCAGAGGCCTCCTGTAAAAATGGGGAAGGGCAAAAGAGGTTTAGCTCAAGCCGGTTAGAGACTCATGGCCATTTCAGCCTCTCGATTAGACGACTATATATGCAGAAATAATATTAACTAAACTAAAGATTACGCTCAGGCAAAGAGGACACAAGCAACATGTTGCAAGCTTCAAGGGAAAGGGAAAATAAAGAAAATAGAGCACATAAAATATTAAAAGATGGATTATTGAAATACAGGACAGACGCAGGCAGAGTCGACTATAATTAGGGATATCTCTAAGCATACGACAAACAACAATAAAAACAGTAAAAACAACGAAATACATACAACATAATATCATGATATATATAGGAACACTTATAGAGAATTAGCGATAATTTGGATATTTCATACACACCTAAACGCGCAAACTGAAGCCTTTTCAATGGAATTCGATTTAATACGATACGATTAGATTGTATTCATTGCAGAGTTATTGGCTTATTTTGATTTATAGATTTGGTGAGAGAACACGCATAGACAGACACACCTTCACATAGGCAGACACACCCGCACATGCACACACACACATATCTCATAGGATTCGATAGGTTCAGAATTGACAACTCCAATATTTTTCGAATCTCAATTTGAATTTAAATTCAAAACTGTGCATGTGCGCTTGTGCGAATGGATGTCGCTCGAGTTGGTTTTCGTTTGATTAGCTTTAATGTTCATTTTGTGGTTTTGTTTATCATTTTTTTTTCAGTTTTTCTGTTTCGTTTAATTCTTAGTAAGAAGTAGTTGGTACAACAAGCTGCAAAGTATTGGAAAAGGTAATGCGATTATGTTTCAGATTCTGTTTCATTGGTTCAGTGGTACATATATGTATAGATGGGTTATATGGGCGGGCATTGCAGATAGATGGTGACGCAAAACAAGTGGACATTTAACTTAGAGTAAGCTAGAAAACTGTTCGCAGCTTCCCGACTGACCGACAAAGCCTCTTCGGAATACCAATAAGAATCGTTTTATTTTTGAATTGATAACATTGTTTAGGTGCTTAGTTTTTTACATGTACGTTAGGGCCGCCTAACTTACTCCCAACTAGAATTAGACTTAACTGTAACTAAGTAGTGTAAATCAAAGCATTAAAGAGCGGAACGGAGCGGTTCGGATCGGATCCGGGGCGGGGTGACGGGAATCAGGTTATCTGGGTTAACTGATTATCTGATTATCGGGCTATCGGAGAGGCACTGGTCTGGGACTGGAGTCTAGCATACCTGTTGCTGCGATATGGCTGGCTTCGTCTCCAAATGCTGGCGCTGGTGCAGCATCAGGTGGTTCTTCTGGAAGAAGGCCTTGCCGCATTCACACACGTGGGTGCGCACCGTGCATCCGCCGTTCGGGTGACGCCGATTGTGCTGCATGAGTCCGTGCTTGGCGGCGAATCCCTTGCCGCAGCTGGCACAGAAATGGGACTTCGGCTTATTGGCCGGCGCCACAGAGACGACATGCTGCTGTTGTTGTTGCTGCTGTTGCTGTTGTTGCTGCTGCTGCTGGGCCACGTGCTGCAGGTGCTGTTGCTGACCGTGCACGGGCATCGTAGGCACCGCGGTGACCACAGCTTGGGGATGGGTCGAATTGGCGGCCTGCACCAGCGTGGTCTGAGACATCACCTGACCGGTGGACGATATGATCTGCACTGGCACAGGGCTCTGACCAACCAGATTCGGATTGGCCGTGACCACAGTGCCCGGGTTCAAGCTTGCCGTGCTCAAGAAATGACCCGGCAGCGCGGCTGTCAAGGCACACAGATCTGTCATTAGGCTCTTGTCGCCAGTGTGTAGGCGCAAATGAAGTGCCAAGGCCTCTCGGCTATTAAAAGCGCTACCACATTCCCTATGATGATAGAAAAAATTAAGAAAATTCTACTGATTGGGGACCACAACTTACCGGCAAACAAACTGCGGACGTGCCACACCATTGGCATCCGTGGTGGAAACAGTCAGCAACGTAGAGTTACCAGGATTGCTTACCACGGTTATGGTCTGCGGATGCGTCTGCTGACCGGCCTGATGATGATGGGCCTGTTGCAGCTGCTTGAGTTTTAAATTCAAATCATTCAATCTCTATTTACAAAAATTATTAAAGGCTCATGTACAAACCTGCTGATTGGCTATTATGGTGGCACTGCTCGTGTTGGGATTGACTCCATTGTGAGCCGTCCTCACATGCTGATGCAGCTCGGCCTTGGTGAGGAATCCCTCGCCGCAGCTGACACAGGGATGCGCCTGCTCTCCAGTATGTACGCGCCTTTAGAGAAAGGAGTTCTTAGATAAGGTTGCTTTATGACAATCAATGCTGTGTGCTTACCTCATGTGGGAAACTAGTGTTCGCTTTTGTAGAAACTCCTTGCCGCACACGGTGCACGAGTGGGGGATTTTGCCGTGAATACGTCCGTGGTTAACCAATTGGAACTTTCGTGGAAACGAAGCTCCGCATTCAGCACAAACAAATGGATTCAATGAACCGTGGAAGCTGGGCGGGAAGGAAGAGCAAAGGTCAGGCCAATAATCATTGATTTCATTAAAATTACAACTCACCGCGAGTGCATAATCAGGTGGTTCTCCTGGGCAAAGCTCTCACCGCATTCCTCACAGACATACGGCCGCTCGCCGGCGTGGAACTTGCTGTGCGTGACCAGGTGTCGCTTAAGCGGAAAGGCGCGTCCGCACTCCTGGCAGACAAAGGGTCTCTCTCGGCTGTGGACCCGCGAATGGGTCAGCAGATGGTGCTTGAGGGTGAAGCTCTTCTTGCACTCCTGGCACTGATAAGGTCTCTCCGTGGAGTGAAGCAGCAGGTGAGTGTTGAGACAGTGCTTGTGCGCGAAGCTCTTGCCGCAATGGGTGCAGATGTGGGGCCGTTCACCTGTGGGGACAAATGGAATAATTAGGCCTGTTCGATAGTTAAAGATATTCTGCCAGGAACAAGAACAACCACCTGTGTGCACGCGTGCGTGGGTTGTCAAATGATGCTTGAGCAGAAAGGACTTGCCGCACTCGTCGCAACTGTACGGGCGTTCCTTCTTAATGGTGGCGTCCGTCTAAAGAAAATAATGAAAATCAATTAGTATTTTTATATTGATTATTGATCCAAAAAAAATCCACTACTTACTTCGCTGAAATGCATTGATTCCTGTAGTTCGGTCTTCGGGGACAACTCTAATGTGCCTGGCTCCAACTTTAAGTTGGGTGCTTCGCCCTGTGAGTCCTCGTTATCCTCTAGTCCTTGTATTACTTTCTGTACTTGAACTGAAATACCAGGAAGTATGTCACCTAAGAGTGTTGTTGCACCGCCAACGGAACAAAAGCCAAATGGAATTCAAAGGAAGATACAAAAAAAAAATAGAGAAGAAACAAAAGGAAAAAAATCAAAGATCCGAACAAACTATATATGCAAATCAAAATATTTGGGTTCATTTGGGGTTAATACAACTTAAAACAACGTTAGGCAAACTAAACAATGGCAAAAACTATGATTACAACGTATAACTTAAATATGCCACGCAGCCGGATAAAAGCAACCGGAACCGAGAATGTTACCAATATGCCGGATAGTTTACGGTGGAATTACTTCAATCGGGGAACGGATTGTAGTGTGTGTGTGTGGAGGAGTTTGTGGCAGGAGGGACTGGAGCAGGGGTAACAAACACAGATTTGAGATGCTTACTTGGTGTCCCGCCGGACGCATGGTGATGGGATCCGTCGGCAGCGGTGATTGTGTGCGTCTGATGGTGGCCGGCAGCGATGGCGCGCTTGATCAGGATCTCGTTGCACTCCTCTTGCGTGAGATGCAGTGCTCCGATCGAGCTGAAGTGCGACTTGGCCGCCGCAGATCCGGCAGTTAGCACCGTCTGTCCGGTCTTGGCATCAACAATGCTGCCGTTGGTCAACGTGTGATGGTGGGCGAGCCCCGGATCCCCACCAGCAGCGGCTGCAGCTGCTGCGGCTGTGGCCGGATCTACTAACAGATCTGTTGTTTCGTTTCGATGGATTCGTTGAAGAAGGTTCGATCAGCCCGCGCCCGCCGCCCGCCAAGTGATGAGGTGTTGTTGTGTGTGGTGTTAAATGGTTGCAAAGTGATGTTGTGTTTGTGCGGTTCAGTTAGCGAAATGATCGGTGGGTCGTTGATGAATCAGGTGCAATAGCAATACGGGCAAACACACAAGCACGGTGGGAGTTTTGTAGGAGATGGTGGATTTTTGGGGTTCGGTTTTTCGGGTTGAATTCAAGGGCGAGCGAGATCGAGCGAGAATTAAAAAAAAAAATAAATAAAATAAATAAACGGGAGTAGAGAGAGAAAAACAATCGATTAACAGAAAACCCAAAATATATAGATAATCACAACACAGTAACAGCAATGCGTGCAACACTGATTCGATTCGAAGGGTTTTGGATTCGCTTTGAATCGATCCACTTACAGTTCTTGTCGAGGCTCAGGACCTGCTGATTTGGGTCCTGTTTCTTGACCACCGTCGATGCTCCACCGGCGGTTATAACTCTGCAAAGGGATGTAAAAAGGGGTATAGTTGATGATTTTGTTGGTTGGAACTCGGACCTCTGGAGCATAAACGCACCTTTGTGTTCCAGGCGGAAATGATGGATCGTTTACGACAAACATACGACGAACGACATTATTTTTACCGCCAGCTGTAAGGCCTTTGACATCCTTTTGAACGGACAATGATCCATCCGTCGATAACAGGTAGGGCATCTGAAATAAAGGATTTTAATACTTTTGTCGTTTTGGGTAATTTTTGAATAACTAAAATTAAATACCAGGCTAAGGTTTATATTACTACTAACTAAAAACAAAATCCACATAAAAAAATCAGTAAACAATACAGTCTACGTTTGTAACTACATACATATATATGTACATATGTATGTACAGAATTACACGTGGTTTGTGAGGTTAATGCACTCATTTTTAATTTTTACTCAATTAAGTAACTGTCAATGTTTCTATGGGCAATTAATAGGTAATCTACAAAGTGTACTTCATTTTTGAATTTTTTTTTTTTTTTAACATTAAACTTTTTTTTGTTAATTTTACCATATCCATTGATAAACTTAAGAATTCCATGGATTTTTTTTAGATTTCCACTACCCTGTTAGTTGTAGAACGTCTTTGCTTATGTTTCTTAAATATTATAGATTGGTTTGGAAAAACGTTTACTTATATGTAGTCCCGAAATCTGAATGAATGCACGTTTAAAAGCTTTTTTTGAGAGAACTTAAACTTAACAAGTACAGTCGCTACTCGCTATGCCAAGATCTGCAAGCTGCGCTTCAGGTTAGCGGTAATTGCTTACAATCGTGCTATGGTTTTGTTGTTTGTTTTTTTTCGCTCTGATTGATAACCAATAACCACGCTACACCTGCGCAGCCAGCAGTGCGGCAACAGATGATAAACAGAGAGAAAAGGGGTGGGGATTTGATGACGAGAGGGTATGTTTGCAAAAAGCGCGCCTTTTTCACTCCTTGTGTGTAAGTGCAATTGGACATCGTGGCATGTGAGTGTGTGTGTGATGGGCGCCAAAACGGTACGGCAAAAGTAATCAAAACACACGCACGACAAAACGCACACCAAAGAGCTCACGTCATTTTTGGGAGTGTATGCGTGCGTATACACACACACACACAGCTGCATGAAAGTAAGTGCGGCGAATTATCTACTGACGCACACACACGTCGTAATCAGGCGCGCAAGTGCGGCGAATTTGCCTCGTGTGCAATTGTGTAAGTGCCAGCAACAACAACAACAAAAAATACATAAATAAAAACAATAACGCTATTTCTCCTGCCAATTGCACAACAAAAATTGTTGCTCTCCATAAAGCAAAAACAACAACAACAAAATCAAAAGGAAAGCCATAATTATTAATAGAACTAAAATTAGGTTAGCGATACATAGTGTACAAAAATATCGATTAGCATCGATTGCCTTTGCCAGCTGCCAGACTTTTGAAAATTTCACGACCTTCCCGCTAATTAATTGGCTAGATTGGGTTTGGGAATGGGTTGTGGGGTTTACGCCTTATTTATTTATTTACCCATTTGCCAGGTGCGCGTGTTTTTATTTTGGGAATTTCTTTGCACACAGAGCCAATTGTGTACGCATTCGCTTTTACAAATACCAAATTATGAATGTTTACGAATGAAATGGAAACGAAAAAAAACCGTATGGATGTATGGTAAAAGAATTCTAACACACTCGCTCCATTCCCCTTATACATATATATATATTTATATACATATTCGTATATTCGCATGACAACGCAGTTACATAAAGTGTGGCGTATTCATATATACATTGTACATGTAGGTATGTCTGTATGTCGCAGTTGCTCGTTATCCACGTATACCGTATACGTGAATGCCAGTCGGGCCGTATACATACACAGTTCGTTGGCGAAAACAGCGAGTGTTGGTGAGGCGAGCGAGTGCGACTGTAACGCAGTGCGTGTGTGCATTTGTATGTATGTACATATGTATGCGTTGGTGGCCACAACACAATTCGGTGTGGGAAAGCAACAGCAACACCTTCACACACACGCACCTGAAGTGGGCGGGAAAGGTGGATAATACGAATATCCTGGCAGCTTTCAAAGGTTTTTTTTTTTTAGTAATAACATAAAATTTGGTTAAAACTTACCGACTCCCCGCTGACCGTATAGTTGATGTTAGGCGATATCTCCAGTACCGATTCGGCGGTGCGGCTGCTGTTGTCCGCAAAGCCCCAGGTATAGCCGAAGGGCGGCGGATTCTGGGCGGCGCACATTATTTACCACAATGCGGGGGGCAGATAGCGAGACAGAGAGAGAGGGGGAGCGGGAATTTTTTTCGGGGGGGAACGGGACGGAAGAGAAAAAAGCGCAAAATTTCCAAACGCAAATGTAATTGCACTTCTCGCTTGCTTTGTGGTATATGTAGGTATGTATGTATGTATTCTAAAGCACGTACAAAATACTAGCCTCCTCTAGTAGTAGTAAGTGGAAATTGGTAATGGTATTTTTGCGGCTGTATTCGAAGCCAAAATATACACAACAAATTTCAAAACGTTTGGGTTCTCAAGCACTTTTTCTTTCTATCTTCTTTTATTTATTTTCCTTTTTTATATTTTAGGTATATCGCACTGCGACGAAATCGAAAAAATCACCGCATTCGTTCGCCGACGACGAGACGGGGGCGAACTACTATATAGACCGAAAAGAAAGTCAAGTTGCTCTGGCTGCGGGCGCCATTTTTTTCCGTCCCTCGGTGTCTAAAAAAATTCACTTGGCGTTCGTTGGGGAACGCTTCATTGATAACATTCTCGGGTTTGATTTGGCTGTTTGGCGACGTGTGGGCGTGGGTGTGCGTGTGCACGCGCCCCGTGTGACTATGTGCAGTTTTTGCAATTAAATTTATAAACAAAACACTCTTTTTTCCTTCAATATAATTCACAGACACAGACACCACTGAACAAATTCCTTAGTGTTCGTGCTTCTCGTTCTCTGACGCCATCTTGTGTGTGCGCGGGACAGGGTTGTCAGGAAGCCGCGAATATCAACGTCGAGCGGGTTGGCAACGCTTAAAATTAAATGGCTAGTGGGACCATCTCTTTTGGTATTTTTTAAAGTACTCTCGGCGGTCACGCTTTGCATAACAATTCACATTTTCTGATTTCATATTTATTTCCCATTATAACTTGTATAAAAACTTAGAACTACGAAGATGTCTCTATCGCCAGCCAGTGGCATTGGCCGCTTTTATGCCAAGTCGGCTAAAATCATTCGGTTCGTACGCCTGGGATGTACGAACCGGCCTTTTTATCACATTGTCGTTATGGAGGTGTGTATTTTTAACGCATAGAATTGGTTACAGCTTATAAAAGATACTTGTGATTTCAGAGGCGCAAGAACCAGCACCAGCCTGTCATTGAGCAGGTTGGTTCCTTTGATCCCCTTCCCAATGATAGCAACGAACGATTGGTGGCCCTGAACACCGAGAGGATTCGCTATTGGCTAGGAAAAGGTGCCCACTTGTCCACACCGGCTGCAGAATTGCTGGGAATCGCCGGACTACTGCCCATTCACCCTCGCACATACATGTCTGCCTGGCGGAACCGAAGAGCAGCTGCCAAGGCGGAGGATACCGCAGAAAAAGCGGAATCAAGCTCATGAAGATAGTTGTTCATTAATAAAACCTCGTTTTCGTTTTACTTTTAACAAGCGGAGATTTCTTGTTCAGTGACCGACCACTGGTGCTCTTATTAACAACAAATATAGTACAGATTTAAAATTTATTGCAAAACATAACCAATACGAGGTGAGGTTGGTGACCAGGCCCTAAACCAAATGCATGGGTAAGAGAGCAGCGGGCGGAGCTACGGCACATCGGCTTTCTAGTCGTGCTTAAGCACTCCAGCGGCTTTCTTCATGCCATCGTCAATGATCCTGTCGACGGCTGATAGGGAAACAAATACTCTCATTAGCTAACTTCAAGTTTTAAAAGGTCAATTCACTTACATTCGTGATGTTTCAGAAAGTAGGGTCGCACCAGTTTGTGGTAGATGATGGTGGAACCGTTGCGCTCAAAGGGCAGCATGCACCAGACAAGGAAGACACACTGCATAGAAAGAAAACAAGAAAACACGCTATAGTCGTAGTAGTTTTGCTAGTGCAAATTCATAAAGCGCCACCTATTGTCAGAGAAAGCATGTTGAGTACCTGCTAGTGACGTCACTCCCCATGTAAGGTCTTATAACCTACATTTCTTCATAAATAGCGAAATAGATAAATAATAAATATAACATAGATAAATAATATTAACATAAAATAAAAATGGTATCGCTATAAGATGCGCTGGCATCTCAAGATTATACATACTGAATTTCAACTTTCTAGATCTAATAGTTCTGAGATTTCACCGATTTTAGTTTTTCGTGATTTGTGGGCGTGGTAGGATGCTGAAATAAACTTGCTCTGCGTAGGGACTTCAAGAATCTTCATGCTTAATCTCAAGCGTTCATACGGACAGAAAGACGAACATGACTTAATCGACTTTGCCATTGATCCTGATCAAGAATATATACTTTATACTTTCTACCTGTTACATACTTTTCATCATTCATTAAATAAAGGCAGACTAGACTCACCTTCAGCAGCCAGTAGAAGGGAATCACGGAAGTCAGCAGGCTGGAGAAAAATTCAATCACCGTAAAGATTCCAAATGTGACCCAGTAGATCAGCCATTTGGTGTCGTCCTGCTTTGTGCTAGACTCGATTGCATGGATGGAGATATATGCGGGGTATAGCACTCCAATGATGTTGCACAGCAGCTGGGCGCCCCAGCCGAAGACTAGGTAGAGAGCGCAAAAACCAGAAGCAACTGAAAATAGTAAATTAGTTAGTAAACTACAATAAACTTTTGGAGTTCTACCGTAGCGCAGAATAGCATTCTCTATGAACAGCTCCACTATTTTGATCTCCAATCCCTCGACTGCCATGCTTGCCGTCTACTTGGTCAATTGCTGTTGCCCTAGTGGCGCATTTTCCCTTTGGCTAGGTCCAAGGCAGGAGCGGTTCTACAAGGCGCAGGTTGGTCAAAGGGATTTTAAACTTACACAATATTGCTAACAGACTGACAATTCGAGGGGCATTTAGCCAGATATCTGATCGCCTTTTAAGGGTGCCCCTTCGGGGATCCCTGGGGTTCCTAAACAGCCCCATGCCTTTGGCTAATTATAAACCTTTAGCTGTTGTCAGCGGATGTCTTGGCCTACCTCTGATCCCGGCCAGTTGCATTTTGTCCGCCCAGATGAGCGGACTTCGGCCAGTTGTTTTGCCATAAATGTATGATGTCATTCATTCTAGGCAGCGGCTAATTATATTTATGCTCTGCATTGCGTATTGTAATTTTGAAAAAATGTTTGTAAAAAAGGACATGTTGTATGCCCTATAAATCATAGTTTTAATATTACAGGTAACATGCAAATTGAAAATTGATTTAAAAACTGTTTTAAGGTTGAAAACTACTTTTTTTTATTCCCTTGCTGAATCTTTACCGAGTCGACAATGCTCTCGAAAATAGGTAAAACTTTGGCTTTCCTTCTTTGTTATAAATATTTCACAAATTAAAATCTTTCGACAATATATCGTATAGATGTTTAACAACTAATGAGGCCAAATAGTTTGATGATTAATAAATGTTTATTATGGTGGGATTTTTGACTTTCACAATATATCTTCTCATTGCTATTATGACCGCATTCTCACCTGTGCCTAGGTAAACCAGGGGAACTCTGACATTGCGCCGCGACTCCCGTCGCTGTTTGATTAGCATAATATAATCCCAGAGCCACATCGGTAACTCCGGAGAGCTCCGAACGAGAACTTTAAGCTCTATTAAACTACGCACACAGGTGTGTAGATTTTCTCCACGTGTGCCAAGCGCCACGTCTCAATTGTAAACCTTCTAGACCTTTTGACCCCGGAGATATGGGCTTTCTCCGAATAAGTAAAATATTAAGACTATGGAATGCACGAAATGTATTGCTCACCGCGTACTAAGAAAAAGTACTTTCGTTTAAGTAAACAAAGAAAAGCACAAAACATGAAAACTTTTGTGGATAACAGAAGGCGCGCACACATCGGCAGCTGCCTACGTAGCTGCTTACACGCACACATCACATGCTTAAATGCTATGTTGTATTGGTTGAGCGCTTAGTGATAAAACAAAACACACTATTTAATTGGGCTTTAACGTTTAAGTCGAGTGATTAATTCCCAAATTGGTCACCCCCTCCTGATTTAAACATATAACATTGCTTACATATAACAGGTTGCTATTTTTAAGCATCTCGAAAAATTCCACTGCATCTTGATAAATCTCACTGGTTACGCAGTCAATTACCCGGGGGTCAAATTGGAATTTTACGTGGGCGCTGGTTCACATAAGACTATGCGATGACGTCGCCAGGATAGCATACTCACCCAAAAAAATATTGACCCTATTCACGCCGGTCTTCTCCTCCAGGGAATCGAAGGCTTTGGTCCAGGGCTTGGAAGTATCATTAAGTGCCCCGGCTACATTCTGTTTGTAGCCGTCGAAGAATTGTTGCACCTGAGATACGGGGGAGGCCATGTTTTCCAATAATATTTAAAAATATAAGTTTGTCAATCAAAAATATGCGACGCCGCCGACTTTCCCAACACTTATGGGGATTTCAGTATGACCGCGCAAGCTTTACTCAGAATACAAAATCGAGTTTTTTCACGACAAATGGTCCCACTGCGATGTCGGTTTTTCGTTTTCAAAATATTTTTTTTCTTTTTCTATCCCTCGGATCAAAGATAAGAAAGGATTTTAGAAACTTATTTAAGTAGTTTTGAGAAAGTAAAAAAAACAAGCTCTTATAATTTAAATTCGAAATTATAAACAGCTTATCTAATGTTATAACGTCTATACATGTACATGTACATGTTTATTAAATGAATTTTGTTCTCAAATATATTGATATTAATATAAATATATAAAACATATATATTGATATCAATATAAATATATTGACATACACTTCCGTTTTTTTAAGCTGAAATAACGTATTTATCGCGCAAATAAAGCAACTTTTCGAAAAAGACGAATGTCAAGGTTGTGTGAGGAGCACTACGAAGGTAAATGGGCCAAAAGCCCTTGTACATCCCGTGGAGACCTTCTGTTTTCAGGATCTTGGTAAAACAGTCCACCACTCCCCGGTATACAAGGCCGCGTCCCTTTTCGTCCACTGGCTGATTGTACATTCGAGTGGTGACCACATCCAAAGGAGAGTTGGCCACAGACACAAAAGATCCCGATGTCAACCCGGCACAAAAGGAGAGGAGAACAGGATGGGTGACCAATCCATTATCCTTAAGCAGCGCCTTTGCTTTAGGGAAGCTGCCAATCTGGACACTGGAGGCGATTAGCGCTCGGTTTATGCTGGGAACCGCACCGCGCCAAAATCCCGTAATGCCATTGTTTCGGTAAATGTGCAGGAAGGCATCTATCATCGAGGTGTGCTTGTGCTGGAATCCCACGGCAATTGACTGCACAGCCTGGGCATGCTGTTGTGCCTTTATCTGAAATGGGGAGATATATATAGGTATCCAGATCAGATAAAGCTTATATCTTAAATGTACCATGTAAAAAGGACTAGCAAGGAACGTTCCTGAACAGCCGCCCAAGGCTCCGAAGATCATGGCCCGGAAGAAGGATATAGAGCCATCGGCGCTTTGCAAATATCCGAGCTCCAATGCGTTTGAATAAACACTAAGTCTAAGAAAAGATTAAAATAAAATTAAAAAATTACAATATGAAAGAAGTTTTTAATAGAAATTTCCTATCTTAAATCATCTTCTTTATACATACTTAATTTCTTGACAAAGATTAGATAAATAGGTGACAAAATTATTTGACATTATCTTGTTACTTAGGTAAAGCTCTTCAGACAATATGTTATCAAATTTCAAAGGGGCAACTTATTTTAATAATTCCATATTATATAATTTAAAATTATTCAACAGATGATTTGATTTTGTACATTTCATGCCCTTCAAAAATATTGCTTAACCCCGCCACTGGCTTCTAGGGTTGGGAACAAGTTTCTCTCTATTTTACAACCATATGGAATACAACCCAAAGAGATCCCCAATTACTTGCCTCATGGAGTTGAGAACAAATTGGTAACACAACGCCGGGGCAAGACCCTTCTCTAATGCCATGATACCATCATTGCGAACGATCTGCACCATCGCCTGTGGAAGATGCCGATAGGGCTTCACGTATGTTCCTCGAGCCGCCAACTCTCCCTGCAACTGCATCCTTGTCTTGACCACATCGATGGGATTGGTGAACATTACCGCCCCCATCGCAGCCACTCCTCCCAGCACAAAATCGGACTTCGTCATTTCTTCACCTTAATTTAGTTAATGTTACGTTATCATTTTGTTTACTGTCGTCTTGTTAGCAGTCGACAGAGTTGTAAAGAAATCGGAAATGATATCGATTCAAAACGTAACTTAAAACAGAATTCTATTTGCCTGAATCCTAAGTTAAAATGAAGTCATTTAATAATATAATATGGTGATGATCCATTAAATAATGATTATTTTAAACTTTTTAAAATAAGAAATATTAATAGCAGTGTAATATATACATATATATATATATATGTACATATGTATTTACTAAATTTTATTTAACACTTAAAAAATAGATATATTTTCTTGGGTACTTTGTATTAAAAAAAGGTTTGATTATATTATCGATAGTATCGATAAATGTAAGTGCTGCAAAACAAATTTATTTACAAAAATAGTTTTAAAATAATTCTTTATTGATATTTCTAACATTTTCATTTTGGTCCTTGGTTTAAGGAATGAAACGAACACCTTTTTGAGTTGAATAGAAAAAAAGTAAATTTCTTCCATTTTGAAAGGATTGTTTTATTTGTGAAGAAGGTTTAAAACTTGAGTACTTAAAGCATATAAACGAAAAGAAACCTAATAATTTAATGAACTATTAGCTTTATTTTTAACAATTTTGATTTCAGAATCGCACTTGTCACTTTCAAAGTATTCAACTATTATATATAAATTAAAAAACGAAGTATTTCTGATTTCCTAATGGCGCTTTGCGACTTTTAAAAATTCAATAAATCAGTAGTGAAGGCCATATCTTTCGCGAAGGGCGATAAGCTCATCGAAGAACAATAACACCAAAGTGGAGTAAGGGGCACTCCTAAGGTAAATTGGCCAAAAGCCCTTGTACAATCCATACACTCCCTCCGATCGCAGGATCTTGAGCACGCAGTCAAGCCAACTCTTGTAATAAAGACCACGACCTTGGGAATCCACCGCTTGATTATAAAGACGAGTGGTGATCACATCCAGAGGAGTAATTGCCACCGCCACAAATGATCCAGCTGATAACCCAGAGCAGAAGGACAGGATTGTGGGATTAGTTACCACCCCGTTTTCCTTCAAAAGAGACTTTGCCTGGCCAAATGTAGCGATTTGAACGGCGGATGCAACCGTAGCCCGGCCAACATTAGCCATGGATCCCCGCCAGAGTCCAAAGACTCCGTTCTTCCGGTAAATTTGCCTTATCGCATCGCTCATCGAGGCATGCGGATGCTGATAACCAACGGCGATCTGCTTGGCGGCCTGTGCCTGAAGTTGCGTCTTGATCTGGAATGAAAAAGTTGCTATCAGCGGTCTTATCTTATCTGCTCGAGACATTGTCAAATGTCTGCCAAATCAGACCTCTAAAGTTTGATTTACATAATCGCTTACCAGGAAGAAGGGGCTAGCGCAGTAGGAACCTACAACGCCACCCAAGGCGCCCCAAAACATGCCCTTCGCAAAGGATATATCCCCAGTTTTGTTGTGCACCAAACCCTTCTCCACGGCTTGGGTGTAAATACTTAATCTGACAATAAATTTATATATAAAATGAAACTTTCTTTGTTATATGACAGCTAGCATTTACCGGAAAGAATTGATGACAAATTGGAAGCATAACGCTGGAGCCAATCCTTTCTGGAGCCCCAGTATTCCGTCATTTTTTGCCACTGTGACGAAGGCCTGAAAGACACTTTTATACGGCTGTGCATGTGATCCTCGGGCAGCCAGCTCCCCTTGCAGCTGAATGCGAGTCTTGATCACCTCTACGGGATTGGTGAACAAACCAGCTCCCATGGCAGCCACGCCGCCCAGCACAAAATCCGAGGTAGCCATCAATGCGACGTCCGTCCTGTATCACAATCTAGTGATCACTAATGGTATACTTGCGATAAGCACCAGACTGAGACTTGCAAACAATGTGTTTTAAAAAGTAACAAACTAACTGGTTTATTGCACCAAAATATTGCATAGTTAATGGCTACAGGAACAGCTCTATGTTTAGCTTACTGAAGGCACAAATTGGTTCTGAGGCTTGGTTAGGCTTAGAGATTGGAACTAGGAAATTGAGCTACTCACTACAGACTAAAGCACAGTTCAGGAGGATAAAATGTTATAAAACGTTTTATCTATCTGAACATAGCCATAATCAAACAAAATATATATGTTGAGCATTACAAACAAGTCGAACAATTTTGTACTTAAAGTAAAGCTACTTAACCACATATCTTTGGGGTCATTGACGGCTATACTTTGTGCGCAGAGCGATCAGCTCATCGAAGAAAAGCAGGACCAGTGTTGAGTGTGGGGCAATGCGCAGGTAGTTGGCCCAGAAACCCTTGTACATACCGTAGACACCCTCGGATCGCAGAATCTTAACGAAACAGTCAAGCCAACCGCGATAGAGAAGACCTCGTCCCTCGGCGTCCACGCCCTGGTTGTAAAGACGGGTAGTTATCACATCTGGCGGCGTTATGGCCACCGACATAATGGAGCCGGCTATTAAGCCAGCCGAAAATGAGTTTAACGTGGGTTGGGTCACCAAATCGTACTCCACTAGCAGGGCTTTGGTCTTGCCAAAGGTTGCTATCTGGGCACCTGATCCCAAAGCCGCTCTGGGCAGCGCAGCCACCGATCCTCGCCAGAGTCCTCGTACTCCATTCTTGGCGTAGATCTGTCGCAATGCATCGCTCATGGAAGTATGGGCATGCTGGTAGCCCACTGCAATTTGCTTGGCAGCTTGCGATTGCAACTGCGTTTTGATCTGAAACGTAAAGATAATATAGTAATGTTGAAAATAGAAATTAGCTAATAAATTGTGAAAATTAATAAAGTCATTGAAAGCTTACAAAGAAATAAAGCTCTATGATCTAGATATTAAATCTTTAAGCCCAGAAAAAGTATTTGAAATTATTATATGAACACCGTGGAAAAATTATAGTTAAATTCATTAAGAAATGCAAATTAGTTGTGCACATAAAAAATTCGGTCTGAATACATTATGTCATTATTTATGACTCATTTAGTAATGTGCAAATATCTGGAGATAACTGGGGCAAACCAATATCAAATCCGTCGGAAAAATGATATTATTTTCGTTTTTAGTTAAGATACTATGATAATTTCTCTGCGATTATCTTGAAATAGTAATAGTTAGATACTGATAGACGGTTGTCAATAGAGGCTCTTATCTATGGAAGGTCCAAAATGCTGATGAGCACGCGGCTCAGTTAGATAAGTTGTTTGTTTATGTAACGTTTCGCTACATCCGTATCTAAGCGTACCAGGAAAAATGGACTGGAACAATAGGAGCCCACGACGCCGCCGATGGCGCCCCACAAGAGTCCCATGCCGTAGGACACCTCGCCCTTTTTATTGTGCATCCACCGACGATCCATTGCCTCCGAATAAATGCTAAGTCTGTAAAGTGGAGTTGCAGAATAATAATTAGTTGCTATTAATCACAGACGGATCGGTAACCCATACCGGAAGGAATTGATGATGAACTGGAAGTACAGTGCGGGTGCCAGACCCTTTTGGAGGCCCAATAATCCATCGTTTTTGGCCACCGTGACAAAGGCATGCACGATGCCTTTGTAAGGTTCCACATAGGTACCCCGTGCCGCCAACTCTCCCTGCAGCTGGATTCGAGTCTTAATCACCTCGATTGGATTGGTGAAGAAAGTGGCGCCGACGGAGGCCAGGCCGCCAAGTACAAAATCCGAGGTGGCCATGTAATCACGAGTTAACTTGAGGATGGTAGTTGACTAGAAATTGTTGTGCCGCCTGCCGCGGATTCGTTGGCCCTAGGAAGCCGCACGCTGCGTATCTGCGTATCTATCCGTGTATTTCATAATTCCCCGCCGCGATTAGCTATCACGGCTGCAACTGCGATCCCCCCGCCCGTTATACAAATATAATATAATTAAGGCGAATAATATAACTAGTGTGGCCGGCGGTCTTGGCCGAAATCATGCTGCCAGATTGTTGCAAATATGTACTACAATTATTTATAACTCTTTTGTTTTAGTATTAAAATAATTTTTCAAAAAAAAAAAAAACAAATCTTGTGAAAAGAGTTTTTATAACGGGAGTCCCGTAGCTGTGAAGCAGTCACTTATGAAGTTTTCCAAGTCCGGCAACTCTGCTCTTAGATTTTGTTCTGATATAATTCCATAAAACTTAGCTTTGTGTCAAATGTAACAAAGCTACATTTTATTTATTATTGTTCTTATAATAAATTTTGTTAATGCTGGAGACAAATTATCTATTTTAAAGTGGTTATACTTAATAAAATCATATTTCTTTTGCTCTTCTGTTCGAGAGCATCTCTGTTTAGCGGGAACAGGGTAAAGGCGGCAGCACTGGTTGCTCTCTTTCCTTTCGAGCTGTCAAAGCGCCGAAGACGTGTGTGCGTGTTATTTTCAGCTGCATTTGTTTAAATAAGTGGAATAACATTTTTCAAAAACATGACTTCGCATCCGGTTTTTATAGACCTGTCCCTGGACGAGCAGGTAGAGTAGAAGTGTACGATTTTAACTATGGTTTTAGGCGGCTGGCCGAAATTGAGGTTATGTCTTCCTCTTGCTGCAAAACAAAACTAAAATGTTCTTTGATTTATTAAAAGGTGCAAGAGCTGCGCAAGTATTTCAAGAAGCTGGGAGCCGAAATCTCTTCGGAGAAGTCTAACAAAGGAGTCGAGGATGATTTGCACAAGATCATTGGAGTCTGCGACGTTTGCTTCAAGGACGGTGAGCCCTCGCAGATTGACGGCATCCTCAACAGCATTGTGTCTATTATGATCACGGTGAGTAATCTTGTCTACTTAATTAACAGAAAATAATATCCTGCCAAATTATAGATACCTCTGGATCGCGGCGAAAACATTGTGTTGGCCTACTGCGAGAAGATGACCAAGGCTCCCAACCATCCGCTGGGCAAGGTGTGCCTCCAATCGCTATGGCGTCTTTTTAACAACCTGGACACCGCTTCACCTTTGCGCTACCATGTTTACTACCATCTCGTTCAGGTGGCCAAGCAATGCGAACAGGTACTGGAAGTCTTTACTGGTGTGGATCAGCTCAAGTCCCAGTTCGCCAACTGCCCACCTTCATCGGAACAGATGCAAAAGTTGTACCGTCTGCTGCACGATGTGACTAAGGACACGAATCTGGAGCTGTCTTCTAAGGTTATGATCGAGTTGCTGGGCACCTACACGGCAGACAATGCCTGTGTGGCTCGCGAGGATGCCATGAAGTGCATTGTGACTGCCCTAGCCGACCCCAATACATTCCTGCTGGATCCTCTATTGGCGCTGAAGCCTGTGCGCTTTTTGGAGGGCGACCTCATTCACGACCTGCTGTCCATTTTTGTGTCGGAGAAGCTGCCTGCCTATGTTCAGTTTTACGAGGACCACCGGGAGTTCGTTAACTCGCAGGGATTGAACCATGAGCAAAACATGAAGAAGATGCGCTTATTGACCTTTATGCAGCTGGCTGAGAGCAGTCCGGAAATGACCTTTGAAACGCTGACGAAGGAACTGCAGATCAACGAGGATGAGGTAGAGCCCTTTGTTATTGAAGTGCTGAAAACGAAGTTGGTGCGCGCACGTCTGGATCAGGCTAACCACAAGGTCCACATCTCGTCCACAATGCATAGAACCTTTGGAGCGCCACAGTGGGAGCAGCTCCGCGACCTGTTACAAGCCTGGAAGGAGAACCTCAGCACAGTGCGTGAGGGCCTAACCAGCGTATCCTCAGCGCAACTTGAATTGGCCCGCTCCCAGAAGCTGATACACTAAGAATACCACTCCCCAAAACTGCAATGATGATGAACAAATGCTAGCCTCGGGGCAATGGAATTACGGCCTAAATTATTTTCAAGAGTGCGTGAATTAAAAACCTTGAATAAATTTATAAGTAAAATCGATGTCTGGGTAAATGCGAGGAATACTTTAATATCTTATATCTAAGTTGTAGTGTTTTTAAAGGCATTTAACGGTTTTCACAAAATTTAATTTACGATTTAGAGCTAAAACAATAAAAGTTAGCTTTTCTGATAAAAAGATTCTAAACTCATTAATGAATCAAATAATTTTGAGGGTTATTTAACTATGTAAAAAAGAGTTGAAGACATTTTTTTTTGTCATTATAAATTGGAACTTTTATCTTACACATTGCGAAACTAAATACGTTTAAAAGTGATGTAAAACTAATCTTAATCATTATACTGAGAATGTTTTTAAAAATTGCTTGCTGAGATGGAAACCGAAAATGGCCTGTAAGAGTATTTAAGTATAGTTTTCTGTTGATCAATTATAGCTCTTCGTGCACATTGGAGTGTTTGCGGTCTTTCTCTTTTGGAAATCCCCAGAAATATGATGGAAATCCGTGCGAGTCCCGTTCTCTTTTTACGAAAGCCGAGTAAGAGGAGATGCAGTTGCCGATAAAGTGATTGGATTGTCCGAGAATGGCCAAATCCAAGTAAGGATCATCCTCTGGGAGCTTGTGTACACTGATGCCCATACGACTAAGAGCCGTGCTAAGTTCGCCAATCATGTGGTTCGAATCGGAAGCCACAAAGACCGACTTGATTTCATTGTCTGGTTGGGTTTGACGCACGTTCTTAATAGTCCTCTTTAGCTGGCGTATGATGGCCTCCTTGGAGGGCATACAGAGTTCCGGATAGAGGGCACCACGCTCATTTTTATAGCCCAAACACTGCGGTGATGCAAAGAGATGCTGGCTGTCCTTAACGTGCTCACAGGCTCTCACCCAATCAATGCCGTTGCGCAAGTGAATGCCCACAAAGGCACCTCGCGGGAGATTCTCCCTGATAAATTCCTTTGAAGCATCTCTGTATCTCTGGCTCCACTGCATATAGCGTTGCAGCTTGCAGTTTTCTAACTGAACAGGAAAACTAGCAGGGGCACCAGTAAAAGCGAGGACAGGCCATGATTCCGCAGGATATTTGGCCTGCCACTTGGCAGCCTCATTGCTGTGATGAACATCAAAATGCAATGGAGCATAGAACTCTGATCTCACAAAGTCTATGTGAAAAGTGTCCCAGAACGGACCAAATGGATTTCCATCTTTTGCATGGCAATTAGGCTTTTCTGGATCGTTTTTCTCCTGTTGGAGACTGTAACGCTCCTTGTAGCAGAAGGAAACACGTTCCGATTCAGGCCACAGGTCATCAGCTAGGTGCCACATGAAATCCGCCATAGTGATGACGCGGTGGTACTCCTTGAGGGGTTCTACCTCAAAGTAGGTGTTAAATGGCACTTGGCGAGATCGCAGCTCGCCCCTGCGATACTCAACCCACGGGGGTAGGATCAGTGTACGGTTCAAAGCTTTGGCAAAGGCTAATGATCCTAGGAAGTGGTCGGCCTGGTTGCCAAAGCGTCCTTTAAAAGGAAAGGTTTACATAGGTTTTAAGGTGCTTTAAATGTCGAGCTTACCCATGCAGGGACAGTAGGTGAGGTAGCCGTTGGGATCGCCTCCTAATTGGCCACATGCTGAGCTTATTAATAGTAAAATTAAGTTTATAAAGCGGAGCTTCATTTTAAGCCACTGCATTCTGCCGGCTTCGTTTTTCTCTAACCAGGTGGCAGCTCTGTAATGGGACGTTTCAATTGTTGACTAAATATTCAGTAAGCTGTTATTTTTGTTACTAGTCGGTAAAAATAGTTTAGGTTTCATTGCACAAACTTTTCTTGAAATCAATCAAAAATATATGTGTGCACAACAATAAAGTGACTAACAAATGTAAAGCTTATATCGACACACCCTACTGTATAGTGCCAAGAAGTTTAAGTCTGGCAACCTCCTTTTTTACAATCAGATGTTATTGTTATTTATGAAACTTAAGAAATATATTTTTTAGACTAGTCAAAATTTAAAAGATAGAATGCTAGGCCTGTGAGTATTAATCTGAATGCAGTTGTTATTATCCTCACATGTAAACCTAATTACAGCAAGGAGGCGCTTCGGATTTTAAGCAGGCGATCCAAAACGGTCTGCCGGCGGAATTTTGCAGATGATGCTAACCAGACAGACATTTCGTTTAAATGGCGAAAACCAATTGGTCAGCACACCGGCATCAACATTTACAATTACGGAATGCAACAGAAGGTGCCCCTAATCTTGAGAAACCCTCAAATGGTTACTTGGTACACCTGCGGACCTACGGTCTACGACTCTGCCCACCTTGGACATGCCAGTACTTACGTGAAGGTAGATATCATGCAGAGAATTCTCCGGGATTACTTTAAAATAAATTTGGTAACCGCTATGAATATAACGGATGTGGACGACAAGATTATCAAGCGAGCCCAGCTCGCAGGACTAGACTGGCAAAAGATGGCGCTAGCTTACGAGGCAGAGTTTCGGCAAGACATGTTGCGCCTTAATGTCCAGCAGCCGGATGTGCGCAGCCGTGTTACCACCACCATGCCTGCTATTATACTGTTCATACAACATCTGATAGCTGAAAAGCAAGCCTATGTTACGCCAGATAAGTCCGTTTACTTTGATGTCTCAAAAAGCAAAAACTATGGAAAGCTATTAAAGCTGAATATAAGCGAGGAGAAGCCAGATACTTTGAAAAGAAACAGCGCAGACTTTGCGTTGTGGAAGGCGCGTAAGAGTGGCACGGAGCCCACCTGGGCGGCTCCTTGGGGTGGTGAGGGTCGCCCGGGATGGCACATCGAATGTAGCGCTATTGCCGGCCTGTTCTTTGGTCGCCAGGTAGATATCCATGCTGGCGGTTTAGATTTGCGGTTTCCTCACCACGAAAATGAGGAAGCTCAGTGCTGCGCTCGTTATAAAACAGAACAGTGGGTAAACTACTGGATACACACTGGACAGCTTCATATGGTTGGGGATTCGCAAAAGATGTCAAAGTCTCTAGGAAACACCATTTCTGTGACCGAACTGCTTAAGAAGTACACAGCCGACGAGTTTCGAATGGCCTGCCTTCTGTCCAATTATCGTAATGCCATGCCTTATAGCGATCAGTTAATGTTAACCGCTCGGCAGACCCTGCAGCGTTTCAAGAACTTTCAAGCTGATCTCAATGCTTATACACAGTTTCTAAAGCCGGTGCACTTATTGGACGAGGGAGCTTTGAAGGCACAACTGACTCATATGGTTACTGAGTTCGATAATTGCCTCCGAGATGATTTTGATACCGCCCGATCAATTAGCGTGCTAATGGATCAGATGAGCAGCATAAGTCGCTGTATCAACGATCAGCAAGTGGACGCCCAAGAGGAGCCTGCGTACTGCATGGACCTGCTTTTGGCAGCTGGAAACTTTATTAATCGTGCTGTAGTCACTTTTGGTTTATCGGAGTTGCACGAAAGAGAATCCTTGCATGAGAAAGTCTGCTCTACGGATCATAGCATAGATCCATCGTTGCTAGTGGATGATGTGTTAAGCATTCGAGGAAAAATGAGGGAGAATGCCACTTCTGGAAAAGTGAAGAACACCCAGCTACTGGCCGCCTGTGATGAACTGAGAAGTCTGCTCCAACAGCACGGCATCCAGGTGCGTGACCACCAACAGGGCAGCTCTTGGGTATTTGCCGTGTCCTGTGAAAAGTCCGATGACAAGAGCAAAAGCTCTGCCGAATAAAACACGAAATATTGTTCTTTGTGATGTTATTACATAAATGCATCTCTCATGCGTAGTCGAAAGGGTTGATCAGGTGTCACTGCGTGCTCCGTCTTGTAAAGGTCCTTGGTGATAAGGTAGTCACGGACTAGCTTAAAAAAGGCTCCCATGCTGGTGAAGGCCACGAAGCTAATAGAGAGCACAAAGTGCCATTCAACGCTCTCGGCACTTAGAGATCCAATCTCAACCAGCAAAACGGCAGCCTGAAGTATAGCCAATGTAGAGTAGATAATAGTGGGATTGTGGAAGAGTTTCTGTAAAAGTCATACATACAAACATTTAACATTCTTGCTAAAAGCCTCAACTCTCAAACTTACATAGAATCGTGCATGGCTGGCGTTTCCCGGTGTGGCCACCGTGACTACGCCCTGACTTCGGTAGAGGCCACCGTTGTGCTTTACCACAGTGCCATGGTTGTAGGAGGAGTATTTCGACCAGGTGAGAGCACTGGCGGCGACTATCAATTGCGAAGGTGCAGGTTCCCGGTCGATTCGTTGCCAGCAGCCTAAATGCAAAGTAGCTCGATGCAAAGTATCACTGTACTTAGCAGGATATAGGAATACGGCACATAGACTAAAGGCGCCCAAGCAAACGATAATGCAGTGCTGGGCAGCGCGGAGTACATTATATTGAACGCTGACGGCCAAACAGCAGGGCACCAGGCCGCTGTAGTATGCATTGAGCATGGATGTGAAAATGAGCTGCTTGAAGCGCTTGTTAAAGTCATGACGCAGTGTCTCCACTTCGTCCCGAATGTTCACCGGGTTGGTGGTACAGCTGTGGACGGGGAGATCGTTGATATACACGCCAGGCAGCTCAAACCTGGTGCGCAGGAAGGGCTCTAGCTGGAAGCCGAAGATCAGCAGATAGATGACAACTCTAAAGAAGAGATTCAGGTGTATCTACTAAAAATTAAATGTTTCATGCTTACGGATACGACAGGAAGAGAAGTAGAATATAGGAGTGCTGCTGGTACAGCTTCATAGCGCAGAAACTCAGGGCCAGCTGCACTATACCTCCAAATCCGTACTTTATGCCCAGCCGGATAAAATGTCGGCTCTTCTCACTGCCCTTCTTAACCTTTACCAGCAGCAAGCAGTAAATCAGTCTTCGCGTGTTGAGTATGAGGAGGAGATAACGTAGATAAGGATCGATGAGCTCGATGTTCTAGGGGCAAAGACTTGCTATTAATGCTGTGAATAATGAAGTATAGAAACCTGTGCTAACCCACCACCATGTGCCGAGTGTGAGCCTGTGGTAGCCACCAGTTAGTCCTGTAAATGTTGATGAACTGTACGATGGCAGAGCCCATGGTAAATGCGCACATTATGAGTTCACTGAGCCACTCGGATGTGGTGGCGTGCTCCGGAAAAGGAATATGCTTCGGCATCGCGGTGGCCGGTGTCTGGGATTGGCCCGGTTTAGGGGACAGTAGGTGTGCGTAAGAGTCCTGCGTTTCGCTGGAGCTGCTGCCATCACTACTTCGCTCGTCGTAGGTCATAGCTATTAAATTTCTTGGATTTAGCGAGAGCTACATTGAGATCACATTCAATTCAAGTGACAATGTTTTTGTGCGGGTGGAGGACACAACCTTGTGCGATTTGCAACACTAACTCATTTTGCCATGGGCGTAGCCAACAACTTTTCTAGGGGGATCGCATAGCCCTTCATGTTTTTAATAGAAGAATAATTTATAGATTTGTATGGGCAATATTCAGCTTGCTGCGAGCCAACAACATTATTTGTTTTTCACTTAACGTGAAGAATAATTTAAAAATCCATTTATGAGAATTTATTTAAGTTTTAATAATTTTTCTTACATATTTACAAGAAAAAAACTATTATTTTTCAAGAAATAGTTGTCGGATAATTAATATACCCTTAAGCTCACTACGCCCATGAAAACAGCTGTTTAAATATCAAATGTTAAGCAACACTGGAAGTCGGCAGTTTTTATCAGCTGTCCTTTGGTTTTGTAACTGATCCAAGAAATATTTAAAATATATATTAAAAAACTTACAAACATCGAAAGATGATGCGCTACGAGGGTAACGAGAGGTTGGCCGATGAAACCGCATGTGCGGGAGTGCGGGCGGACCTCAAGATGTGCCTGTTAGAGAGTGAGTGCTGCCGGATGGGAAAGACGCCGCGCCAGTGCCTTCAGGACAATAACGTCCCGCCAGAATGCCAGGTGCTTCGAAACACCTTCTACGAGTGCAAGCGTTCTCTGGTTAGTTTATCTTTAATATTCCAATTTATATCTAACAAAACCTATGTATACCTCCATCTTTTTAGTTGGACAATCGGCAGCGCTTTCGCGGTCGTAAAGGCTACTGAAGTTTAAACTTATATTATATTTCTAAGAGCTTAAAATACAAAAAATTACACACATAATTGGGTTTAGTCAATTAATTGCGACGCCTTCGAACGCGACTGATACGCCAGGCATTGGGCTCCTCATACTTGTTATACAGCGGTTCCAGACGCTGGTTCTTCTTGAATTTGCTCAGCTTTGTTGGGTCCGAGAATCGGAAGAATGACGGAGCAAACTCCACCAGCCACTTGGGATCAATGGTGGTCACCTCACGCATATACTCCTTGGTGGTTTGCACCAGCTCGTGGTAGATAACCCACTCTGGCTGGCGATTGAAGAGAGCACTTGACGGATGGATGTAAACCACCTGGGAATCGACCAGGGTCCGGTAACCCTCCTGTGGATCCTTTTTCGCCGCGTTGCGGAAGAATCCAGAGCAAATGGCCTTCTGAATTCGAACGGAGTTTTTTCCTGCTGATACCACATCCAATTTGTGCCTGTCCATGATTCCCAGCAGTTGTTTCCTGACATCCTGGCTGCGCTTTAGGGTTCGAATCTGTACAAAGTTTTCGTAGCACCAGGCATTCGAGAATTTATTATTCTTCCAACTGTTGTACACGGCCAGCAGCGTCAAATGGTCACCTATAAGAAAGAACGGGTTAGTACTCTTTCAGCAAAAATAATCATATTAGGTTTTAGCTTCAATTCTTTCATAGTTAAGTTTTAAGGATGGACTTACCTTCCGCCTGGTTGAATTTGGCCTTCTTCTGGTCCGCCAGCGCCTGTTTGTCCTTTGGCCTGTAAAACACATTCTGCACACTGAGCATCGAAACAATAGTCAAAATCTCATCGGAACACTGTAGAGCCACGGACATGATAAGCATCTTTGAGAGATTCGGCTCAAGGGGAAACTCTGCCATACGCCTACCAAGACGAGTAAGCAGTCCTTCGTCGTCCAATGCTGATAGGGAATGCAGTTGCTCGAGTGCCATCACCAGTGATTCCACTGGCGGCGCGTCCATGAAGTCAAAGTGCAACAGATCGTTGATTCCCATCGTCTTTAGTTGAAGTACTGTGGTGGCCAGATTGGTACGCTGGATTTCTGGCACCGGAGTGGGCAGCATTTCATCTCGATAGGCACGCTCTGTATACAGACGGTAGGTTTTTCCTGGGCCCGTACGCCCAGCTCTTCCCGCTCTCTGTTTTGCAGCCGCCTGCGAGATTGGAGTGACCACCAGAGAGTCCATGCCGGTCTTTGAGTTGTACACCTTTTGTTTTACGAAACCAGGGTCTACCACATAGAATATTCCATCAATTGTCAGAGAAGTTTCTGCAATGTTCGTGGCTATAACAACCTTGCGACTTCCAGCTGGCGCAGGGTCAAAGATACGCGTCTGCATCTCAGATGGCAAAGCAGAATACACTGGCAGGATAATCAACTCTGGCACGTCTGGTCCTAAACTCTTCATTCGTTCGTATAAGATCTCGCAGGCCGTGTCGATCTCCTCTTGACCCGTAAGGAAAAGCAGAATGTCACCAGGGGGTTCTCGCAGATGGATCTGCATTACTGTAATCAGGGAGGCGTCCAGATAGTCCGTCTCCGGTTCCTTAGTATATAGGACCTCCACCGGGAAAGTTCTTCCGGGGATTGTGAAGATAGGTGCCTTGAAAAAATACTGCGAGAATTTTACCGCATCCAAAGTAGCCGATGTAACAATAAGCTTCAGTTCTGGTCTTTTTTGCACGGCTGTCTTCAACAAACCAAAGAGCACATCCGTATGGATTGTTCGTTCATGAGCTTCGTCCAGCATAATCACCGAATAGCTTTTCAATTCCGCCTCCATAAGGCACTCACGGAGCAACATACCGTCTGTCATGTACTTGACTATGGTCTCTGGACTGGTGCAATCCTCGAAACGAATGGTGTAGCCAACCTCCTGGCCCAATCGGCAACCGTACTCCTCCGCCACGCGCTTGGCCACAGACATGGCAGCCACACGTCTAGGCTGGGTGCATCCAATCTTTCCTCTGGCAGTGAATCCACATTCGCCTAAGTACTGAGTAATCTGTGTGGTTTTTCCAGAACCTGTTTCTCCAATTACAATAAGAATTTGGTTGTCCGTAACAGCCTTGATCAGATCATCTCGCAGTTTGTAAATGGGCAACGACTGGCGCTGTTCCACTAACGTCAGATCAGTCTTCTTGCCGAAGGACGACTTTTTACCTCCAATTACGTGTTTTTTCCATTCCGGAACTTCGACAGGAGCAGCACCCATTCCTCGCATATTAGCCGCTAAGGTACGGGAGCTGTCCTCCTCCGGTAGTGGATCGATCCAGTTCTTGTTGAGGTTTGTGGGAAGAGCTTCCATTTCTTGCTCACGTTGGAGCATCTTCTGCTCGCGACGCTCCTTGGACAGAGCCGACTGCATCATGGCAGCTTGGGCAAGGGAGCCATCGGGGTTCTTTACAATTCTTACTGGCGAGAGGTCGTGTAATGCTCTACCGTGGCCGGAGAGGAAGGGTGGTTCTTCTTCCACAATCTCAATTTCGATATCGGCTTCGTCGTCTTCATCTTTAGGAAGCAGTCCCGTCTCCTCATCGAAGTCCGGCATTTCACTTCTATCTAGCACACCGGAGCTGATCATCTGCTTTATTTCCCAGCGCTCAGGGCTTGAAATCCTGGTCACCCGCTTTCTGGACTCGTGTTCATCGCCATCTAAGCCATTGCCTTGGAGGTTCAGCATGGAAGTGCTACTACTGAAGGGTCCATCTGGATTTCGATCCCTTAGAGCCTCTTCGTCTTCGGGCGCATGTGACAGCGGATTGAGATCCCTTCCAGACTCTTGGTCTACCTCCTTCATGGACAGGGAAACCTTTTGGCCAGTTACGGACATTACTTTCACTTTAACCGTCTGATTCCGATTGACTACCTCGGTAACGTCGGTTACTCGTCCTTCTGCTCTTAGCTGAGAGATGTGCACCAATCCCTCCCAACGCTTGCGGAGTCCAAAGAGCTGCACAAAGCAGCCAAAGGGCACGATATTGGCCACTTTGCCGGAATAGATCTTGCCTGCTTCAGGATCATCGGTCATGGCGGAGGGTGGTGGCATCTTTTCGCTGTGATCACGTTCCCTGGACCGATTTCTTCTGTCCCTTCGTTCTGTGGAACGAGAGCGACTGCGTCGTCGGCGTTCATGGCGATCTTTTGAACTGGATCTTCTGCGACGTCGCTCCCTATCTCTATCACGATCCTCTCGAGACCTGCTCCTACGGCGATTTTCTCGTGATCTGCTGCGCCGACGGCGTTCCTTATCACGAGATCTGCTTCTTCGGCGATCTGAGTGTCTATCCTCTCGTGATCTACTGCGTCGTTTGGTATCCCGATCTCGTTCCCTGCTTCTGTGCTTGTGGCGATCCCTGGAACTAGCTTCCTTAGGCGGTTTCACCTCTGTTTTGCCCTCACCAGGGGCAAGAGCTTCCAACTCCAGCATGGCTGCATCCACGTCGCTCATGTCGGTTTTTTTTTGTGGACCGCCGTCTTTCTCCGGTTTCTGTTTTTCCTCGTCATCACTGTCTTCCGTTTTGCTGTACTTATCATTGGGCAAAGCGAGACCGGGAAACAATTTCATCAGTTGGGATTTCTTGTCCTCCTTCTTGTCGCCGCCAATTTTTTCTTCGCTAGCGCCGCCAGGACGAGTTGGGCGCATCAGATTGATGATGCGCTGGAGATTCTGAACCAATGAGTCCGGAAACTCGGCGCCATTCTCCAGCAGAGCCTTGCGAAAGGAGTCGTATGTGCGATTTTTGTTCTCTAAGTCTATGATAAACTCAGCTAGATCCTTATCGTTAATGCCCAAGTGATTATCCAGTTCTGTGCAGATCTTCGAGACCAGCGAAAGGTACTCCAACTTCTGCAACTCGTCCATGCTGCCTGAGTATTATTTCAACTTAACTATATCTATTTTATTGAAATAATGGCAAGTTTCCCTCTGCAACAAACGCGGCCAGCTGTTTTTGCACGCCGCGGGGTTGCCCAAGTATGCCAGCTGCCAAGCAAGGTGGCAACTCTAGCCCCTATCACTCGGTTTTCGACGCTCCGCTTATTATTGTCGCGTTTTTGTTGTCAAAAGTAAAATAGTCTCCGTTTTGATCTAACACACGTCGAAATATGGCTTCGTTTTTCGATTGCTTCAACAATTTTCTCCAAAGCGGGGGCAATGTAGTCCAGAATGTGTCGCAGGAGGAGGAACAAAAAATCGCGGCCCAGCCGCTGGACGGCGACATAGAGCTTGTGCCGCCCACTACTCCAACGCCCAGCGAGAGTGTAAGTAGTGTCTAGGGTAACGTTGTAACTACTTCATACTTCCGTGATAGTGCGTATTCGCTTGGCTGTCTGTTTGTTGTGAAATAGAATAAATATTTTCGCGGGGCCTGAGGTATGGGGACGTTGCGGAGTTGCCGTATTGAATTTTCAGTTAAAGATGTGGCAACACCATATCAGGCACGCCATATTTTGCGACAACGAAAATTCGCGTAGTGCTCAAGCAAATACCAGAAAATCAATAAGAATTGCTGGTAAAATTGGTTAAAATCTGTGCGTGTCGCGATTGACCTTTGTTTTGGGCCAAAGGCCAGGGGTTTGTCGCGATTTCAGCTGTTTCACAACGCCGCAAGTTTGACAACAACGTAGAAGAAGAAGAAAATCAACTAAGGGCTGCCTTTTTAACAAACAAAATAAAAAAATAACCATGAAGGAAATAGCAACTTCCAGCGGAAGTCAGCCACATACTTCAGAGGCCTCCACCTCGATTATAACCTACAGTCCCAGCAAATTTCTGACTCGGGTTGGAGCAGGCAAAAGTACCTACACCACACAGACACACACAACAGCAACTTCGGCGGCAACGACCGCAACAAAAACAAACAATCTACCAGTGGGTGGAGCCAGTGCCTCGTACTATGTGGTTAAGGCCGGCTCCCTGGGCAGCGCAGCCTCCATGTCGGGATCCATTAAAGTCAGCTCACCGCCAAAGGTTCAGTCGATGATAAAGTCACCCGCCCTGGTCGTCACGTCGCCCTCTACGCCGACCGAGAGTGTAATGTTAAACTAGAGGCACCACATATCATCCATTAACCAGCACTGCATGCGCCCAAAATCCTCTCAATCACATCATTTTCTAATCACTAATGTATCCCCTTAGTATATTTAAGTACTAATAATTATTATTTTTATCCACTAGTCGAGTACTATTTCTGCGCCAAGTGAATCTTCTTTTGGTGAGAAAATGGAGCACAGCTATATGCGCGATACGCCAGTACGCAGCGAAGTCCACAATGGCCTTACACCGGCGAGGAACATCTTGGTCCGCCATCCGCCGCAGTGCCCCAGTTGTCACACGTATCCCCAGCAGCACGAAGAGTTGGCGGAGATGCAGCAGGCGCATGTTCCGCCCTATGATGAGATAGCTGCCAAGGAGGCAATGAATGAATGCGCTCGTATTGCAAAATACGTTAAGAACAACAATTCGGATGAACAAGATTGGGTGGCGCGCGTCAATCAGTAAGTTTTTGAATTTAATTCCCTGTAAAACCTTGTAAACACAATGTCTTTCTTAAAGATTTGGTTGGACACCCATGCAGCAGACACTATTCGAAAAGGTCTGTGCCATTCTGGACCAGGATCAATTGGCTCGCCTGGCCAACGACAAACGCCAGCACGAGGCTATCTATCGTCGTGTAAGTGCAGACAAGTCCGCTTCTAGGCTTCGCAAGGTTCTGGCCAGCGTGTCTTGGGAGTCACGAATCACGCAATGGATTCATGCTCTGCTCATGGAGCACTTGTCGCCCTCGTACATGGCTTCATACCTAGAAATTCTGCAGACGCTGAAGACCAAGCTGCCTACTTTAGTGGACAAGATGCTTTTCAGTAGACCGCTAAACAACAGTCAGGAGTTGCTTGCACCTGTGATGAAAAAGCGATGGGAGCCTAACATACTCCCTAAGGGTCGCCAACTTACACACAACGCTGTAATGGTAGTGATACCCACTATGCCCGTCGGTGGGCCGGTTTCGGACCGAATGCAGAAGTGGTACCAGGCATTGGCCACTATCACACAAGTCGTGCAAATCACACTACCGAATACAAGTACGTTTACAACTAATCCTATCACAATTTTCATAAACTAATTTTTTTACTCCATTAGATAACAGAATTGGCAATCACAATCTGGACCAGGTGGCCGAAACCATTGTGTGTCTTACACGTGTCAAGATCCACGAATTGCGCACAGATAATCCTAACCGAGGCATTATTCTTGTCGGTTTCAATGCTGGAGCGGCTTTAGCTCTACAGGTTGCTCTTTCGGAAAGTGTGGCCTGTGTGGTTTGCATGGGCTTTGCCTACAACACTATTCGTGGGCCTCGTGGAACACCCGATGATCGTATGCTAGACATTAAGGCGCCTATACTCTTTGTCATCGGGCAGAATTCAGCTCGCACCAGCCAGGAAGAAATGGAAGGGTTACGCGAGCGAATGCAGTCTGAATCCTCGCTGGTGGTTGTGGGTAGTGCTGATGATGCACTGCGCGTTCCGAAAAGCAAGCGACGCATAGAGGGCGTTACCCAATCCATGGTGGATTATATGGTGGTTGTAAGTTCAATCCAAACCAATATAAAAAATTAATTAACTATATATTCAATAATTTGTTATTTTCAGGAGGAAGTCTTTGAATTTGTGAATAGAACTCTGACTAATCCACCTGGACCACGTATGCCCACTTCTCTAATGCAGCAGCAGGGCTACCAGCGCCAACAGAAGCAACAAACTCACATTCTGGCCGATGGAAACGCAAACAAGGCTGTTCAGCAGATGCGTAAGCGTAAGGGTGACGGTGGTTTGGACGATACAATGGGTCTGCCCGCAAAGACGAAGTTTGTGCCACACAGTAAGTACCAACCAAAACGAACAGTTCAGCACAACCTTATCATCCTACTATCCATCCCGCATGTTAACCCACTAACTATAACACTCCCAATCAAAAAATATACATCAATCAAAGATCGCGTTCACAAGCCGAAGCCACCGCGCCTCATTGATCCGTTTGCTGCTAAGCGAAAGGGTAAAATCAACCTGGGTCTTTCCCTATTGCCATTTACGGCTACCATCCCCGATTCATCAACTAACATTTTTACCCCCTTCAGTTGGAAGACCCCGAACTCGCCCTCTCCCCAATGTCGGTGGCTCGGCCGGCTCTAGTAGCCAAAAAGGTGCACTTCATCCAGACAAAATCAAAATGAGCAGCGAAGAACTTAACAAATCAATTGAATTCATACTAGATGATTCCATGGACTATGAAGACGGCCAATCGAGTGCAGGAGTATCTGGATCAGGAGGATCATTAGGACTGTCTAAGATGATCACAACAGGTGTTTTGGGAAAACAACTGCCGCCCGTTAATCTCGCCGCTGGCACCAAGATCAAGATGATACCCTCAAACCAGTTTGTCCAAATCAAGTCTCTACCAGCGCAGGGAAAACTCATTAACTACACTCTAAATAAGGGAAGTGGTGGATCTGCCAGTACAGCAACCATTGGCAGCATTGTGAAGACGCTACCAAACACATCAGTTAGTGGCCAACAAATCTTCACCCTGAAAACGCCCACTGGACAAACGCAGCAATTTGCTACCGCGGGATCATCTACAGGTGTAGTCGGGTCATCGACGTCCGCAGCGTCGGGACAACAGAAGTACACGGTGTTCAAGAACGCCAACGGCATGACCATGCTGCACCTTACCAAAAGTGCACCTACTACAGCAAATAGCAGCGCTTCCGGGAGTATGGATTTGTCTAATATTATCGATATGCCCATTGTTTTTGCCGACAACGAAGGAAATATCCCGGAACATCAACAAGTTGATAAGGAAATTAAACCAGGTTTGTTAAATGACATCATTTTTATAATCTTGATATTAACTTTTCTTTTTTTTAAAGCTTCCATTCGTAGCGCGAATAAGAGTCCACTGATTATCAGTCAGAAGATCATTAAAGAGGCTAATAAACCTTCAGGCGTAGTATCTAGCAGTGGAAGCATTAGTGGTGCCACCAAGTCGGGCAATATCGTGCTCAACAAGGGCCTTCAGCAATTGTTTACTTCTTCTCCCGGAGGACCTGTTACCAGCCAGAATAAAGTGGTATATCTCAATAGGAATACAATGAAACCAATGGGAAATGTGGTTACTGGTGCACATCGTGTTCCTATAAGAATTGTAAGCGGTCCAAAGACGGGAGGAGTAGTGACCACCACATCTTCCAATAGTCCCATCATGGTAGATCCCGCTACAGGATCTTTGGTTACCAGTGTCAAGACCGTTAATGTACAAACCATTAAGCCGACGGCTTCTGGTCTTGCGCAAGGAACTCTCCGTCAAGCGGGTAACAAGAGCTATCCGCAGTTCCAGGTGATCAATAGTAGCACTCCGGGAACTACCAAAACAGTTTCCGGAGACGGGAAGACTCCTGTACGAAACATCTACTTTAAATCTGCCACCGGACTCAAGCAGTTGCCAGTGCAAATGCTGGGCAATCGTATACCGGGTGGAGCTGTCGTCTCATCATCATCTTCGGGAAGTTCTGCAGTGCGCCGAGTGGTCAATATTGGACCCGTCCCCAAGATGACAGCCACTTCGACACCACCAACTTCGACAGCGGCAGCACCAACCCAAATCAAAAAATAAGAACTACACGTTTTTGGTTACATTTTAGTACGTAAATAGATGATAACGTTGTAAATATGTTAAGAAAGTCAATAATATGTTGGTAAGGGGGAGGTCTTCAATTTCCCTCTTATTTTATTCGAAGGATTATAATTTCATAAAATAAAAAAATATATAAATTGACAAAAAAAGTTGAATTTAAGTTCTGGGAATTTTGAGAATGCTTCGCTTGCAAACCTGTGCAAATTCCACGTCTGGGTTTAAGGTTACTGGTTGGATTTATGCTGGTTTATATACATATTTTAGATATATATGCATAAGGTGGAGAGCCATGGATAACAGGAAGCGGCAGCGGCGTGAGAAAATTATTAAATGAAAGTTCGAAAAATGCTGCTGTTGAAAAATGCGTTACCTTGAAGTTAGTGATCAGAGAGGGGCTTTATCTGGCATTATATATTCCAACTGTTCACACGCCTGCACTGGAACCAGTGATTGTCAAAGTTTGGTCTGCTGACAGGCTTTCTGCTTAGAATTGCATTTCGTCGCTCGTCGCTGCTCGCTCGAACAAAAAGCTAAAGTTTCATGGGCAAATGGATGGACGATCTTACATATGTACACATACATAGGTACATATATATATGTTGGGTTTCTTGGTAAATGTCTCTTTATTTTATGTAGTTCAAATTAACCCATTAGGGAGGGGTTAATAATACAAACGTATCTGGCATTTATATAATACTTTTTTAAGAAAAAATCTATTATATATAGTTCTTTGAAAGGACTTATTTATTTTCAAAATATAATTCGTTCTAAAAATATTTGAAAAATATTACTTTCACAATTTAATTTTGTATATTCTAAGTTTTAAGCCAGCTAATAATTTGATTGGCATTATTGGGTTAAATACCCTTTTTGACCAGTCAGCAATTTGTAAAGCGCCTTCGCTACTCAGAACATCGTCGCGAATCCCGAAGCCCGACTGCAAAATATTTTTATATCTATTTATTTGCATTAGTGTCTGTTATATATTTAATTACATTTCATGTACAGTTCGACATCGGTCAGATATATACAAATAAATATGTACATATATCTCTGGACTTCTATAGCGTCAAGGGTAATACCGACATTTTGGACTTCTTGGGATTTCAGTAGTGCGCTAAATGTGATCAGAAGCAGATCGGTCAGAGTTACTAGTGATTATCAAGGATAAACTAGTTTAAAGTAAAGGATCAAAGTGGGTGATTAAATTAGAGTGATCTTAAGAGACTTTCCATATCTCAAATATTAAAAATAAAAATATTCTCTTAACGAATAAATAACTTTCTCAGTAACATAAAGTGATAAAAGTTCCTTAAGTAATTTATAAATTAAAAGTGCAAACGATTAAAACTGTCAGCTGCATGGCAAGTTAACTTATTGGAAATATCTCTTTTGATTTTCGGCGACATATTTTATGGGCTCGAAAAAATCCTGAATATTTCCTTGACCATTTCCTAGGGGCTTACGCAATTGGAAAATAATGTGGAAAGCCAGCCGGGCGATTCCCAGACTCAGTAAATCGCCAAATGCCAAGACCCAAATCGAATTTGATTTAAAAATGTCTTTAGCTGGCTGCTGGTTGCATTTGCAATGCAATTTCAGTTGCAGTCTCGCTTCGCTTACCACCTGCCGGGAGCATTTGGTTTCTACCTTTTTTTTCCCCATCTGGTCTTAATTTGTGGCAATTTGTCGGACCAGAAACCCACTGGGCCAGCCACCAGCCAGCATGTGCGTTTGTTTATGGCTTATTATTATTATTTTGTGTTTAGCCTAATTTTTTGGGGCAAGTTTGTTGCACATTTGGTGGCTTATGTTAACCAGGTTGAACTCATTTAATTTATGTTTTTGTGTTGTTTCTAAAATCTGTAAAGATTTTTAAGAACAAAATTTGTCGAGTTGTTGCTGTAACTTTAAAGAAGCTAGTATATATATTAAATAAATATAATAAATATAAATATTAAATTCAAGATTGCTAGAATATGAAATAAAAGTTTTCAGTTTTCATTCTGTTAAATTTTAAAACTTCATTATAGTGATTCTAAAACTGTAACCCCCCAGAACTAAACTTTGCTTGCAAATCCATTCAGAAAATCTGTCGGTTTTTTGGTTTACACCTATCCTTTTCTATTTTTCCCCATCCTATTCTCTTTTGGAAAATTCAACATCCTAGAAAAGGACACCGCAAATCCTTCACACAAAATCCCTTACACAAATACTAATAAGCGCGGGCATTCATGCGAAATGCTGTCCAAAAGAGGAGGGAAGGAGGTGAAAAGCTGCACTTCTGATTTTGCATACTCCTGGGGAAATGGAAAATGAGAGTGAGCCCAGGAATCGGGCAAATTCTGATAGTTTGCTTTACACAAATGCGCCACCCATCTCCATCCCACACAGCACCCCCCCCTCATCAAATGGTGCTTAATAACATGCAAATGATGTGAAAGTGCAATGGCGAAAAGCGGAGGGAAAATAGCGAATGCCACTTACATTGCAATCTCGCGGACTCTTTTCGCCAACTCCTCGCCCAAATTTCCCGCCTTTTTATCTCTTTGCTTCTTTTATTCAATGTGTGTCTGACACTTTCAATATTTTTCCAGGGCAAGCATTCGCCAGGAGGAGCAGAATCATCATCAGGAGAGGGAACAGGAGCCGGCGCATTTCAGTCAGCCATCTGATTACGTCAGAAAAAATGGGGAAAAACTATGGTTCTTACATATTTACTTACTTCTGAAATATTTTTGCAGTTTTCATTGTCTCTTAAAGGAAGCTTTAAATTATTATTGAATTGAAGAAAAGTTAATATAGTTCGCACATTTTCCATATTTTTTAACATGATTCTGGGAACTGGCCACTACCTTGCAGTCACGTGATAAAAAAACGCAGGTAACTCTGATCCGGATTTGGTAGTTGCCTAAAGCCTCCATCCTAAGTTCAGTTTGCTTTTTGCGCTTTTTAATTTGATTAGTTCATGTGATGTGACGTAGTGGAACATACCCAGAATTGCAGACAACAAAAAGTGGAAATCGTTTTTGAATAATGAAGAACTGGTTAAATTAAGTAATGAAAATGAATTCTTAAAAGTCCATATTTAAGTTTAAGCAATGGAATTTATATCTGTGACTTGATGACTTTATTTAAAAAGCTTTTTTTTTCTAAAAACTAACTAAAATTTTAATAAAGGAATTTGTTTTATGTAAACTTAGTTTCTAGCGTTTTTCATGTAACAGAAACTTGATACTATACTCTTACTATATTTTATTTCATTAATCCTTTCGTTGTTAAAAAAAATGTAAATTTTCAAACTGAAAAAGTTTTACAAGCTCTGCATGAACTGTGATCAAACTGACTTTGCATCATTGTCCTTTTCTTGCCTTTCCACTCACCTGTCACCATTCTCATTTCGTATTCCTTTATTCCATCTCTTAACTGTCTTGGGGGAGTTGCGTTGGCCAAAAGTTTGGCACGTTAAACGAAACAAAAACGGTGGCAGAATGAGACCTTCTGGCCCCACCAAGCAACCCCTCAGCCGGGCAACCTTGAGGCATGTGCTATTTTTAGCAATAACAAAACAGATCCCACAGCAAGAGCAAGGATGCCAGTCCCCGGGGATTTGTTAGTCCGCCTCCCCAGGATGGAATATTATGAATTACAATTTTCTCAGGTCGCGTAATTCGTGTAAGTGCTGGAATAGCAAAAAATATGAACAAGGGGGAGATGGGGAAAAGCTGGTTTTTCTGGCCAGTCGTCGACAGTTTGCAGCTTTCAGTTGGTTCTTAACATGAATTTATTACTTAATTCCGTTTCTGGCTGTTGCTCTCTGTCTACAAAATATTTTGCATAAATTTCTCATTAAGTTATTACAGTTTGACAGGGATGGATAATTTGTATGATGACTATGATTTAAAGTATTATCCGGTTACCTTTAAGTGTCTGTTATTTTCTTGATGGCAGTTGGGTATTCATTAACTAGAAAAGAGCTCTTGATATGCAGAATGTTGTCCATAAAATGCTGATTAAGATATTACAGTTTGACAAGCTATGGAAATCTACTTAAAAGGGAGTTTAACCATAATTCAAGGAACTTATTAAGTAAAGACAGCTTCTATTTATATATTCTTTTTGTGACTTTGGAATTGTCTTTTAAATTATACTAACAAATAATTTTATTTTAAATAACAATGTTAAAGCTATTTGCAGTGAAGTTTTTAACTATTTTAAATAGCTAGCTACTTAGTTATAGTTTTAATTTAAGTATTATGTATGTTCGAAGGTTACAGTCACTTAAACAAGCCAACAAATTGCATAATAAAAATTCAAAATCTAATTGAAAAATTTGTTTGTTTTTATGGTTTATTTATTGCCGGGTGTTACCTCAAAAGCCATTAGCATAATCTAAAATCTCGATTTAAGCTGCTTTATACAAAATCCACTTACTCATTATTTAATTATAGTTTTAGCTGCCTGGAAAATACCTCAAATATTTTAATATTCCAACTCGACAATAATTTACATAATCTTCAATCATAATCCAGTTACATAATTGGTGGGCTCTGAAAGAAAAAAAAATTAATTTGAATATCAAATATCAGTTCGGCAAGCATTGCAAATTGCCAAACGCTTTGAAATGCATTTCCTGTTTGGCGTTTTTGCTTCTGCCACTTTTTGCTGCTCCTTTTTACGTTTTACTTTCGCTCATTTGGCCTGGAAAATATTTGATGCAATTTTCACTTTCCTCTTCGCCTAAGTATGCAAATTTGTTTTCAGCTGCCGTTTTGGGCTGTCTGCAAACGTTTTCATTATGCAGCAACGCATGCCACGCCTCTTTTTTCCAGCCGCCCGTCTGTCTGTCCAACTGTCAGTCAATCGGGTTGCATACGGGGGGAGAGAAGGGGTAGCGGGATTTTGAAACAGACAGCCGGTTTGGGCCAAATATATAAATCACGAGGTTAGTGAGATGTGAACGAAGCGGCCGAACGTTGGACTTTCACTCGGACAGCCTTGTTTTTTACTACTGCCCTCCCTTTCCTCCCACCAATTTTTCTGCTTTGCTGAGCCGCAGAAACTGATCCGCGATCCTTAGCAAAAAAAAGGGGGAGCTCTTTTGATTATTTTAGCATTGCCGAGAGGCTATCGTAATTATTCACAGATC